GATCTCGTGTGGCGCCGCTCAAATCGTTGACCGTGCCCCGACTAGAGTTGTGCGGAGCCGTTTTGCTGGCACAACTCATAAACGAAATATCTCGTATGGAGTTATTCGACTGCAAGTTTTATTGTTGGTCTGATTCTGCAGTAGCGCTATCTTGGATTCGCAGCGAGCCATCCAGGTTTCAAATTTTCGTTTCCAATCGCATCGCAACTATTCAAGAGTTGACCTCTGGCATGGAATGGCGATATATTCCAACCGATTTAAATCCTGCGGACATACTTTCACGTGGAGCTTTGCCCAGCGAATTAGTCCAGTCCAACTTGTGGCTACATGGTCCCGCATTTCTGACGAAAGATAAATCTTCTTGGCCAGAGTCTTGCAATTCCGTCTCGTCGCTTCCTGAGCAGCGCTCTAAAGTGTTTGTAAGCACCACACTGTGCGAAGACATTGCACAGCAATGCAAATATGTTAACACATTTGGAAAGCTGCAGCGCGTGTTTGCATATGTATACAAGTTCCTGCACCGTGTACGAATTCCTGGGCTATCGGTGGACTGCATCCGTCATGGTACACTGCTGTTGATGCGCTCAATTCAAATGTCTACGCTTCGGGACGAATACAAGACCTTGCAGGCCGGACACACTTTGAAATCGTCTAGCTCCTGTCTTTCTTTATCTCCGTTTCTCGACAGCTCTGGATTGATGCGCGTTGGTGGCCGTCTAAGTAACTCTGCGCTCGACTTTGAAGCCCAGCATCCAATTATACTTCCAAGGCGTCATCCAGTCACGCGTTCAGTCATTATGCACTACCATGTCCGTAATCTGCATTCTGGACCTCGTGCATTGCTGGCCTCAATTCGGTTGCAGTATTGGCCAATTGGCGGTCGGAAAACAGTGTGCAGCGTAGTCAGCAAATGCACCATTTGTTTTCGAGCCAAGCCTCGTCTTGTGGAGCATGTTATGGCTGACCTGCCAAAGGATCGAGTTGATGCTTCACATACCTTTATGGTCACTGGTGTGGATTTTTGTGGGCCGTTTTTCTACAAAAGCGAGGTCCGCAATAAGGCACCAATAAAATGCTATATTTGCATTTTCATTTGCTTCGCCACCAAGGCTGTGCATTTGGAGTTGGTGAAGGATTTAACCACCGGAGCATTCTTAAATGCACTTAAACGCTTTATTTTGACGCGCTGTCGACCTACGAGGATCTGGTCTGACAACGCTACAAATTTCGTTGGCGCACGGAACGAGATGGCTGAGCTAAAGCGTCTTTTTGAATCCAGCGAGCACCTGCAGGCTGTGCAAGAATTTTGCCTTGCTGACTGTATTGATTGGCGTTTCATTCCGCCGCGCTCGCCTCACTTTGGTGGTCTATGGGAAGCGGCTGTAAAGACTGCCAAGCATCATTTCTACAGATCCGTCGGACTATCGCTGCTCGAATTTGATGAACTGCGCACGCTTGTATGCCATATCGGGGCAATTATTAATTCTCGCCCATTGTTATCCCTTTCAGAACATCCAGCAGATCTCGATGTCTTGACTCCAGCTCATTTTCTTGGTGCTGCTCCGCTGTCAACGTACGTTGAGCCTGATCTGACGAAGCTCAATTTCAATCGGCTGGATCGATGGCAGCGCGTGACGTACTACCAGCAGATATTTTGGGCTCGCTGGCGTGAAGAATACTTGACGCTTCTTCAACAGCGCTCAAAATGGCGAGTGTCGCAGCCTGGACTCTCCATTGATGATGTCGTTCTGGTCAAGGACGAGAATTTGCCGCCCCTCAAATGGCCATTAGCAAGGGTGGTCAGCCTCATCAGCGGCGCAGATGGCGTGTCGAGAGTTGCAGAATTGAGGACTTCCACTGGAACCATTCGGCGAGCCGTTCGCAAATTATGCCCGCTGCCGAAACAAGATGTTGTTGAAGACCCTGGTTCTTCAACAGGGGGAGTATGTTTGGTCATCCGGCCAAAAACAGCCAAAACCAGCAGCACATCATAGTTAATAAGTAACGTAAATAACTCAATGCAAAGTGCTCGTTTTCTTGTCGCTTGCTTTGCATAGCAAGCCGAGCACTTAACGTTTCCTTTTGTTGCCATAAATTTGCATAGGCTGCTGCGCAGCCGCCACATATGTACTAGTTATTGTCGCTAACTCTGCAAGTCAAGTTCGTTTTTCGTTATCGCATCTGGTACGGAGAAGCTTAGCTTTCCGTCTACCAGCATAAACTTTGTAAATCTCGGCGATCGCTACCTATGCAAAATAAACATTTGTGCACATCTTTTAAATTGAACAATTTCGTTTCGCTTATTTTGCAATTATTTCGCCAACATAATTTCGCATATTTGGAATCATAAAAAAGCTTATGATTATACATATACAATTTGTAATTTTCAAACCGTGTTAAATCAAAACCGTGTAAAAACAGAATTGGTGCATACTCTTACCTTTTACATATATTTTATAACATAAGTAAACAATAAAGTTGTTTATACGAAGACTTTTTAAGACATTGTAGTTATACATAGTAATATAATGATTGGGCTACTAAAATCAATCAAAATTTTGCAGCATCATTAATTATACCCATCAAACGAATGAGTTTCGATTTTGTATTTCATTTTATTTTATCGACAAACATAGTTGTCGATTTGAGAAAGGAAAAATATCAAATCAATACAGAACTTATAGTAGATATAGAAAAACAAAACCTATAATAATAACAAAAATATCTAATACCAAATCCGGCACGGTGGGGATTTAAGATTGCTTTCAAGAGCAGGACGCGTTCAAGAGAATAAAAACCTTTGTGCAAAACTTCCTTTCAATACTCGTAGCTACAAATTAGTTGGCTTGGAAATGTGGCTATATCGATGCATCCTGTCATAATTATTTACTATATAGCAAAGAGGCTCGTTCGGAAAATTAAAAAAAAAATAATAATAATAATATTAAATCAAACGTTCGATGCTGTTTATGTATTTCAATATAAATTTTCCCTCAATAGCTGTTAAAGGTAATACTTTTAGGAGAAATACGAATAGGAGAAAAGAACTATGTATGTGGGGCCAGCCACACCTCCTTGTGGGCGCCACATAACAAAAGAAACTCTTGAAACACCAATATTTATGCTCTTTTTTACAAATTGTCAGGTTGTTTTTGCAAATAAACTCGGAATTACTTTTAAAACTTAAAAACAGTTTGCATTTTAGTTCAAAATATTATTTGTTCAGCTTGTTATTAATAAATTACGTGCGAAACTGCGAAACTATTGTCGCACGTCTGTCGTTATCTGAATTAACACATGACTCATCATACTTATAACAAATTTAATAGTTAGTCTAGGCCATTCATTAAAATGCCAATTGTGAGCAAACATCGGCTTTTCCCCGCTTTCTCAGCTTGTGGCCGCCGGCATAAAATAAATGTTAGTTAAATTAAAATAAGTATTTAAACTTAACAAGGAAGAGGAGAGAGGCAGAATGCAGAAATAGGTTTGGCGCCTCAATGTCCGCCGCCTTTATGCAACTGCTGTCATGCGCTCTCCCACTGAGCGGCCAGGCTGCACATTTCTCCTCGCTGCGCGCCAAATCCTGCGCAGAAGCTAAGACGCAAAAAGTTAAACACCACACTCCAAGCCCCCCAAGTGAAGAAAATTATATTCTACGCAGCTTAAATTTTAAAGGCAAACATATTTAATTTTTACAAATATTCCAATTAAAACAATGAAATGTACAACATCAAAATATAAATGTTAGCACAAAAAACTTTGCTGCCAATAAAAACATTTACCTTTTTCAAAACAAAATCAAGTCACCAACAGCAATCTTACTTGTTTTAAACTACTTGTAAATTATTTTTATTAAATTACAGCTCGAAGAATAAAAGTTTTGCTGACAAATTTCCAACAAATTTTCTTAAGACTTGCTGGGTGGAATTCTAAATAATTGGAACTTGTACTGACGTGTTATACTTTCTTGAAAAATAAATTAATCAGCTTGGTAGGTGACGAATCTCTAGCAATATTTATGTGAATATTTATTAGTAAGTACAGTGAAAACTCTCTTGGCCGGACACACACGGTCGGCCAATTTCTCTCCGCTCAAGGGGATACTTAAATACTTGATGCATCGATCGGATGTTTTAGGAAAAGTGACCGCCGAAGAGAGTGTCTGGATAACAGAGGTGTCCATTAAGGGAGCTTTCACTGTACATATACAATTATTTGAGTAAGAGTGCTGTTACTTGTTTTAACTTAATTATTTGTATTAAATTACAGCTCGAAAAATAAAAGTTTTGCTGACAAATTTCCACAAATTTTCTTTAGACTTGCTGGGATAAATTCGAAATAATTGGAACTGGTACTGACGTGTTATACTTTCTTGAAAAATAAATTAATCAACTTGGCAGGTGACGAATCTCTACGCAAGTGCCTACCAATATTTATGTGAATATCTATTAATAAGTACAGTCGGCCAATTTTTGTCCGCTCAAGGGGATACTTAAATACTTTATGCACCGATCGGATGTTTTAGAAAAAGTGTCCGCCGAAGAGAGTGTCTGGATAACAGAGGTGTCGATTAGGGGAGTTTTCACTGTACATATACAATTACGTGGAGTGACCCAACGCACCCACAGCTCACTTGCTGACTCATTCATTCATTTGCCACTTGCGGCAACAACTATCAGCCAACAACCATGACCAACATTACAACCACGATATGGAGATTGAAGCCACAATAATGAGACCCAATTAAGGTATCACTTAATGGCACGAGACACCTGCAACTGATGTGTGAGAATGCATATGGCGAAATCACAGAATTATAATGCAATTCAAGTATTATTATTATTAATGACAATGAAACTTCTCTAGCGCTGGGTATTTCTAAGCCCCTTTTTATTTTGCATTAAATAGTTGCTGGCGCACCGCCAGGTTTGTTGAACTCCAAACACATGAGGTAACACGACTTACTGACCTGGGTTAAACGGGCAGATGATTGCATATTTTGCATATAACGTTATTTATTAAATATGATAGAAAATTAATATTCAGACGGTACAATGAGTCAGGATTACAATGTTTGTATTTTAAATTTATTTAAATTAAACAGAGCTCACAACTAGACATGAATTGCAATGTCTTAAGCAGCGCAATCACGGGACTGATAAAATAATATGTAGCCTGTCTCTGAAGATTTGTGTATGTCCGAGGTTAAGCCGTAGAAATCCTCGATGGTTGAGGCTTCAATTTTATCGACCATGTCATCGTCGAACAGCAGCCACAATCCGTGACTCTTCACAATGCTAATATAGTGACCCCGATTGGGTCCTGATCCGCAGTGTATGACGACAGCGGTCAAATCGTAAAGTCTATCCGGATTGACGGCATCATCAGATGTATTAAACAATCGCAGTTCAAGCGGAAAGACGACGCGATGAGAAACTTTAATGTGCCGATTGAACTGTTCCATGTACTTGAAACGCTTTAAATGGAGCGCCAGTATCATGGGCAGTTTTTTGACCCGCATACGCTTCTGGGCCTCCTGATAGCTGCAGCAGTTGTCGCACTTGAACTTGTTATCGGAACAAAGCGTCTCTGTGTTACTAAAGCAGCGCAAGCAGTGTGTTATCGAAGTATTCTGATCGACGTCCACCTGCAAATCAAAGAAATTCTCGTCCTTACTGCTCACAGTCTCGCAATTAAGGCAACGCGTCTCCGACGTTAAGATTCCCTGAAAGATCTCGTGTACCCAGGTAGGCTCCGAATTGGCGCCATTTGTTAGCGTAATGGGTGTAGTAATGGCAGTAACGCTGCCACCGCTGACATCTAATACGCCGCTGCTGGTGCCATTGAGAGACCCCGTGGAGTTGCTGCAGTTACCATTTGTTGTGGTCGAGTTTGAAGTTGACGTCGATGTGGAGTTAGATGAGCTGGATTTGGTAGTGCTGCTTGGTGGGCCGGCACTAACCGAGGCACTAACAGCACCGCCAACTACATGCTTGCCTGTATTGCGTTCTGCCAATATAATCTCGTTAATGTGATTGATCAGAAAGTTGAGAAACTCGTGAGCATCCTGCTGCATGTAATTATCAAACTCCTCCTTCTCTTTTCGCAAGCGTGTAATAAACTTTTTGGGCGCTATCGAGCCCACTTTCTTCTTTTGTGTGGCTATGCTGTAGAACAAGTCCGCCAGGCACGAGAGCAGCGTCTCCTTAGGCCGCTTATTCTTGGCTTTGTACTCAAGGACCTTCTCGCGGAAGGGTTTGCAGAAGTATAGTGCTTGCAGCACTGAGTTACTGTAGCACGTATTACCAAAATTTACGAGCCCAAAGTAGTGCTCATTAGGCGGAAACAGGTCCGACCCGATCTCTCGCTCCAGCTGAGATACGTTGGCACCCATAGTCGTTGAGCATAGACGTACTAGTTAGGTTTAGGTTTAGTGACGTGACGTTTTTTATTAGTCGTATGTTATTAAATAAAATTCATGTGGGGTTTGTATTAATATCTTTGATATTTTTTTAAGGGGCAGACAGACGCGCAAATTATTTGTTTGTCTGAAAATAAATAATTTTGAAGAGGGGACACGTGAGTTTGCTTCGCATTACATAAAAAAATTAAAAATATTTTTTATAATCTCTATATTCGGTTGTATTTTTTTTTTTTAATAAAACGACAATAAAAACTAAGCAAGAACTGAATTACGAAGGCTAAAACTAAAACGCCGCAATAGAAATAAAAATCGAATCCCACTGCAATCCCCTCTCCAAAATTATGTTCAAAATCATTTTTCAACGTTTTCTCGTTTGTTTTATTTTTGAAGAGTTTGGTTAAAAATTTATGTAATAGTATAAGCATTTTAACAAACAAAAACCCAAAATTAAATTTTAATATATAAGTCAAAAGTCCAGATTACAAATTGTTTTACTAAAACATTTTATTACACTTTTAGACGATTCTTAAGGTATCATACTCGTAAGTATATGAACTTATATGCAATAAGACAAAAAATGTTTGCATGAATCATCAGATGCTGGAAAATGAATTAAATATAAAATCAAAGCCCGATGCCAACCTATATACACATATGTAGATGACATTATAATAAACTATTCTACATATTTATAAATAGTGCCCATTTTATTTCAGTTAGTTGAGAAATAGGTGAGAATAAGTACGATGGGTATTTACCACAGTTACAACAACGTGTGCCGCACGCGCAACTTAACCCACAAGACTATAAAATCCAAAGTACAAATCTAGCAAGTTCTCAGTACAAACTAACTAGCAAGACAAGTGACAGCAGTTAAAGGCAAAGAAAATTGTGAAAAGTTATAAATAACTGCATCAGAAGGACATCAAGAATTTAAAGCAGCGCTAAACCTCTTCTTTACTCTCGTCTAAACCAAGTTTCCACCGCGTTGGCAATCCATCAGACAATCTACAATAAAAACATTTATGCAGGAATCCTCAAGAGAACATTATCTACGCCTAATGATCCCCAAGGATCCCAAACGGAGCCAGTGTCTCATCTAAGCGCCAAAATACTGAAAATTCTAGCTTGAAAGACAATCAGCGCTGGCATTTAAACTATTCCCAACCAACTACAATAAGAACTTCAAGTTTTTTTATAGTAATATTAAGTCATAACAATGTTCACGTACACTCAATAATATAATTTCTACACAATTATATTTTAACCAAACTTTTGCAAAAGCACAAACAATAGTGTAATGTTTGATTTGTGCGCGTATAACTTTTAAGAGCACTGTAATTTTTCTTAAACTTAAAATAATTACAAATAAATAAACAAAGAATATTTAACACCTACACACATTCAATTTTAAATTACTTTTCCAATAGTATCAATTTATTCCAATATTTTTTGTGTTCAAATCACCAGCAGCAGAAAAAACAACTGTGAACTATAACTATAACCTATCATGATTACAAATAAGCTCTAACAGCAGGTTTTAACCGAATTTGGGCTTAAAATTCCACAAATAACGCAAGCTAGAAAGTAGAGTGAGGGAATCTGTCGAACCTAGAAGAACCTGGAAACCACGTTGGGATATTGTAGCGCTTTTACTTCCTAAGATCCTTCATACAGATGGACTCGCCTGGTTATACTAATAAGGAAAATATATATACTTTATAGTGTCTGTCATACCTCCTTCTGACTATTACATACAATTCCTATTAAGCTATCATTCCTTTAGCTGTATGCTAATAGTAGAGTATAAAAAACCGGTAAACAGATTTTACAAAATTAAAATATAATTATATAACATTAATAGTCAGTTTCTAACTATATTTAAAAGCAGATTGTGAAATTTTGAGTATTACTCTCTAAGCAATTAATTTAGTACCAAGGTTAAACATTTATCAAGGCGATGAAAAAATGAATACAGTTATTAAACTATTATATACATACTATAATCTGATTTCGAAAAATATTTTATGGTGGTTTTTTTGCCTGTATATATTTTCTTCTTAAGTCATTTTGTATTGAACATGTTATTAAATGCAATTCCTCTAAAACTATCATACCTCTAGCATACAGAGTATAACAAATTAAAATATTAAATAGCTTTAAAAGTCCGTTCCTAACTATATTTAAAAGCAGATCGTGAAATTCTGAGTATTACTCTCTAAGCAATTAATTTCGTACCAAGGTTAAACATTTATCAAGGCGATGAAAAAATAATTAAAGTTATTAAACTATACATACTATAGCCTGATTTTGCAAAGTATTTTATGGTGGTTTTTTTTCTTGTGTATATTTTCTCCTTAAGTAATTTAGTATTGAACATGTTATTAAATGTATTTTCGATTGTTAGCCATTAATGTCTTCCAACTGTAAAGCTACCAATTATTTTTTCCCATCTTTATGGGTACATTTTAGTCAGACGTTGGCGGTAGTGCAGCAAAATGATAGTTTTGTTCGATTTAAAGCGGTCGTAATCCCATAAAACCTAGTAAAGTACGGAAATCTACTAATTTGTGGTTGATCTTAATGGTTTACAGCAAAAACAGATGCTTACACATCAGTAAAAGCTCTTTAATTTATTTCGACATCAATTTATTTATCAGACAATTGTTGCTTCTTTTTTTAAAATTCTGAAGAGTCTACGATGACTACATCTGCCATCTGCTTAAAAAAATGAGAATGCCCCACTTATTATAAGTACTTTCAATCAATTACCTAAATGCAAATTTAATAAAATAAATAAATAAAATACTTTAATATTTCATTTTTATAGCACAACTGGAATATGTCAAATAATTTGAATTGTAGTTAAAGTTTCAATTTTAAACTCTCAATGCCCAAATTATGTATGAGTTGTGGCCGAAACCAATTTAAATAAAATACTCAAAAATAAGCTTTAAAGTTTTTTAATTCGAAAAGTAGTTAGCTCGACTGCAATTTTGCAACCAAACTTAAAATAAATTTCGTGTGAGCCAGATGGCTTCCAAGGCTTGCCCATTCCATTATATTTTTATATAAAGAGCAGCAGCGAGGCTGCGATAAATACGTTTGTTTACAAAAAGGGTCATGGGTCAAGGGTAAAATGTTATTGTATATTGTAAATTTGGCTAAAATCCATAAATCGATTCCTGACTGGTAATAGGCCATTTCTTAAGAAATAGTAGAATTCGATCTCAATCCATTAAGTGGATTGAAATGTACAAGTATGTTATAGTGAGGCGGTGAAGATCGCGTGTCCCACAGACCTATATCGTTCCACTATCTCAGTAAGACCACACACATAGTGTGGACAAACACAGAGTTTTCAATTTTCCAATACTTTGTGTGCCTTCCCCCATGACGCATAGTGACATAGTCACGCTTATAACGTCCATTTTTAGAACGCCCTCATGGATGTCAATCATCAGCGAAATATGATAATTAAAACTGTTATTACTGTCAATAATCATGGGCGGTCGAGTGCCGCCAATGAAAATCGGTTGGTCAATACATTTGCAAATCGCAGTAAATACCCAATACCAAGGTATATGTGTACTATATTTGTACGTTTGTGTTTTACTCAAAACCCGTTCAAGACAATTGCTGACAGGTAGCTCATCAGAAATTTGTGCGAGATTTGTCTGTGAATGTACATATGTATTAATATATCATAAGAATAAATGGTGCGGAATTGATACTGTATAGTACTGCACAAGTATAGCTGAGTAAAACTCTCGGACACATAGATGGCGACCGGTTCAACCTGTTTATATAAATGTATTTAGTCGTAGTACCAAAACTATCAGCAAACGAAATAAAAGCAATAAAATACCAGGAATATAGCCGAGCAATTTTATTCGCCTCAGTACAATTTAACAACTAGACGTAGAATGATCAAATCAATAATTGTGTGTGCGGTAATATATAGTATAGTAAACAAACTAAGTACGATATATTGAATCAGCCATTTACTTTACAGCTTTTCAGCTCGATGCTTATCCTTATCGTAATTAGTAGGACTAGTAATGCCGCCACCACAGTCCTGTACGAATTTCAGTGAGTGCTATCAATAATTTACTTGTAAAAAAACCAGCATATGTAAAATATTAAACATTTCTCAAACAGCATACGCGAAGCTAATGTCAAGCGAAATGAAACGGGCGTGCTCAAAAATGGAAATTCTAGCGAGCCAGAACTGATTATCACGGGCACACGCACCTCTACGGTAATATTGCAGTCCCATAAACCCAACGGTTCGAGCTGTATCTATAAGGAAACGGCTGTGTACAATGCCGACAAAAACGGATATCGTGTCAAATACAACTACAGTTTAGTACCATTCGAGCTTGACACGCGTCTTCATGCCACAACACTCAAGATAGCCACTGGTTGAATGGGAATATTAGTTCACTTATATGCGATTTACTCAAAAGCATATTGCATTGCACACATACTTTAAAAATCAGCAACTAATGATCCTTGAAACCATGAAATCAAGGCAAATATGATTCTTCCTCTGACTTGGATATAAGTGGCTTAAGTGGCGTTGAAGAGAAAGAGATCATGGTTCATATTTAGATTGAACTTAATACACTAATTATCTTTAAAGTAACTTAAATAAAATACTACTTATACACTTAGCTTAGATAAACGTCAAAACACTTACCGTGTCCGAAGTTTCTCTTGATTGATTGGTTCGTAGCAGCCGCAAAAGTAGTTTCAGTGCGTTCAATGAATTTAAAATATGTTTTTTAAAATCTAGACAAGTACACGTCAAGCTTCGAATATACTTAGTACCGATTTGCGAACTTAAAACATTGCCTGAAATGATTAAAGAACAAATAAAATGATTAATACAACGTATAGAAAAAACAAAACTAAAGCGAAATTCATTTGTGCACGCAACCTTGGTCGGCAAGAAAAAAACAAAAAAAACAACAAATAAGAAAATTATTTGGGCGGAGACTTTTACCGAGGAAGTGAGAGTGAGAGCGGTAGGAAGAAGCCTACCTAGATATTATAAATGTTCATTAACAGATTACAAGACCGACTTGTAGAATGTAAATGAATAATTTAGGTCAACCCGTAACTTGCAATGAGTTTTGTATAATTGACACAAATACGAGTAGACAAAAACGTGGGCAGAAGAAAACGAATTTGCTGCAATACGGTTAATAGAACTAATTAACTAATCAAGCGGACCTCGAAGATAAGCAGACAGGGACGGTGATAGTCTCCGCTCAAGTAAAAATTCGACGTCTAGGTCGATTAGAGATCAGTTTCGTTTCGACATCGTGCACAACAACACGCAAAAAGAAAAAAGATGAGTGCTGGCAATTTGCTAGGCATTCTGGCTGCATGCCATTTCCTGGCTCTAACCTGGTGCCATCCTTTAGCCACTAACTATACCATTGACATCCTGCGCCTGGCTAAGGCCGCACACCTCAAGGCATACATGCAGGAGGAGAAGCACGAGGCATGCGACAACTTTTACAAATTCGCTTGTGGCAACTGGAAACGCTTACACCCGGCGCGTTTACACAACACGAAGACCAATTACCTGGAACAGCTTCAGGTGCTGTACGTGCGGAAGAGTGCCGAAATGCTGAAGAGCTCCATGCACAGCTTTGACACTAGTGCCGATCGCTTGCTGAAGCACTTCTTTGGCTCCTGCACTGCTCAGGCCAATGACACACAATCCGAGCTGTCCGCCTTGTTCAAAGTTATTGATTTTCGCGGCGGATGGCCGGACATACGAGTGCCCTCGTGGTATCAATACGAGTACGATTGGCTGAATACAATTGCCGCACTAAAGCGACGCTTGGGTGTGGACATCCTTATTGGCTTGGATGTCATACTCGACTACAAAGAGGAGAACATACACCGACTTAAAATCGGAGCCCCTAATCTACCGCTCGGGAAGCGACATCATTACCTGGATGCAGAGTATCGTGACATACGCGATCAGTACGTTCGCGACATAGCACAAAAACTGCGCAGCTACTTCCCCCAGCAGAGCGTTCGTTGGTTTGAGGAGGTGGCGACCCAGGTACTAACTATTGAGCAACAACTGGCCAAAGGATTGCCGCATAACCCCTCTCTGACTCTAGATCAGACGACGCGCGAAAGGAGCGTTGCCGTTCTCAAGGAAGCATACGGCAGCTATGTGGACATAAGTCGCTATCTCAATCTCATTTTTAACGACACCCTCTATGTAGAATTATACGAGACGCCCGACGACTACCTGTCGAACCTGGTGAATGTAATTAAGCTAACGCCCAAGCTTCAACTGGCCAACTACACTATTTGGCGTGCGCTAGAATTCTTTGATGGCGCACGTGTGCCCCACCACGAGCAGCCAGATACATGGTGCGTGCACCAGGTACAGGAGTTTTTCCCACACCAGCTGGAGAGTCTCTTTCATCGCAACTACAACAGCATGCAAATGATCAATGAAGTACAGTCCACATGGGCCGACATAAAAAGAGTGTTTCGGGAGGCCCTGCAGGCCTCAGAAGAACTCCATTGGCTGACACTGGAGACACGTCAAAAGGCCATCGTTAAACTAGAAGCTATGGAGTTACAGTTTCGGGGACACCACGAACGGGAATTGATCCAGGAAGTCCATGGCCTTTCCCTGCGTCCGGATCAATTCTACACAAATTTTCTGAACGTTCTGCAGTGGCGTACAAATAAACAACTGTCCAAGCTTCTTATGGCCCCAGAGTTGGAGGACGCGGTTTATAAGCTGCCCCATTACGAGTTAACCACGAACAAAATTCAGATACCCATTACCTTTCTGCAGGCGCGCTTCTTCTGGGATCCGGCATATCCCAACGCCCTCAAGTATGGCACTTTAGGTGTGTTACTGGCCCAACAAATGTTGCGTGGATTTGATGGACTAGGCCGTCGATATGACCGACACGGCTATCAGAACAATTGGTGGGATCGCGATTCGGAAAACGCCTACAGTCGTCGCGCTCAGTGTTTTGAAGAGCAGTACGAGACTTTTGTTGAGTTCCAAAAACGTTTGGTGCGGGACACGAACATGCTTAGCCGTGCCGTTGCCGACAATGGTGCTCTAAACATCGGCTACCGTGCTTATCAGAAATGGTTTAAGAATTCTGCCGAAACAGCACACGCCTATCATCGAGAGACTTTGCCACTTCTTGACTACTCCCACAACCAGCTTTTCTATCTGGCATATGCACAACTCTGGTGCTCAGACTATCCTGATTCATTGGAAATATTCGATTACCTGCCCGAGGAGGTGCGTGTTAATGCAGCGCTTTCAAATACACAGGAGTTTTCCAATATCTACAGTTGTTCCAGCGACAACAAGCTCAACAAACGCCACAAGTGCAAAATATATTAAAATCCGTTCAAATATGTAACTAAACACATTAATGCAAATCCATATGTAATCAAGTAATACGATTTGAAATATAATTAGACATAAATATGATAGTTCGACCGACAGGTGTATAATTTTGCCAACAACTTATAATAAAACTATTAACATCCGTAAATACGTTTAGCGATTACTTTAGAGTGTTCATCTGAGATTTATTTTACTCTCTCTCTCTCTCTCTCTCTAGTTCTCGCAATCAATGTTTTTCAGATAACCCGGTTCACCTACCGCTTATCTGACTAGCTTTACAACATGATTTTAAAGAGCAATGCCACCAGTAAGCAAAGCCCCAACGCTGCATCAGCATGTTAGTTTCAATTTGGCCCACAATACTGTCGTTGCTTATAGCCGCGCACAGTAGCGATACATTGAGCGATCCGAAAAGTAATAATGGCATCAAGAGCGCCAGTTCCTTCCATCCCATCTTTCAGACCGAGGAAACCGTACGCCAAAATAAAGCAAATATCGTACGGCGATCCATGAAGCTGAGTGCCGATCCCTGCACTGATTTCTATGAGTATGCATGCGGTAATTGGGAGCACACGTTTATGCCACAGAAGCAATTGGAAGCGCAAATCGACAGCGATCTGCTTCGTTTGTTAGACGATCCTGTCCAACGGGAAGATAGTGCATTGGTTCGCCAGGCCAAGGAGTTTTACAAATCATGTGTTACCGTACAATCCAATCAGAGCCAGCAACACCAACAGTTCCTGAGCGAGTTCATTCAACAGAACGGAGGTTTTCCTGCCGTACCTGGATCCCACTGGTCCGTGCATCACCACAACTACGACTGGGTGCACGAGGTGGGAAAGCTGCGTCGTAGCTATGGTCTGGATGTACTCATTGGTCTCCACATTAGCTATAACTATGCCAACGTACATGAAAACAGCATCTACCTGGGAGAGCCCAGCATGCTCATTCCACCGGAATTGTGTAGCAAGGCGGGCACAAAAATGGTGGACATTCGGGATGCTGCGTATGAAGACATCGAACGGGGGATAGCAGCACATCTTAAGGCTTGGCTGGCACTCAGCAGTAACGAATCGAAACGTTTAGCGGCAAACATATTAACATTCGAATACGAGCTCTGCGGGAGCATAGAGGGGTCAACACCCTGGGATCCAGATTTGCAACTTTATCGCGCAAACTACTCGCGCAAGACTCTGGCTGAGTTTTCACGGCTCTTCGGGGGGAAATTAGACTTCAACGAGTATGTCCGCATTAGCTTCGGCCAACCCGTCGACAAGCCTGTGTACATGGCTGCCCCAAACTACTATCAGCAGCTGATTCGTACGGTGGAAGCCTACAATATAAGTGAAGTGGCAAACTATATAATGTATCGCGCGTTGTCCATGCTTAGCTTTCCGGTCGATGATCAGCTGCATCGGCGTTCTACTTACTGTTTGGCCAACACAAAGCAATATTTGCCAGCAGCATTGGGCGAACTTTATTACCGTCAATACGTCAACTATGATACTAAATCACAATTACTGGATATGTACGTTTTCCTGAAAAATGCACTCAAGCTGAGTACGAAGGCTAGTTGGGTAACAGAAGGCACGCGGCGAGTGGCCGAAAGAAAGATCGACAATCTGGCTGTTTTCTTGCCTGAATACCATGACTCGATGGCTTACAAAATTCAACTGGAGCGCAACAACTATTGGCATAATTTAAAACAAGTGTTAGCCCAAACCCAAGCACATGAGCTGGAGCGACTGCAGGAGGGCAATCTACCTCATCCGCGCGTCATTGTGCAGGCCTATGAGACACGAATTAAGCTGCGCCCCGTGCAGCAGCGCATCGAACTGGGTTGGGCAATACTACAGACGCCATACTATGATCCCCGGTACGGCCATGCTGTGCGCTTTGCGACTCTGGGTCCGCTGTTGGCCCAACAGCTAGCTGCTGCATTCGATGACATGCACTGGTCGATTGGAATTATGGAACGTGATCAATGGGATAGTTCAACAGCTTGGGAGTATAACAACCGGAGCAAGTGCTTCAACCGACAAGTGACTAACTATTTGCAGCACAATTCAAGCGCTGAGGTCCAACTAATTGGCAGCAGTGCTGCATTGAATTTGGCATTTCACGCTTATCTTATGTGGCTGGGCTTACAGGAGCCGCACAATGAATTTGCCCGACTAGCGAAGGAGACGCTCCCCGGCTTGAACTTCTCGAATACTGCGCTTTTCTTCATAACATATGCACAGCAGCATTGTCGCTTGGACCATCACGAAAAAACACAATTGATGGGCAAAAATGAACGATCTATGCCAAGATACAGTGCTCGACAGTCGCACAGTTGGACGCGACATGTTGTTAACGGACCATTACGGAACTTGGCAGATTTTTCACGCGAGTTTCATTGCCCACTGGGTGCACCTATGAATCCCCACGAGAAATGCGTAATTTACTGAGCAATCAGTCACAATAGACTTCCTAACTTTTATGAACTTGCGACAAAATCTATAGAGTAGTCAAGACCTAGGATTATAAACAAAAAGAAATAAAAGTACATCAGAATTTGTATTCCCCTATAAATAGTGTTTCCTCGATTTGTTTTCATTGTTATAACTGAATATAATATTTATATTTTTCACACACAAAAGCGATAACCCAGCGGACTAACCTCCAACGCACACTTGAACCGATTTATGAAGTTCATGAGCGCGAACGGTCATCCCGATTGCTGATAACCACATAATACCTCACAAATAGCTTCCACCGAATCATTTCTCAGTCAATTTTTTAACGTGAACATGGAAACTACCACGAACGCTCTACTTCTGCTTTCTCTCTTTGTGGGTAGTGTACACGTCCAGCATAGCCGACGTGTTTATGATAGTAGCATGGAGCGTGGTATTCAAATGAGCACATCATTCGCGGCAGGCGTTAGTCCCACAACAAATACGGAGCGCCGTGAAGAGCATAAAGTACGCCAGAGCATATCCAAAGACATGCAGCGCTACATGAACCTGACAGTGGATCCATGCGACGACTTCTATGAGTACGCCTGTGGAAATTGGTTTCGTTATCAGACCCGCCATCTCCGCTCAGGTGAGTTGGGCACGGCGCAACAGCTAGTTGAAGCAAACATTCGGGAGCAGCTTCAGCGCTTTCTAACACAACCAACTCCTTCCCCTCACCATCCCAACGCATACAACGAGCTGAGCATGGCCAATATACGGAAAGTGCGCGACGTTTACAACGCATGTCTTACTGTGAATGCTAACGGAGTGGAAAGACGCAAGTTTCTCATGAAGATTGTAAAGGATCATGGCGGCTTGCGTCAGCTGCCGAACTCAGGATGGCAGCACGAATATCACTGGCTCCAAATGCTGGCGGCCCTACGACGGAATTTCGGACTGGACATCCTCATCGGCTTCGATGTGGATCTTAATCTGCTCCTGAAGCGCGGCAATAGCATTTATTTGGGAGAGCCGCAGCTAACAATAATTCCAGCGGAATATTGTAGCGCAATGGCCACACAAATGGCTGATGTAAGAGATGAGGTCTATGAGAAAATACAACAGGAAATTGCGAACAATATGCGAGTGTGGTTTGGTATGGAACGGGGCGAGGCAGAACGTTTTGCTGGCGACATTGTACGCTTTGAGTTTGAGCTGTGCAAGCACATGCGTGAAGATGAAACGTTGCCTGACACCGCATTGCACCAACAACCTGGCTTCACAGCTCGTGGGCGTGTTGGACAGGACCGATTGCGCCTACAACAACCTCCTGGCGTAGGGAATGCTCGCTACCCGGGCATAATGTTGGCTGAGCTAACCGCCAAAATGGACAATTTTATAGATTTCAAATTATATGTTGAAAGCATCATCGAGGCCAGCTACACCGAAGTGGTGTATCTGCGCTCGCAAACCTATCTTACGCACCTGGTGCGAACGGCAAAGTCGTACAACCGCTATACCATCTCCGGTTATATTATCTATCGCGCCTTGCTAGAGCTTAATCAGCCGCCAGATGAACATGCTACGCGACGCCCACAATCCTGTGTGAAGCTAATGCAACGCCTCTTCCCCCAAGTACTGGGCGAGATGTATCAGCACAACGTGCATCGGGTCGATGCCCAGAACGATCTAGAGCAAATCTTCAGAGACCTTGTTAAGGCTTTCGAGCAACAGCTCAAAGTAGATTGGCTGGATGAAAACGACAGACGTGCGGCCCGCACTAAGCTCAGCCAGTACCACATGCAATTTCCAGACTATCAGAATGTTGATCTAAAGGATCTGCATATCCAAAAAGGCGAGAGTTTTTGGCAAAAGTTCGAGTCGGTGCTGAGATACAATGCTGCGCAACAACTAAATCGCATCCGTGGCAACGATTTCGGGCGCAACGATGGTTCGGTGGATGCTTTTGAAGTGAGAGCTGAAATAGCGCCGAGACAACAAGCCGTGTCAGTGGGCTTGGGCTTATTGCAGACTCCATTCTACAACTACTACTATCCACGTGCGCTAAAATATGCTCTTCTCGGACAGCGAATGGCACGCGCACTGCTCTATGCGTTCGATGACGAGGGATGGAACAAGCACCCCCAAGCGACCGCACCATGGAACGAGCTCACTATGAGTGGCTACCGAAATGCCACTGAGTGTCAGCGCGCCCAATACAGCAACTATCTGTATAACCAGCCTCAAACTTTCAAGAATGCAACGCAACTGCGCGAACTAATCTCTGACAGCAGTGCACTAAATGTGGCTTTCAACGCTTATCTCGGATGGTTGGAGCTGACCGACCCTAAGATGAGAGATCTGCTTCTTAAGGAGACGTTGCCCAGCATGGACTTTACAAACACGCAGCTCTTTTTCATATATTTTGCACAGACCCGCTGCTTTGCACGACAGGACGAGCAGCCTGCCATGGATTTCCTACCATTGACCAAGCATACACCGGAACGATGGGCAGTTAATGGGCCGCTAAGCAACTCAGAGGAGTTCGGCAAGGAGTTTAACTGCCCAGTCGGCACACATATGAATAGCGACGATAAATGTTTAGTTTACTGATGAATACAACAAGCATAAAATAAATTGCATGCACCGAAGTGTGTGAAAAGTGGTTGTACGACCTGCTTGCAATCAGATCTGTGAAGACTGGGATTCATCTGCTTGAAAGAGACATTTAAGCCCACAGAGCACAACCAATCAAGGCATAAAGTATGCAAAGCAAAGCGACAAATAGATTGGATAAGAAAATATCTGTCCCTTCATTTAAGAAAGAAAAGAATTCTAATTATAGTATATGTGTCAAACAAACTACTTGAGTGTTGTATGTGAGACTTTTTCAATGGGTGCAAAATGAAATGTTAATAAATATATCAATGAATGTGTGCATATATATGTATCTATATTATTAAATCTATCTGCAAATCGATATTTGTGCATACACACATATGCATTTATTTTTCTTATTATTATTCGTACAATGAATGCACACAAAAGCTAGTTCCAACATAAAGTTATGTTAAATACATAAGGCATTGATATTGAATTCTAAAAATATAAGGTAAATGTTAATTTAACAAATTGTTGCAATAAAGTAATACGTTTATTTATACTTGCATGCTTATGAGCTTCGCCAACCCTGATTGTTTCTCAGGTGGATTATATAGACAATTGAACATTAGAAATAAGTAACGGCCAATTTTTCAACTTCAATGAAATTTATTGTGGGACATGAAAAGACTCATGTGTTTTGATCTTATTCCTTGGAAGTTTTCCTATCAACTATACGACCTAAATGTACTTCCAACTATACAGAGAAGGATGTGCCGCTCGTCTAAAATTTTAATTGTCCACTGAGGAAACAATAGGTACTTAGTCAACAAGTGCTGCTTTCTTCTATACTTTTTTAGGAGGATTGAAAAAAGAGGTGGGAGAATTTGGCGAGCAATAAAATAAAATAGCTTGTCTCAGTAATTACATTGAAAATAGACAATATTTTGCGAAAGTTGCAAATCTTATTTCAATTTTAAAACTTTGCTTATTAGATGCGCGAGTCTTTGGCATTGGCCCGTCACTGTAAAAATTGCGTGCCTGTGTGGAGAAACAACAACAAGATAGACCCAACCCCCAATAACTGTGGAAGCGTGCTACAAAGAGAGCAAACGCCAGCTGAGAATTACATGCACATATAATATATAAAATCGATTTTTCAAAAGAATGTTATATTTATGGTTAGACAGATTTAAAGATAGATATTCACAGATATTTAAAGCACACCAAAACAATTACCTGATTAAAATAAATCCGCGACAGCACTCTAATGTACAGAAAAAAATAGGATATACTTGTAGTTTGAAAACCATATAAATACGTTTAGATATATCACTTTTTAAATTTTGAAATCAATACAGTAAAATACACATATGTTCTCGAATTATGCGGCCTTCATTATTGTATACTTAGTATAAACCAGATTAAACCGTCTCTACGTAATGCACTACGGGCTGAAAACAAAACGCACGGGAAGGTAAATGAAACACCACAAACGTAAGGGTCGGTTCATGTAGTATTAGACCGTGTGGTGAGTTTCACAACCATTTGACATTTACTAACTCCATTTTATACACATTTATCGATTTGCTGCATTTGAATAAAACGTGATAATCAACGTGATATCTAAGATATAACGGGTATATACAAATTTTTGACCGATAAATTCACATAACTTCATTACCACAATAAAAATAATGCTTTTGCTTTTTGTAGTATGTGTTCGAACGAGATACAAAATAAACGAGAGCAAGAGAGCAGAGCAAGCGTACGGTCCCAACCGTCAATGTGGTGCAAAGCTTTAAAACTCATTGAGGCGCTCACACCACCGTTATGGTATAAAAGTGGTGCGATAGCTGCAACAACGCCAGCTGTGAAAGCAACATTTTCCAGTGCCTTAAGTAAACCAACATGGAATACATTGGAATCTTGTGAGGGCGCACGGGCGTGTGATACGAGCTTCAAAGAGCCACCATATGAACTATGAACACAGGCATTCCAAAATATTAGCTTGAAGCGCAGCATTGTACACATATTGATTTTTCTCTTATCAATAAACATTATTTAGATGAATGGAGAAGACTTTGGTTGTTAAATAACTCATTATTTATATTCCCTTTAAAAGCTTTGAACCACTACTACAATACATCTTCGTATCTTACGTATGCGGATTAATCAAGTTTACTAAGTCTTAGATCTGAAATATGTTAATGACAATTATAAAGATAAAAAACAATAAATTAAGCTTCTAGTAACTGCAACAAAAAAAAAAACACCACAAAAACGTTCATTTCCATTACGCAGGCGCTCTTAAGACAAAACATCGCTAAGAAAGCAATCATTGAGCCAAAGTGTATTTTACTTGAATTGGCCGGTAAAAACAATTAAACAATTATCTATGTATATGAATTAAAAAGGTGGAAAGGTGGTATATTACAAAGCAGGGAACATTGTCAATTACCTATTTTTGAATGCATTATATATGCATTTTCAAAAATGTTGAAAGGACTGGTGCAGTATCAATGTACATATGTACATATGTATCAATATTGATAAGAATCAAAAATCGAAGAAAGGCGCAAGACGTTTCATACATTTTATGTTTCTAGTAAAACGCATTTTTACACTTAAATTGAAAATATAGAAGCGAAGAAAAACATCCAACTCTTTTACATATGTACATATGGTATACTCGTAAACTTACAAAAAATCAGAGACATTGCTCAACCGGAATCAATACAAAGTTGCTAACTTACCCAAAAATATGTATTAAATCTTGAAAATGTTGAAAATAATTGTTAGGAAAATAAAATAATTCATCATTTTGAACAAACAAATCTTAAATATATATATTTTTTACATGTAAGGGATACGCCTAACAACGATATAAACAATTGCATACCAAAAATAAAGCTCGATGTGAGACTTGCCCATGCATACAAACAACAAATGTATTCATAAAGAAGCAACAGCTTTAAAAGGAAAACGTATGTGGGCTTAAAATTTTAATGATTGCTCATGGTTTGAGCACAATATTTCTGTTCGGAGAGCGGAGTGCAACTTGAGACTTTTCAAGTTTACTTCATATCCAATAATAAGAGGAAAACGCAACAATGGTGGTCACACTTGCCAAAAATCGATGAACACTCAATTAACTGTTGTTCGCACACACCCACGTAATACCTGAACATTAGGAGGCGCATATACACCTACTAACAAGGTGCATGCACAATTTTTAATGACATTACCTTTTTGCGTTTTGTATTTAGAAATTATCTCAACTTACTTTTGGTGTTTTACTGATGCCAACGCTTCCACCTCCACTCACTTCCAATGGGAACGCTGGAGTTGAAGGCATACATGCTTATATATGTACGTATGTAGCATATGTACATATGTATGTATATACGCACAAATTTCGTGGCCAAATTACGTTTTTATTACTTATTTTCTCTTCCACAGCTGTGCGATAGTTTACAGATAAATAAATGTTTTTAATTAAGCCAGATTTTGCTAATGAGCGTATAAGATTCGCCTCACTGTTGCAAAATAGGTCTGTAAATTTTAAACAATGGGAATGAAGTTGTGCTGTTCACTCGCGTTTAATATATATTCCATGCTAAGCACATTTACTCTATATTAGAGCGAGTTATTTATTAGTCGTTTCGTTGAATTTATAAAAGTAATTTGGCGATTTCGTATTTTTATTTTTTCTTCACGGACAGGAAACTTTCGACGTGTTTGATATATTTCGCGATGAGTATCTGCCAGTGTGTACAAATTTAGTTGGTATTTTTTTGCCATAAAGAGATTGTCAGATTGGCAGCTGTTACCAGATTAGAGTGGCCAGTACAGACTTGTTACCACTTATAGCTTGCTGTTTTTCTGCGGTAAGCATGTAATTTTAACGAACGGTCAGCTGAATTGCCAAACAGGTTTGTCCAGTTGGACTGTAAGTGTATCCACACCAATGCACATTGATTCAGCCAAATTTGTATATGTATTTTTTTTAGTAATGCACATAAATGTTTATTTTATTGCTCTATTACTTTGCTTAAGTAAAGAGAGCATTGCTGTGGATAATAAGATATATAGTGCAGAGCCCTCAATCCGCAATGGTAAAAAAAAACAATGAACTAATGTACATATACTAATATCCATACATATAAATAAACCTTTATCTTTTAGTTGACAGTAAAATTTCGGCTTACGTACAAAATGCTCTCGCGGAATACAAACCCTGCAGCGAAGATGAGATGGACTTAAATTGCACCTGCCATGAAGCGGTGATCGATCGCGATCTGGCATCCTTTGAATCAACAGGTGTCACCCGACAGATGATCAAAAACTCCGAAAAGTATGGCACAAGATATCAGATCTATGAAAAGAAACTGTACCGGGATGAAAGCTGCATGTTTCCAGCACGCTGTAGCGGCATTGAACACTTTCTTCTTAAGCTGCTCAATATATTGCCCAACATGGATCTGGTAGTGAACACGCGCGACTGGCCACAACTCAACACCGCTTGGGATAACCTGGGACCTGTTTTCTCTTTCTCTAAGACCAAAGCCTACCGTGACATAATGTATCCCGCTTGGACTTTTTGGGCTGGTGGACCAGCTACCAAGCTACATCCAACGGGCATTGGCCGCTGGGACTTAATGCGTGAACATTTAAAAATAAGTGCAGCCAATATTCCGTGGAGCAAAAAACTGGAACTTGGATTTTTCCGCGGTTCACGCACTTCAGAGGAACGTGATAGTCTTATATTGCTGTCGCGCCAAAAGCCTGAGTTAGTGGCCGCAGAATACACAAAGAACCAGGCTTGGAAATCGCCAAAGGATACTCTAAATGCCCCACCTGCGGAGGAAGTGTCCTTTGAGGACCATTGCAAGTACAAATACTTGTTCAATTTTCGTGGCGTGGCAGCCAGCTTTCGACTGAAACATCTGTTTCTGTGCAAGTCCCTGGTATTTCACGTAGGAGACGAATGGCAAGAGTTCTTCTATGATCAGTTGAAGCCATGGGTCCATTACATTCCACTAGATAGCTACCCCAGTCAGGAGCAATACGAGAATCTGATAATGTACTTCAAGCAAAATGACGCTCTGGCTCAAGAAATTGCGCAGCGAGGCTATGATTTTATATGGCAGCATTTAAGGATGCAGGATGTGGAATGCTATTGGCGCAAACTACTTATGCGCTACTCCAAACTGCTTAGGTACAAAGTGCAACGGGACAACAAGCTGATCCCTATAGGCAGCACAAAGATTGAGTTGTAATGTTAGTTATTTAAAATTTTCTAGTATGTAATTTAAAATACAACCTATTTTCTACCCTCTTTTGAAAACTATGTTTAAATAGAAATACAACTTAAATGGCCGGCACAAGGACAATTCGGTTAGATTTGGTGCTGCTGCTGTTGCTCATGTTACGTAGTACTTGGGCAGAGCCCGAGAATAAATGCAGCAATTTGCAGCCGCAATGCCCTGACAGCGGAGATAGGTTGAAGTGTAAGTAGGGCCACCAATTTGTGTACCTAAAATTTAATCATTGCACGTTTCCCAGTTAACTTTGATTTGGTGCCTAACATACTAGTTGCACTGCAGGATTACACACCGTGCAGCGAAACCCAGTGCATCTGTTATGTACTAAACATTAGGCGAGATCTGGAGAGCTATGCCGTTACAGGAATTACACAGAAAATGATTAACCAGTCTCGCCGGTTCGGCACATTATATAAGGTCCTCAATGGACGGCTGTACCGACATCCGGACTGCACTTATCCGTCACGGTGTGCCAATGTCGAGCACTTTCTCCTCGATGTCGTGACTGGGCTTCCCAATATGGAATTTGTTTTAAATGTGTGCGACTGGCCACAGGTCCATTTTCTGTCTGGTTTAAGCGGGCCGGTACTCTCTTATTCCATTACCAGCCAACATCTCGATATAATGTATCCAGCATGGTCATTTTGGTCTGAATCAGGCCCTACTCTGCAGCTTTATCCGCTCGGTATAGGGCGTTGGGACTTAATGCGTCACCATCTTTCTGCTGTAGCCTCGCGCCTGCCTTGGAAAAGTAAAAAACCGATTGCCTTTTTCCGTGGGTCCCGTTCTTCCAAAGAGCGTGATAGTCTTGTTCTTCTTTCACAACGTAAACCAGATCTAGTTGATGCTCAGTACACAAGGCATACATCAGACAAGTCCACGTCGTCGCTGGACGCAGAACTTGTACCCGAGATGCCCTTCTCCGGACATTGTGGCTTTAAATATTTGTTCAACTTTCGAGGAGTTACAGCAAGTTTTCGGTTCCGCCACATTTTGCTATGCAAGTCTTTGGTTTTGCATGTTGGCGAGGAGTGGCAAGAATTTTTTTATATTGCACTCAAACCTTGGGTGCATTATGTGCCAGTGTCCAGCAACGCCACAGCTGAAGATTTGGAGGAATTAATTTTGTACCTGCGTTTGAACGATGAACTTGCCGAGCAGATAGCGCAGCGGGGCTACGATTTTATATGGAATCATTTGAAAATGCGGGATGTTGAGTGCTATTGGCGGCAACTTCTATTAGAATATGCCAAGCTAATGACCTACGACGCTCAGCTGGAGCCGGAATTTTACGAGGTAACTCACACGGCCCTGCAGCATTTCTGGAATGCAAGCATAAACTAATATCTACCGGCGCTGCCAGTGTTGCCCCATTTTTCTTGCACGGTCAACTGTGACGTCACAAACAATCAGCCGGAATCAAGGGGCAGGCAGACATGGCCCAACTGAATCCGTTTAGAAAGGCTTTCCACTTGCCGTCCAAACAACGAATCAACTGGTTTCCTGGTCACATGACCAAAGCTAGGGGACAGATTCAGCATAAACTGCGCAATGTGGACTGTATTGTTGAAGTACACGACGCCCGCATACCAATTTCAGGACGCAATTCTCAATTTTTTGACACAATAACAGGTTGATCTTATATCCTTAAATAATAAAAATACGATTTTAATGCTGATTATTTTTTTTGCAGGGAACGGTGTCAAGCCGCACATCCTGATTCTCAATAAAGTAGATCTATTGGGGGCCAATCAACGTAATGCAGTTGTAAGGCAGCTGCGCACACTACAGCCTGAACTTAAAAACATACTCTTCTCCAACTGCAAGGATCAACGCTACCCTGGTATTTCGAATATTGTACCGCTAGCAACCAAGTTGGTGTCTGAAAGCAGCCGCTACAATCGTGCGCAGAGTGCTGATCATAATATTATGATAATTGGTGTACCTAATGTAGGTAAGAGCTCAATTATTAATGTGCTGCGAAATGTGCACCTCAAGAAGCGAAGTGCCGCCCGAGTTGGTGCCGAAGCAGGAATTACACGAGCTGTGGGAGAACGCATTAAAATACAGCAGAATCCACCTGTTTATATGATCGACACACCAGGAATTCTACAGCCCTCCATAAAAGATGATGAAATGGGAATGAAACTTGCCCTAGTTGGCTGCCTGCCCGATCACATAGTTGGTGAGGAACTTATTGCCGATTACCTTTTGTACTGGCTAAACAAACACAAACGGTATGAGTACGTGGAGAAGCTTGAATTGAGCAGCGGCCCAAACGATAGCATCAGCTCTGTGCTTGCAGAGTATGCGCATAAACAAGAAATGTTTCATCGTGTCAAGCAGTACAATGGTCAAGTAGAAGTGATGACAAATTTATTGGCAGCAGCACGAAAGTTCATTAGTTTCTTCCGCACTGGTCAACTGGGTGACATTAACTTGGACGAGTACAATGGACACTTAAATATAAATTAGATTTTAATTACATAAATGCTAGTGATTAAAAATTTATTGTTTACAACTGTTCGATCTTATTCATCTCCCATGGGTACATCAATAGGAATATTTCCGACTCCTGGCACAGTTATTGAATACGAAACGCCCACGGTATCCATTGCCGTGTCTACATCATCGTTTTTCTGCTCTGCCATCTTTAGTTGTGGCTGCTCAACCAACTGACTGTTGTCCAAATTGGTAAGGGAGGGCTCAGCGACAGGCTCGACGGGCTCGTTGGCAGGACACACCACAGCGTAACCAGTTTGAGCAGCTATTACGCGTATTTCCTCGGGAACCCCGCGCATCCGCTTGTCAATATAACTGTTGTACGGAGCCATCTTCTGATAGTATTCGATCAACATCTGTGGGTCTTTTTCAGACACCTCTGCGCTGGCGACTAAATCGAATTCGTCGCAATTCATCCACCGGACCAAGTACTTAATATCGCCGCTTACGTCCGTGGCGCCCATAATTTCGGCCAGCTCTAGGCATCTTTCATAGCCGCGAGGCTTTATTATTTCTTCACATTTTGGTTTTTTTTCGCCACGCTTCTTCGACTTGGCTCGCGACTCCTCGAACCTTTGTATTAGGGCTGGGCAGTCGCAGTTTTCCTCAGGCTCCCAAGTATTGTCAGCCGAAGGATATCCACGCCACTTTATATAGTATTCTACTTTACCATCGGCAGTGATACGCTTGTCAATAATGCGCTCCACCACAAAATTGGGCTCGTTTTTAACCATATTTTATATTCTTTAATATACTTGTAGTTGCACCCCAAAACAATGTCAATTTTATTGTTTGGAAACAACGCCCATCTCTAGCCGCATTCCCGATAGATTTTTTTTTAGTGTGACCGCATATGCCAAAACATTCAAAAAGACCATAGCACATACAATAGTTATAACGATTTATTTATATCTTGAATGCCCTACAAGTAATTTTGTACAATTTATTGATATCATTAAAAACAATTTTGAATACATTTGTTATGCAATATCGGTTTGTTTTGAAAAAACACAGCTTAAAGATTCAAGCTCTGGATTAACACACGCAGCCTGTAAAATAAAACACTTTATTAAAATAAAACAATCTAAAAGGTGATCTTCGGCTGCGCCGAAGGTATTTATCTTTTACTAAGTCGTACAACCCAAATTATATTCCTCCAGGGTCGTGGTCCATAACAAATTCTGAAAAATATTTGCTATTTAAAGTTTTAAATACTGTCTTACCTGAAGTTGTAACAAATACATAAACAAAAACTCTTCTTAAATCATATTGTTTGTATGAAAACTCCATACATATATGATAAACAATAATTAAAAATTAAATTAATTAAAAAACAAGCATTAAAATAGACGGACAATATGGATTAGTTCCATGATATGCATGATACAAGTATGTATGTACCTATGATCTACCATTCAAATAATCCTAACTAAATCTTCCACCGGAGAATATACAAATTTGGAAGCCGCTTATGTGTTACAACACTATATGAAAATATCATAATACCTTTAACAATTCAGCGCTATAGGGTGGATGCCATTGGGTCCAATTGCGAAGGGTCTGCAAAAAAAAGGAAAATAAACACAATGTTGTCCAAAGTACATAAAAAATTAAAAATTGACAAGTACACTATTACTATTTGCGAGCATCTCATGTGTTGGGTGCAATGGTGGACGCAGCAGCATATCCATAGGGTCTTCGTCTTCGACCAAATGGAAGTTTCGCTGAAAAAGACGCTCCTCTATACATCCGGTAGTGATTAGTGTGTAAATCTTAGTAACAGCTTGAACCGGCATCAATAATGACCTGTCTGCTTCAGTTAGATCATTATTATAAACTATCAAATTTGCACAGTTCTGTAAGCGCTGTGTAGGCAATTTGCGAGAATCTAAAAAAGCAACCATAGGGGCTTCAACATCTGATGTGGATCTGTTAAAGCGCGCGACATCTATATTAGTATCAATCTTTATATGAATTATGCCGTAGTATTCGCAATAACCTTTGATTATGTCCAAGATCTCCGCGTTCGTAGCAATGATAGCACACCTTTCGCCATGTTCCACAACCAAATTGTCTAACAGCGAACAAATGCATTCAAATTTAGCGGAATCATATATTTGCATTTCCTTCGCAGGTGGCAGATGCTCTAAGAGTCTTAGCATCAGCTGCGATGTGGGATTGGCATGGTTTTTGACTATTGCGGGGTGGTCACAAATCCAACGCGAAATGTTGACAATGTCATCCGAAAATTGGTGGCCGGCAGGCATTGCCTGAGCATACTGTTCACAAACTTTTAATGCCCACAGCTGCAGTTCTGCCGGACGCAGCATGCAAATATACTCCGTTAGGGCACGGGCAACGGGAGCTCGTTTGGGCGCTTTAAGCATGTTAACCTTTTGTGGTCGATTGTGGTTGTTTTCTTCGTCATCGCTCTCGACATGGAAGGCCAATGCTATCTCTTGTTTTCGTTGTGCCACACACTCTTCAATAGTTTTAAACTCCTCTTGCAGCTCCACTTCCTTACCAGCGATTTGTAGTAGCTCATGTTCTTTAAAATCCCTTGGATTAAAGTTAAAGGTTTTTAATGCGCCCATTATTTTGCCTGTGTGGTCTTTTAAAGTTGCATCTGCAGCTGTCACTTCGAGGGTGCCGTCTCCATTCCAAATTTTATGCTTTCTGTTGGAAATGTTGCGCCAAAGAATGCGAAAAATACGTTTATCCTTAAGGGGGTTTTCATTGTCCTCATAGTTTTTCGGACCCCAATGCTGATAGCCATTAGATGTGCCCCACTGCATTGGCGGGCTTGGAGAACGGAAACTATTCACATTTGCGTTCGAGTCAAAGGATGTATTTTTGGCCATCTTGCGTATAGATGGTGCTTTGGATCGCCTCATTTTTAACGACAACTGCTAGAATTAAAATCCAAGTCCACGAGAGATAAAATGAGCGACTATTGAAAATTCCGGGCACGCACAGATGTTTGGCAATCACCGCAGTCCGTTGACACCAATACTTAAATGTCATCGAAACATCCGCTGACCTCTATCGGTTATCGAGAACGAGCCGGCGTTTATACTTGATAAGCGTAAGCAAAAACCCCACCGAGGGAAGGAAAACTACAAAGGCACGCCTGTTGCACCATGGCTTTCCATTGGTGTGACAACAATCTTCATACCACCGTGTTTACTCCTCGTGACTTCCAAGTGGAGCTGCTGGCGGCTGCCTTCGAACGGAACACTATCATTTGCTTAGGCCACAAGTCTTCCAAGGAGTTCATTGCTCTAAAGCTTATACAGGAGCTGGCACGATGTGGACGCCGCAGTAACAAAGTTAGCATTTATTTGAGCAGTCATGTGGGGGTCAGTGGGCCGGCAGCTGCAGAAAGCAGCTCCATGTACACAATGCTCACTCATCTCACAGATCTCAAAGTGTGGCAGGAGCAGTCAAATCAACAAACACCGTTTGGACATTGCTGGTCAGATTATCATGTGAGCATAATACGACCACAGACATTTCTCGACCTGCTCCGGTGTGGTGAGCTGCCAATTTCACGAGTCCAGCTTGTTGTGCTAGAGGATTGCCATGAAAGCGCTGTTTACCGCGACATTTTGCCCATTTTTGAAGAGCACATCCATCAGGCCGATGATGAGCATAGGCCGAGAATATTGGGCCTAGCGGGACCGCTACATAGCGCTGGCTGCGAGCTGCATGAACTGAGTGCTATGCTAAACACGTTGGAGCAGAAGGTACTGAGTCGGACCGAGACGGCCAGCGATATAGTAACAGTATTGCGTTACTGCGCCAAGCCATACGAATACATTGTGCAATGTGCGCCCTTTGCCATGGACGAGCTGTCCTGTGTGCTGACTGATATACTAAACACGCACAAGGCCTTTCTCAAGGATCACCGCTACGATCCCTTTGAAATATACGGTACAGATCAGTTCATGGATGACTTAAAGGGTAGGTACATGGACATGGTAGTAAATTGAACCATTGAAATTAACCATTCTTTTGTGTTTGTAGATATACCCGATCCGAAACTGGACCCACTATATGTGATGGACGCCCTACTCGTTGTGCTGCACGAAATGGGCCCCTGGTGCACGCAACGTGCCGCTCACCATTTTCACCAGCGCAATGAAAAGCTGAAAGTTAAAACGCCACACGAACGCCACTATTTGCTCTTTTGTATGGTTAACACCGCGCTAATGCAGGTGCATGCGCTATGCGAACATACCTTTCAGAAGCACGCGTGCGACGATCCCAGAGAGACAATAGAGAACTTTTCCAGCCCCAAAGTACGCCGCCTGTTGCAGGTGCTGCGCTGCTTTAAGCCAGATGAAGTGCACACACAAAGTGAGAATCTGCGCAAAATGTGCAATCAGGTGGAGAGGGTCGAGTTCAATAGACTGGCATATGCCCTGGAATCGCAGTGTCAAATTGTGGAGCAACCGGAGCGGCAGCAATTGGACGCGAATGCAGTAATAAACAACCTGCAGGAACTGTTGCATCCAACGAATAAGTTAAAAGAGCAGCGAAAATATGTAACCCAACCACAGCCACAACCACATCACCAGACAAAGTCGGAGCGAACAAAATCCAACCCCCAGCAAAGGACACGGCGGCGCGTATACACTCGTCGTCACAACCGTGACCAAAACGATGCCAACGATACGCTGTGTGCGCTAATCTATTGCAGCCAGAACCACACGGCACGCGTCCTGTTCGAGCTGCTGGCGGAGATGAGTCGACGTGATCCCAATTTAAAGTTCCTGCGCTGCCAATACACCACAGATCGAGTGGCCGACCCGACCACCGAGCCCAAAGAGGCTGAGTCCGAGCATCGTCGGCAAGAGGAGGTGCTCAAACGCTTTCGCATGCACGACTGCAACGTACTGATTGGAACGTCTGTGCTAGAGGAAGGCATTGATGTGCCTAAGTGCAATTTGGTAGTGCGCTGGGACGCGCCCACCACCTATCGGAGCTATGTGCAGTGTAAAGGACGAGCACGCGCAGCTCCCGCCTATCATATCATGCTCGTATCCCCGAGCTATATGCCACCAAAATGCGACGCAGTGCAGCTCAGCCAGCAAACCCATCGTTTCATTTGTGCAGTGGAGGAGATCGACCCGACTAAGGGAGAGGAAGTGGAGAGCGATTCGGACGACTCGGCGTTGCCAAGCTCGTCAAGCACCGATCTCTACACATTCGGTACGGCACGTGGTACTGTTAAAATACTCAATCCTGAAGTTTTTAGCAATCAGCCGCCCACAACATGCGATATCAAACTACAGGAGATATCAGATGAAGCGCCAGCAAAAGACATAGTGGACAATAATTTCGTCGACGAGGCCGTGAGTTTCTTTAGCGACGAGACAGCTGAGGTCCCAAACAACAGTGATACTGGACCAGAGAAGCAGAAAGTACGCTTTCAATGTGAACTGGACGTCTCCGAATCCTGCCCAGATCTGCAAACAAGCTCTGTCTGTAAACTGGAAAGCACTACAAAAGCATTGGTGCACCAAATGGCACAGTACCGCGAGATCGAACAGGTAGGACGTAATATAAAGCCATGGGTGGGTGTGCCCGTCCATCTGTTCATATCATTAAAGTAGTTTAATCAACATGAAATGTACAAGAGTATATTACGTTTGCGGAAGCTGAAAAATGAAATGAAAATGAAAAGAAGCCGAGGCAGACCCCACAAAGTATATATATATGAATATTCTTGATCAGCATGACAAGACAAGTCGATCTGTCTGTCAGTCTGTCTGTCTGTCCGTATGAGCAACTGAATCTCAGAGACTATAAAAGATAGAGAACCAAATTTTGCACAAAGATGCCTTATGTGTGTACGCTATACGAGTTTGCTTTATTTTTTTAATGTCCCCCCTCTTCTTCCCTATGGGGGTTTTTCCGATTTTATAATCTCCTATATCTCGGAGACTATAAGACCTAGGGACACCAAATTTTAGTCCAAGATAGTATGAATACACAGAAAATGTGTATTTTCGAATTTCCCTCCCTCCCCCCTCTCCCTCGCAATCAGTGATTTTCCATAACTCCCGTAATTTTTGGAATTTCGAACTCAAATTTTGCAATCGATCAAATTTTATTTAAATTTTCTTAATTTTTATACTCTGTACATGAAATGTACAAGAGTATATTAGGTTTGCGGGAGCTGAAAAATGTAACAGGCAGAAGGAGGCGTGGCAGACCCCACAAAGTATATATATTCTTGATCAGCATGACGAGACGAGTCGATCTAGCCCTGTCTGTCTGTCTGTCCGTCTGTCCGTCCGTATGAACACCTGGATCTCAGAGACTATAAGAGATAGAGACACCAAATTTTGCACGAAGATGCGTTATGTGTGTATTCTATACGAGTTTGTTTTATTTTTTTGATTTTCCCCCCCACTTCCCCCCTATTGGGGTTTTCCCGATTTTCCATTCGTATAATCGCCTATATCTCGGAGACTATAAGACCTAGGAACACCAAATTTTAGTCCCAGATGCCTTATGTGAATACGCAGAAAATGTATATTTTGGAATTCCCCTCCCTCCCCCCTCTACCCCGCAAATCGTAACTCCCGTAATTCTTGGAATTTCGAACTAAAATTTTGGAAATACCCCCAGTTAGTTATTATGTGTCCGTATGCCAAATTTCATTATGATAGACCGATTTAACAAGAAGTTATAGCCATAAATATATTTGCTGATGCAGCGCTGCTGCAGCGCTGCTCAAGCGCTGCCCGCGGCTGTTGTTGATGTTGCTGTTTGGTTGACTGCGAAAATGCTTACACAGACACGAATTGATGCGCATAGGCATACATACACTCACACAGACGCAATTGCTATGTAAATGTGCAATTATACACCCTTTACGTGAGTTCGAATACCGAGAGAGGTAAAATCGATCAATTTTTTTTTTTATTTTCTTAATTTTTTTTATTTTCTATAATTATTGTATACATATGTACAGAGTATTTCAAAGTCGGGACACCCGCTTTTTTACTTGTTTTAATTTCTATAATTATTCTAAACATATGTACAGAGTGTTTCAAAGTCACCCGACTTTACCTTCTCTACTTATTTTAGTTAGATGCAAGCCCCAAATTCCTTTTAGTATCCTATTGTTTATCACCAAGACTCTTGAGAGAAATCGGTGCAAAAATGTATGAATTCAAATAATTCCTTATTACAATTAATATATCAAATATATGAATATAAAAACTGCACCTTTCAGCATTGAAATAACAACGATTGCGAAAATAATGGTCACAATTAATAGACTTGGGGAGAAGAGTTGCGTAGTCCAAATGTGTCTACTTTCTAATCAATACGACTCAGGAGAATCTTAATAATAATTGTTTTTCTTCTAACAGATGCTGCTGTCCAAGTGCGCCAATGCCGAGCCCCCGGAGGTGGAGCAATATATGGCGGAACGCTTTACCAGTTGTCTTGCATCTTATCGTCCACAGCCGCAGCTACTAGCTGGTGCCAGCGTTGATCTGAGCACTGCCATATCGCTGGTCAACAAGTACTGTTCAAAGCTGCCGAGCGACACGTTCACAAAGCTAACACCCCTATGGCGCTGTGCTCAAACTGAACGCCAAGGAGTTTCCCTCTTCCAGTATACATTGCGCCTGCCCATTAATTCGCCGCTGAAACGTGACATTGTGGTAAGTGATCGCAGAATCTGCTTTCGATGGCACTTTTCTCTTTAACATGTTCGCAGGGTCTACCCATGCCTACACAAACCTTGGCACGTAGATTGGCGGCTTTGCAGGCATGCATCGAGTTGCACAAAATGGGCGAATTGGACGATCAACTGCAGCCCATTGGCAAGGAGGGGTTTCGCGCACTCGAGGCGGACTGGGAGTTTGAACTGGAGCCGGACGACGAGCAGGCAGACGAACCACGACCGGGCACTACGAAACGACGGCAATATTACTACAAGCGCATTGCCTCCGAGTTCTGCAATTGTCGACCCGTAGCCGGTGTGCCCTGCTACCTCTACTTCATCGAGCTATCGCTGCAGTGTCCAATACCAGAGGAGCAGAACACTCGAGGGCGGCGCATCTATCCTCCGGAGGAAGCACTGCAGGGATTTGGAATACTGACACTCAAGCGTATTCCCAAGTTAAGCGCCTTCTCCATATTTACGCGCTCCGGCGAAGTGCGAGTGTCACTTAGGCTGGCCAATGAAAGAATTGTGCTTACTTCCTCGCAAATCGGCTGCATTAACAGTTTTCTTAACTACACGTTTACGAATGTGCTCCGCCTTCAAAAGTTTCTGATGCTCTTCGATCCCGATTCAACCGAGAATTGTGTCTTTATAGTCCCAACCACAAAAATGGGAGACGATAAAATAATAGACTGGACATTCCTCGAGCTTATACAGGCTAATGCCAATATGATGCCGCAAGCTGTGCCGGAAGAGTTTCGAAAGTCGCAGCCGTTTGATGCAAATCGATTCAAGGATGCTGTTGTTATGCCGTGGTACCGCAATCAAGACCAACCGCAATACTTTTATGTGGCCGAGATCTGTCCACAGCTGTCGCCGCTTAGCTGTTTTCCTGGGGACAACTATCGCACTTTCAAGCACTACTATACGGTCAAATACGGCCTGAACATACAAAATTGTAGCCAGCCACTGCTCGATGTGGATCATACAAGTGCACGTTTGAATTTCTTGACGCCACGCTATGTTAATCGTAAGGGTGTGGCACTGCCTACTAGCTCAGAGGAGACTAAGCGAGCCAAGCGCGAAAACTTGGAGCAGAAGCAAATTTTGGTCCCTGAGCTCTGCACTGTGCATCCTTTTCCGGCGTCGCTTTGGCGCACCGCCGTCTGTCTGCCATGCATACTATACCGCATCAATGGATTGCTGTTGGCCGATGATATTCGCAAGCAAGTGTCGAGCGACTTAGGATTGGGCCGGCAGCAAATCGACGAGCCAGAGTTTGAGTGGCCGATGTTAGACTTTGGTTGGAGTTTGTCAGAAGTGTTAAAGAAATCTCGCGAGTCCAAGCAGAAAATAACAACCAACAGCAATTCCAATGAAGTTGTCACCAACGGTGTAGACTTTGTTGCAGCAGAGGAGGCTACCAAAAAAGAGGATGTTGAAGGTGAAGCTAAAAAGATCTCAAAGACAGCCAATGAGCTTATCATTGAGGGCGAGCAGCAGTTGAATGACGAAGAGGACTTCATTGAGATTGGCACATGGTCAAATGACATGGCAGACGATATTACAACATTTACGGAACAGGATGAAGATGACGAATCTTTCGTTCCTGTACTACCCGCCAACGTTAAGTTATGTGAGTATGCAATATTATCAACGAGCTTAGTAAACTTATTCGCTTAACTATATCCCTAGGCGACCAACAAATGCGGTACGGTTCTCCAACATTCTTGGATGTAAGCAACAGTAAAAATTTCAAGAATAAAGAGAACTCACAGCCGCACAGCAAACAAAAAGGCACTCCGAACAAGCCCTGCTATTACTACTACGACTCCGACAACTCTCTAGGATCCAGCTACGACGACGATGAGCACGTACTGCAAAACATGCAAAACAATTACAGCTCCGCCGAAGATGACGTTGACGATGATATAGATGCCGGCCGTATAGCTTTTACGTCGAAAAACGAAGCGGAGACTATTGAGACGGCGCAGGAAATGGAGAAGCGTCAAAAGCAGCTGTCCATTATTCAGGCGACAAATGCAAATGAACGTCAGTACCAGGAGACGAAAAATCTTCTTGTCGGCTTCAATTTCAAGGAGGAAAACTGTCACAGCGATCCCTCTGATAAAGCCAACTCAACCTACGAACAGTCGATAATCAGTCTCAAAGATCACATTGAAAGCTGCGGCATGTTGGTTCGGCATGATCAGGAACTAGTTATAAGAAGAAGTCAAAATGCAGCTGCGGTTCCAAGCAAGCCGACGTCACATTTGGAGCTTATCAAGCAATTCGTACCCTACGTGCCGGAGGAAGAACTGCTTCAAAAACTAGGTACCAGCAGCAAGTTTCAACTGGCCGATCTAGCACTCCTGAATGCGGAGTACGTAAGGAAGCACCCCGACGAATCCTACCGTGTTTTAGGGTGCGGGGACAGCTTTGATAATTACAATGACCATCATAGACTAGAACTGAGGGACAAACTGCTAAGACTGCAATTTGAACGTACTGCACAGAAGGATCAGACGATGCCGCCTGATAATCATTCTGAATTAGTGCCACCGATGACAGTTTTGCCAGCCAGCGGTTTCAGTTTTGATCGGCAGCCAGAACTCGCTGGCCATCCAGGTCCAAGTCCAAGCATAATTCTACAAGCCCTCACCATGTCAAATGCCAACGATGGCATCAACTTGGAGAGGCTGGAAACCATCGGCGACTCCTTTCTGAAATATGCCATTACCACCTACCTTTATATCACCTATGATAATGTGCATGAGGGCAAGCTTAGTCACTTGCGCTCGAAGCAAGTCGCCAATTTGAATCTCTACCGCTTGGGCAGAAGAAAAAGGCTGGGCGAGTATATGATAGCAACTAAGTTTGAGCCGCACGATAATTGGCTACCACCCTGCTACTATGTGCCAAAGGAATTGGAAAAGGCCCTGATAGAAGCCAAAATACCGACGCACCACTGGAAACTTGTCGATCTGTTGGATATTAAAAATATGAGCAGCTCACAGATTTGCACCTTGGTGCGGGAAAAAGCAGAAGCAATGGGTCTGGTTGGCAATTCAGATGAGCAGAATAATCCAAACGCAGATCCGCAGACAGTGATACCCAACGGCAATCTAGATGACTCCAACGGGAGCAACGACTTCAGCTGCTTTATTCCATACAACTTGGTCTCACAGCACAGCATACCCGACAAGGTAGGCCATTACAATCAATATCCTGTGTTCATTTGCTCAATCATTAATGCATCATATACATCAAGCTCAATGCTTTCATTTAACTCCTGTCCGATTGAGATTTACTGCCAGCTTCCGAGTTATTCACTAATGATTTTATACCCCTGATCTGTAGGGTAAAAAGGGTATTTTAAGTTTTTGCAAAGTATGTAAAAGGCAGAAGGAGGTATCTCCCTACCCATAAAGTACATGCATATATAATATATTAATCAGCATGTCGAAGCGAATGTCCGTCTGGATGAACGTCTAGATTAACCAAAACTGGTATGTAGACGCTCCTAGTTCTTAGGCAGCACGAGTTTATTTAATTTTTTTGATCCTCCTGTTTGTTGATTAGACATTTAACTTCATTTTCATGGTAGAAAGGATCTACATATAGTATACTCGTATTTCTATAATCCCATTCGCGAGGCATAGGCCGCAAGTACATTTGTTCAAGTGAAATATTAGTGAGTTTCAATGTCCTTTACAATCTAGGGAGTACCCATCTATTAATAAGAAAACGGATTTACTGTGCAAAGAAATTATCAAGAAATCATCCAATTGCAAAGAAATGTTGCTTATATCTGGAGCTTTGCGCTTAATTTGAGAGCTAAGTATCTTTCATTCACTAAGCATCTGTTGCAAATACATATGATATCAATGGAAATAGATCAACCATACTATATACTATACTTTATACTTTTTTAAGTCAATTGCTGATTGTGTCGAGGCGCTTATTGGAGCCTACTTGATCGAGTGCGGTCCTCGAGGTGCCCTCCTCTTCATGGCCTGGCTAGGCGTGCGGGTGCTGCCCTATAGCAAGCAGCCAGCCTCGGAGCCACGGATACCAGGCAGCACGCAGCCGGATAGCGATGGCCTGGTCACCATTTATGGCGCTTGGCCCACACCACGTAGTCCGCTTCTCCATTTCACGTCAAACGCGCACAGAGAAATGGAGCACCTGCTCAGCGGCTTCGAAGAGTTTGAGGCGAAGCTGGGCTATAGGTTCCGCGATCGATCCTACCTACTGCAGGCTATGACGCATGCAAGTTACACCCCTAATCGTCTCACAGACTGCTATCAGCGTCTTGAGTTTCTGGGGGATGCGGTGTTGGATTATCTGATAACGCGACACCTGTACGAGGATCCACGACAGCATTCGCCGGGTGCGTTAACCGACCTGCGTTCTGCCCTGGTGAACAACACAATATTTGCTTCATTGGCTGTGCGGCATGGCTTTCACAAGTACTTCCGACACTTATCACCTGGCCTGAACGACGTGATCGATCGGTTTGTGCGCATACAACAGGAAAACGATCATAGTATCAGCGAAGAGGTAATCAACTCAATCGTTTGCTTTAGTTATCGGAAAATACATTTATCCCATTTCAGTACTACCTGCTGTCCGAGGAGGAATGTGACGATGCCGAGGACGTTGAGGTGCCTAAGGCCTTGGGCGACGTTTTCGAGAGCATTGCCGGTGCAATATTTCTCGATAGTAACATGTCGCTGGATGTTGTGTGGCAAGTTTACAGTAATATGATGAAGCCGGAGATCGAACAATTTAGCAATTCCGTTCCAAAATCACCCATACGCGAGCTGCTCGAATTGGAACCGGAAACAGCCAAATTCGGCAAGCCGGAGAAGCTCGCCGACGGGCGTCGTGTGCGTGTGACCGTCGATGTCTTCTGCAAGGGGACGTTCCGTGGCATTGGACGCAACTATCGCATAGCCAAGTGCACGGCGGCGAAGTGCGCCCTGCGGCAATTAAAGAAGCAGAACTTGATTTCGAAGAAGAACTAGGCAGCAAATGTGTTGTGTTGCCAACAGTCCGATATAGTTTATTAATTTAAAACACGAAAAATGCAATAATTGTATGTATGTGTTTAAGTAATTCCTAATTGTATAAACTGAAATTTTAATATTGAATGAAATCGAATCCATCACTTAACAGGATTTTAAAATGTAACGGCTACCTTGTATTATTTATCGGCTTTCTAATTTGCCATTCACACGGATTTACACTTTCGTGGAAGTACGTGCACAAACATTTAAACATACAAATGAAGAAGCAAATGTTCATGGCGTAGGATCAACTCGGATATTTGAAATGTTTCTAAATGAATTCTGGCAGCCACTTATATTATCTGAAAGGCCGTATACCATTCACGACCAAGTAAGTAACACGCACATCAAACATATTGAAGCAACTGTTAAAATTGTCTCCCTTTAGCATAATGGACCTTTACTTTTGACCTCATCTGCATTTAAAAAACGAATACTATATCCTGAGAACTGGAATGGCATAGTCATGGGTTCAGAAGCGGCGATCGAAGAATACCACACATTAATAAGAGAAGTGTGTATACATATATACAGATATCCTTATCGTACCAATATTAAGATTACATTTGGTTCAGGTGGAAGGAAGCGGCCACCTCCAGCTTTTTCCCCTTAAAGAAAACGCCCCCCTGGTAATAACAGAAGAAAAAGGCTATGTTGAGGTAACATTGATACCAGCGGGAAAAAACGAAATCGGCCACGATCTACATTACTTTCTTTTAAGGAGTAAGCGCCATGTGAATGACTCAGCTGACAACCCATTTCAAATTCATCATATATGTACATATGTATTTCAGACCCATACGTAAAAGCCTTGATAACGGACGAACTGGGTCGTTGTCTCGATTTCCTACCTAAATCGGATAGCCATTTCCACCTAGCGCTACGTGAAGGAATGGATATTGTGTACATAAACGATGAATTATACAGTTTGGGCGAGAATGCCCTTAAGACAGCAGAACATGAGCAAATATATGCCCTGTTGCAACTTATAAGACCAAAAAAAGTATGTGGGTTGACAGCACAGAAGTTGCCCAAATGCCTACTAGACCTCTGCCAGCAAAAAGATCTTTATCAGCCGACGGCTTTAGCTGCTTTAGGTAACATTGTAATTTAGAATTAATTTTAATTTACAATAATGTAAAAGTACAAATGCATGAACAAATATTTTTGTACCTCATCAACAAAAAGAAAAGCACCAAATTGCAGTAGGAAAATTTGTATTTAGTTCATATGGTAAAAGACAACAAAAAGCATTAACTATATCCAAATTGTTTCGTAAAGGCCTACCCTTTAGCAATCTTGGCTTTACTTTTCACTTTCTTCACCCGCTTCAGACCGTCCATTTTGCTCTTCATAAATTGTGAGTACATAGCCATCATGGTCGGTACGTCCTCCTGACGCAGAACTGTAGAAATCTTTTTGGAAAATATGTTATGGTTTCCTATTCTGTAAACACATTAAAGGTTTACCTTTTTTGACTTGCACTGGGCGCGCATTAAGCACATATAAGTACTTGGCTTGGCTAATGGTGGTCTTCCTTCCCGCGGCTCGGGTCGGTCGTGTCCATCGTCTGAAGATGAAAGCGTTGTAATAAAGTCTTCAATGGGCGAAAGTAGGATACTTACACCGTTTGAATGTTACCGTGAATGAAGAATCATTTCTTGCGTTATTAGCAATCTTCTCAAGCCGCAATATAAACTAGGGAAGGAATATTTAATTAAAGTTAATGAAATGAATAACATTATTTTTATTTACGCTGGAATTATCAAGCAACACCATTTCGCTGTTTGCCACGAAGTCGAGGGGCCCTGGTTACTATCAGACGCTGTCAATGTCAGTTTATAGAGAACTTTATCGATATATTTCGCCTTTTTTAGTGTATTTTCCTGCACAATAGTTTCGGGGAAATGTCAGCCCTCAAATATCGATAAGCCCGATAGTTAAAAAAGCGAAAATTAAAATAAAAAAAAAAAAAGTTAACTACGAAGGCTTACAAGTGCAGGCAATCGGGTGTGTAAGGAGCAACTGCACACGACATTAACGAGAAATAACGCCGCGCTTGTATTTTTTGTCTAAGAGACAACGTGAACCGCCGTTGTGCGCTGGTAGTGGTGTATAAGCAGAATATATAATAGCTGATCGAACGACCGCCAAAGGAAACGCTACTCGCCCACGCCAGCAGCAGCAAACAATAACAGCGTTATAGTAACCTTCAAACTTGGCACAGTAAACAAAAGACAAGAATAACAAACAAACTAGGCATCATGGTAAGCGCGGCTGTAAGGCCATAAGGACTAGCAGCAGCAGCAACGCAGCAGTGACCGGGCAACGGGAGCGTCATTTATGCACACACGCGCACGCACACAAACGCGTAGACACATGCACACACACGCGGGCGGGCACGGTGAATAAGCATGAAAATTAAAAAAGTGCCCCGCCAACATTACTGCCTGCTGCTGCTAATATGAACGACCTTTGACCAAAACTTAGTAATGTTATGGCTAAAAACAAGCTACAGCCTATATATTACATACATATACGCATGCATATTTCCCACTTTCAGGATGTGTTCCTAATGATCAGAAGGCAAAAGACAACTATTTTCACGGATGCTAAGGAGAACACAACAGTAGTAGAACTCAAACGCATGATTGAAGGTAAGTGTGTGTTAGTGTTGGCCGTGATGTGTTTGTGGTAATCGTGGGCTACTATTTTTAGCACATGTTGTTAGCATGAACACAAAAATTTCCTACTAAGTCATTCTATTACTCCCGCAGGCATTTTGAAAGTACAGCCCGTGGATCAGCGGCTGTACAATCAGGATAACGATATAATGGAGGATGATAATACGTTGCAGGATTATGGCGTGACGGTTTCAACGGCAAAGGCGCAGGCGCCCGCACAATTGGGCTTGACATTAAGGTGAGCTTCCGTTCAATCTACTGATAAGCAGACTTCTCTCCCTTCCGTTATTATCACTACACGTGTACCGAGCTAACGTGGAAACGGAGAGCTTCACTACTAAGTCAAATTAACGTTGTCCTGACACTTCCCTATGCTCTGTTTCAGGAACGAAGTGGGCGACTTTGAGACGCTTGATATCACACCATACTCATCACCACCAGACTTACCTGAAGTAATGAAAAACCAAGAGGCCTCGAACGGACAAGAGCAAGTCGCATAGATCAATATTTGCCTACAGAAAAGTAAAACAGCCGAAAAATCTATAAAACTTAACAAAAGTGGAGTCGCTTGTCCTGTCCCAAACAGTCAACTCTCAATACAATGCAAAATGTTTAAAATTGTGCTATGTATTTCTACTCTGCGTGGTCACACAACAGTTAAATATGATGCATTTTATTCGTTATATAGAGCGAGAAAAAATACACATTATTTTTTAATGCAATTATTATTTGAATTGGTATTAAGAAATTTTTATTTTTGCCCCAGAATTTGTACGAATTTGTTAAAAAGAAATGAATGTTCAAGGACATTCTACACATGAATTGGAAATATAATAACTAAATGCCATCTGCACATGAAACAGAAAATGAAATATCTAATATTGTAGCCTTACAACAATTGCAATTGATTATTATTGAGCAAACGGTGAATATTGAATATATTGGGATTTAATTTTATTATAATTTATAATCAAATTATTATTGTAATAAGATTTCATTATTATTAAAAAACAAAAATGAAAAACGAAAATAATCTAGTCGCTATCATCTAGATCTGAGCTGGCAGCCGCCGTCATAGCAGCCACTTCGGCATCATTGGCATCCGTTAAATCGGCCACCTCATCATCTTCGCCACTATCAATGTACGATGCATTACTGCTCTGTTGCAGCTCTAAGTGCTCCAAATACTCCTGTAGCCGATCTTGAAAGAAGTTAATGTACGTCTGCTTCTGTTGCGCAGTGGCCGGAAAATAGTGGCCTCCATTGTGCTCGAGCACCTCGACATTTTTAAAATGTGCCGCTAACGATTCGCTCATATCCTTAGATATGATTTCATCAGTCAGACCGTAAATGTGCAACGTTGGTATTGTGATTCGTTCCTCATAGGCACTCATATGTACTAAGCTGCCGGATATAAAGCCAGATGCGAGCACCGCAAACTCGGGACGTATTGACGTTACTGCGATTTAAAAAAAAAACAGTAAATGTTGTTAAGCCAGGCAGATTCAATTTATACTTACATTTCTTTTTAGCTAAGCCACATATTAAGCCCACAAAGCAAGCACCTTGCGAAAATCCAAGTAGACCTTGAAATGGACCATCTTTCTTCCACGCCTCTTCAACCACGCGCAAGCTTTCTTGAAATCCATATGCCGGGCCACCTTTGTTAGTGCCCTTGAAACTACCGTCGTCTTTGTTGGCCCACCAACTACGTTGCTCGGGCAATGCTGGCGAAGATGCCTCAAAAGGTTGAGCTACATGAGGAGCATTGATAAACACAAACTCGGCATATTTTGTGGTAAACTTTCTGAACGAGCCCAGTTTGTTTTTGAAGGAGTCTGCCGATTGCCTGTATCCGTGCAGGCAGAGTACGCGGACTTTATCTGTGATAGCTGCGCTCGCGGACGCAGCATTCGAGCTGGATGCAACTGCCTCGTCGTTGGTCATGGCCCCGGTTTTAAAGTGGACATGCAAGCATGTCACACATACATGTGTTATATATTATGTATGTATGTAAATTAGAGATGGTAGATAATCGATAGCATGCTCTTCTTATATTTGCTATAACGGCGATCTTCTATTACCACTATTGACTGCTTTCAGATCTACTGAATCAAGGAAGAAGCAACAAATGAGTTATACTTCAGTGTTCGTCCTTAAAAGAATTTTTTGTATCGTTATAGCCTGTGAGATTTGAGAAGCTGCCCAATTAACGCATCGTGCTGCAATCTTTTGGACTGATGTGGCAGCATTCTCAGCTGCTGCAAGTTAGGTGGCAACTCAAGATTTCTTTGCCGGCTCACTTTACGTAAAGTTTTTGCTATCAGTTCAACAAGTTGCCTGTGCATATTCTATCAAAAGTTCAGGAAGCAAGGGAACATAGTAAGGAGTCTGCAAGAAGCGCAGAACCACATAAAAATGATTTTCACTACAACGATGCTTTCCCGAGGCTCTCTCATCGGCTCGCTAATCAACAAAGTCAGGCAAGTTGTCAAAAAACAACCCGATATACCCGAAATCAACAAAAATCTCCCACCTACGCCCACACACATTGCCTCCACATCAACAAACATCAACAGACCGGTAACCGCGGCCAGCATTAGCAACAGCAGCTCCTTGCAGCAATCCAAAACACTGGAGGAGCAGGTTGGTCTCCCGCGTCGTCCCAAGAAGCCACTGACTCCGTATTTCCGCTTTATGCGAGAAATGCGGCCGAAGCTCATAGAAAAAAACCCCACTATATCAGCCGTAGATATCGTGCGGCAGCTCTCAAAGAGTTGGGTAGGTGTTGACCCCAAGTTGAAGGAGCGCCTGCAGTCAGAGTACAAAAAGGAACAGCAGGTCTATGTGGAGCAGCGCTCCAAATACGATGCCAAGCTGACTGATGAACAGCGAGCTGAAATCAAGCAGCTTAAGCAAGACATTATCGATGCGAAAGAGCGCAAACAGTTGCGCAAGCGTGTAAAAGAACTGGGACGCCCCAAGAAACCAGCATCTGCCTTTTTGCGTTTTGTGGCGAGTGAACGCACGAATACACCACAAACAACACAACAAACGTATCGCGATTGGCACCAAAAAGCCACAGCGAAATGGAGTCGTTTGACTGACGAAGAGAAGGGTATATACATGCAGGAGTCGCGAAAGGAGCTGGACCATTATAAGTACCTATCCTCAGTATTTACGCTCAGAACTCTGAATTTATAATATCATTGTTTTCAGAAAAGCGATTGCCATTTGGGAGGAGAAAATGATACGTCTGGGACACATGGACGTGGTGCGCCATGGCAACCTTATTGAACCGCCAGAGCCGAAGCCGCGCAAGTCCCAGGCAGTTAAAGATAAATAGTCGCAAGCGCCATTGCCATCACATTTTTGAAATCATAGTGTCATGTTTGCGAATCATTTAACGTTAAGCAGAAAATTCAACATTGAATTGCTCCTACAGTGGACATCATTTTGTTATTACGGCTCAATTAAAGTTTTGAACAAATGTTCTCGATGTGCTCTGTTTTTATTTTCACCGTTAGGAAGCCTACCCGGCCTAACACGTGAATAAATAGATGAATCGTCCTCAAGATTTTATGTACATAGTACACATACAAGTAGAACAATAAATTGGCAGCAATAAATACATTTGGCTTTACAATTTCGCCATACAAAACGTAACAAGAAATGGGTGAGATACATAAATCCTTTTCAAAGAACTACATGAGTTGTTAACTTTGTCTGCTTCCCTTCATGGAATTCTTTCATGCCCAGGGGCCGCGCACCACTGTGTCCGTACTATCTGCTATCTATCTGCATTCATTAGAATTTATATACATACATGCATATTAAGTTATATTTCATGTTGTATAGCTTCTTTGCATTTGGTCATACAGACTTATATATATACAATATCTTTATACGCAAAAAGGTTTGCAATACAAAAACTTTTAAATCATATGTTCATAGTATATTGAACTAACATATAGTACATATATAGTATGTAGGTGATTAACCATCGTTCCTTCTGGGGAAAAAATAATATTCCCTTACATTTTAACAGTATGCAAGTTTTCCTACCGGCTATGTACAATTGTGAGGCAGGTGTTTCCACAATTTTCTGGATGGATTTTAAGAAAAGAACCCCTTTTTAATGTTTTCTAAGCTTACGTCGTAAAGATAAATAAAATGAAGACCTGAAAACTTTCTACTAAACAATAACAGCCCTATACTCTACCTTAAACTAAGTTTTCAATCATTATAAATTAACTAACGGGGACCATTTACTGCTATATGTACCGGAACCAATGAGTCTATGAATTTTTTAGGCCACATACATGAAGTAGATTTACATATGTATGTATACATATTCATATGCACACTAACTTTTTTCAGTTTTAAGAAAGCCATTCCGGGCTGGAAAAGCCAGCACGTGGCGCTGCACATATGTACATACATACATATACATATGTATATGTATGTAAATACATATGCACATAGTAAAAAGCGTTAGCTAAAGAACTTTGGACATTTATGTACATACTATAGTACATACTATATTTGCATGGCCTTACAAAGAAGCACATACATAGTATGTACATACAAGTACATACATTCATCTGGAACTTTAGCAACACGTGTCTGAGTCTTACGGGGTTAAAATCACAATTAATTTTCAGTTGATTTAACACGGTAATCGACACAATTTTAATCTATCTGCGTAGATCACGGTGCACAAATAACAGTTTGATTTGTCACCTCAAATGCGCAGAATGAAAAAGTTTGAAGAATTAAAAAGTACAGTCTGGTAGATATGTACATATGTATGTACATATCTATACGTATGTACATATATATTATATATGTAGGTATATGCTGGAGCAAAACACAACCAGACGCTGTCCGAGTCAGTTTCCAAATGAATGTAGTTTTCGGCTGGATGGGCACAGCTAGGCTTGGTTGAGAAATGGGCAATGTGATTCCATTTCGAGTGCCAGCCAAATACAGTAAAACACTGGAATAATGTTAACAGAACTGGAATCTCCGAGCACACACTCTCATATAAATGCGATAGCCATAACCGAAAGCAGAATGGAAACACAATAGCCAACAATTGATAACAGTTTCTTTTATAACGTATGCTTACTCAAACAGTCGCTTCCTTTACATAAATAAGTACATGTGTGTGTGTGCACGTGCATATGTGTGTGTAAATTTGTGACCAGTCGATTTCTCTTGCTGCTCTCCCTGAGCGACTTTTCAAAACTGTTTCTTTTTTGATTACCTTTCATATTGTATCTCTTTCCAGTGAGCACCGCCGCTCAGGCATACCGAGAAAAAGACGCCCAGGTGTCTGTTGTTGCTTCAACAGGTAGACAAAATCAACAGATGGACGTTCAGGCTGTTAACATTTTTTGCAGCCATTTCTGAAGGTAACATCATGAAATTTCAACACAATTATATACTTACTTATACGTACATATGTACTCGTATGTATATATGTACATACATATGTGTGTTAATACAAAGTGCTTAAGTGGCTGCTACATTCTTAAACCAGAATTTGGTTCCTAACCTCCGATTAAAACAAAAAATAACACGTATTTTTATATGCATATATGTATGTACATATGTACATACATACATGCTATATAGTATATACTTAGATCGGAGACTGTAGACCAGCTCTGATGTTACGCAAGTCCAACTGGCAAAACCTTGAGCTACTCGCATGCCACCACAGCCCAAAAGCTGAGTAAAAACAAAATAAATGAAACGAACATTTTCGCAATAGCCACCAAGATAGAAAAACCAAATACATGTTCACATAAACGGTGGCCGACTCGGCTACTGGTTCAGCCAATGAAAATCTGCACAAATTTTGGCAGAATGAATAAAACAAGCCCCCAATCTCAGCGTCGAAGTTTTGCTGCCGTGCCGATTAAAATTGTTTACAGTCTTTGCACGACTGACTGCCTCGAAACGTACATATGTATTTATATACATGTATGTATGTGCATGTATATTTTTAAGTATGTATATAAGTGCATATACAGAGATGCCTGATACCTTAACCGCGCTGCACTTGGACTATGTACCCAGGTAATGAGGCCCAGTAGCACGGCTTAAGGCTTTATATTTTCTGTGGTGGCCGTCAGGTGGAACCGTTTAAACATGTATGTACATTGTTTGTAGCTACTTACTACACATTTTGTTGGTGTTTCGTGTTTAAAGCATAATATATTATTATGTTTATTATTAGCTTGAGGCTGCTGCTGCATTTGGTTCTGTGCAAGAAACTTACAACAATTCAAAGTGGCGGTCAACTTCTTTTCAAATGTTACGCAATACACATACAAACTTACATACTTACATCGGTACATACAGTTCTTTATATGTTTGTATCTATGTACATACATACATATATCGTTCTTTGCCTCACTCTGAATTTTATTTCTAACCACAGATGGTGTTCGTTCGGAAGTAGTTTTTCCTGTAATTAGAAGCCGTTAGCCATTGTCAGAGCTTTCTAAAATTGTTGGATTGGAGATTCTAATATTTTGAGCAAATCTACTGTCTGAGAAGACACTTCACCTGGAAAGCAAGTTTTTCATTTAAAATTGGTAGAGAAACTGAAACTTAAGCAAATTTGAGCAAACTTAAACGATAGCCTTTCCCAAGAACCAGCACTAAAGAGAAAGACTGCAATTTTTAAATAAAATTTAGAAATGGAACTTACGGAATAGAGCTTTATATATCCTGTACCCGTAGGGTAAAATGGCTATATTAGGTTTGTGCAAAGTATGTAACAGGCAGAACGTAGCACCTCCGACCCCATAAAGTATATACATACATATATTCTGAATCAGCATGACGAGAGAAATCGATCTGTCCGTCTGTCTCTCTGGATGAACGCCTGGATTTCGGAATCGGCTGAGAGTACATAAACCAAACTTGGCATGCATACGCTCCTAGTCCCTAGTCTATACGAGTTTATTTTACTTTTTTGAATTTTCCCCCCTTCCGTCCGCTACAGAATTTCATCAATACCGGCCACATTTCAGAAGCTGCATTAAACAAACTTTGCATGCATAATTAATATATAATAATATATTATCTACTTTTGTTTCATCAAAATCGGTTGATTCTTAGAAAAGTTGTTAGCTCTTCTTCTTCCTCTTTTTGCTTCTGCTATGACGGAAGATTGTCTGGGTACAGGGTGTTTCGACTGTGGCGTTCTCTCTCTTTTTTTGAACCAGCATTATTATATTATATAGAGAGACTTTAATTATCACATGCATTTGTGAAATGAAATTAAGCGACAGCACTTCTAAAGCACCAGAAATACATTGAAAGGAGACTCCCATTTTTTCGTAGAATTTTCTATAAAATGTCAAAAATATTGTAATCACGTTTAAATACAAGATTATATTTTAAAATATTCATTGAAAGTATAAATAACAAAATGAACTTAAGCGACAGCACTTCTCAAGAACCAGAAATAAATTGAAAAGAGACTCCCATAATTTGAAATCACGTTTAAATATCAGATTACAAGTATATTTAAAAATATTCATGGAAAGATAAATAACAACACTCTCATAAATTTGAGTTGTTCGGCATTTGCATTTGTACATCGTGGACCAAGGAGCTTAAATCCTGTACTTACTTTGCTTTAAGTTGGATTAGTGTTATTAAGTGTAGCACTTATTTACTAGAAGAATCAATTTCAATATCAGGGTTAGGGTAGAGATATGTATATCTAACGATATTTTTATTCGAATTTTAAAAAAGTTCGGGAGCAATAATTTAATGCAATGAAACATGATTTTTCGACAAAGTTCTTCAAACACTAATACTTGTACATATAACAAATTGAACTAGAATGTGATGTGTTGTGATGTGATGTTGGCTTAAACAAAATGCATACAACAATTAAATGTATTATAAAACAAAGGGCATACATACATATGTACATGGATAATATCAATAACTAACCGCGCTTCCCCCCGCTACTGCCAGCACCGCCACCGCCACCACCACCGTGACTGTCCTCGGAAGGAGGCCGGACCCAGCCACCATAGCGGCGCTCCATCTCACGCGCCACAGCCAGACAGAGGTGATCCTGGCCTGGATTGGCCACCACCTGTATACCCATAGGCAGGTTGCGCCTGTCGAGCCCAATCATGCAATTGGTGACGGGCAGGCCCAGTGTATTGAAGATAGCCATGTACATGGGCTCCAGCAGCTTATGGTAGATCTGGTAGTGCTGGTGGGCCGTGTTCGGAAACGTCGGATAGAGGAACACGCCATCTGAGCCGAGCAACTCCTTGAATTCAGTCTTAAGCGCCTCAATTATGGTGGCTAAGTGCTTGTGCCGAGAGTTCGGTAAGATTTTCATAAAGTTCTGCAGATGGCCGAATATCACCGACGGCAGAATGCTGTCCGAGCAGCCAAAGAAGTACTTGACCGTCTCCTTGCACACGGTCTTGGGCTGTTCGCCCTCTTCGGTCTTGTGGTAGATGGTCTCGATGTTCTTCATGGTCAGCATGGCTGAGAGGGAGATGTCCAGGGACCACTTCATCTTTCGAATGTTAACGCGCTTTGCATTGAAGTCGCTGGCGACGCGGTTGATCGCGGCATGCAGATCACGACTGAGCGGTCGCATCATGCCAGAGGGACCGTCATTATCCATGAAGAAGAAGCGTATGCCGAGTACACTGATCTCCTTCTCGAGCGTCAGCTTGGGACCAGTTGGATCGCACATGCACTTCAGCAGAAGCGGCAAGTCCTTTGCGTAGCGGGTCATCGGCGCTATGGTGAAGAAATCGCCCCACTTGGGGAAATCGCTGGTCGGATGATGGCCGCGAAAGGAGACCGCATACGGCGTCGGTTTGTGGCCCCAAATGCCACTGAACATGGCAGGGAGACGCGACGACCCACCTATGTCTGAGGTGAGGCCCAAAAGAGAGGCTCCACTAGCCAGCAGTGCCGCCTCTCCGCCAGAAGACCCACCCGGCGTCCGCTTCAAATCGTAGGGGTTCTTTGTCTGGCCCGTCACATTGTTGTACGTCTCCCAGAGCAGGCACAGCTCGGGTGTGTTTGAAACCAGCAAAATGATGCCTCCATACCGCTTGATCTGCTCCACAACAGGCGCATCAGATTTGGCTATCTGGGGACTTTTGAAAACGCGACCAGCCTGATTGGTCAAACCCTTGACCGCAATGCTCTCCTTCACGGTTACTGGTATGCCCAACAGCGGAGTATGCTCCTCCATTGATTCAACGCTATTAATGCCCATGGCAATAACGCTGTCAATCTCGCGCGCCTCCTCCAGTGCCTCCTCAAAGCGATCCTGTACAATGGCATTGATCAGTGGATTTACCTGCTTGCACCGTTCGATGTACGCCTCGACAACCTCTTCGCTTTTGATCTGGAAAATCAATAAATAAATAGATAACTATCAATTCACCAGGGTAAGTAAATTCCATTCGATTTTCCAAGCAGACTCTTAGCAGGAGAGATATGCGTTGAATTGCTTTTGTTGCGGACTCGCTTAATTGTTTGTGAGAACCGAATGACAACAAAGCCAATTTATGTTAAATTAAGATCAATAAAAACTCGCAGGCAATGCCAATTGCCTACAAACGATAAAGGCCACTCGGACATGTGCACAATACGCTATACGAAGCGTATGAGTAATCTGGTTGGGCTTAGTTGCCGCCAGAAAGTTAATTGTACATAGGTATTTGAAAGTATTAACTGACTTTAATGGTTAAGCTTATGGCCATTTATTGAGAGTAATTGCAGTCAGCTTTATCTTTATCCGCAAACTTCCCCCACTTGGGAGCCGAATTTTCAAAAGCCACACCTAAAGACATTCTTAATGTTCGCCTTATAACTTATGAAGTAGGAGTATGATGGGCGTTTTTAATAAGAATTACAAAAATGTAGAGTATATGTCATGTGATGTTGATCTGACTTATGAGTATCATCAGTTCAGGAGTCGAAGACGTTAAAGATTATTATATGATTATTAATTTAGGGTGAATAGACAATATCTTAATCGCTACTCCTATTTAGTAAACAAACACTATATTTTATTATTAAAAATAACACTAATTTGCAATGTGTTTTAAAAATTATGATATTCTGCTGTGCTCTATTCGATTGATTAAACCAGAAAGGAAGTTCCTCTGAGTCCAAAAGTCTTGCAAGTTTTTTCAGCATAATGTTTGAAACACCACCCAATGTGATTTGGTGAATTGAAGACAAAGAGTAAATAGTAAATCAATCTGAGTTTTTTCATATACAAGGAGACTTCTTTCACTAGCAGAGATACATAGGTGATGCAGTAAAACTAGTACCGAGTTTGGTGTATAAGATTTGTCGTTCCAAGGTTATACTTTTCAAGATATATAAATATATTCAGACTTCGCAATATAGCTAAAATGACGGCAAGCCATTGATCCCTTTATCCAGATTCGAGAGTAAACTCTAAAAGATGGAACTCTTCATGCTATATAAGAATATGTAATACATGGCGGATAAGTAATATTTTTAGGTCACATCCTTCATGGTGCGTTTTTTTGCTTACTTGTACAACCCTTATTTATTTTATTCGTGAATCAAAGATCAGCTTAATGTACATACATACATCATCATATAATTAAGGTTACTTGATTTGTTCAATGACTTCAACTACAAATAATTAGTCAGCAGCAGGAGTGGGTTTCAGAGCAACAACGACAAAGATGCCTGCCGAAGCTAGTATATATGTACAGTGAAATCGCCTATAACGACATTTCCCTTAGAACGATGTATAATGTTTCAAATTGTGTGCATGACCTACCCATATGTTTTCACCTTATTAGTTACCAGTAGGAAGGTATTTAAATGAACATTTTCTGTTCTTGACAAAAAATTGTTCAGTAGTCCGTTACATTTTTGTTCTTGCCAAAATATTTGGTTAAACGTACACACCAATGACCACTATAACTAAAATTGTTTCAAGCACGTTTTCCCCCCTTTGGAGCTTGAATTTTCTAAAAGCATCTTTGAGTGCGCACTTACACTATGATGGAATACTTGAACCCAAATTTCAGCGTTCTAGCTCTTACCGTTGCAGCTATGGGCTGTTGACGCGGTTTTCTCTTGAAAGCCCCAATTATTTAGTTTCCAGGAAAAAAAAAAAAAATAAGTATGCAGTTTTATTTTTATTCATTTATTAATTTTGGAAACTAAGTTTTAGGTCGATCGGTTGAAAAATGTGGTTGAAAAAATGACAAACAAATTTTGAAGCTCGTTTTCCCCACTACATATATATGTATTACTTATAGCGCCCATAATTACCATACAATTTAATTTAAATTGCTATCAGTTACAACGACCAAAACCAAAAATGAATTGAAAATCCAAACTGTACAAATACGGGCAGGGCTAACACACATTTTGTTTCTTCCCAACACTGTTTTTAATTTGTAGGAGTATTGTGCTTCCCCTTTAAATGTTTCATAAAAACTAATAGTCTGTTTATCTGTAAGCCTTTTACAGGAAAAAAGCCGAAATATATTAGATATTGTTCGCCTAAACAAAGGCCAAAAAAATTGTGTCTGACCAAAGAAGTTGAGAAGAAAGTAGTAGTGAAGAAGCTTGAACATATTAGTGAAAATTTATACTTTTGTTAGGTGCTTAAACTGATGAACTGTTTAAACTAATGATTATCATAATCATTTCCAATTGAAAAACATAATAAGGTCGATGAAGGGTCATGCTATGTTGTTGAGGTACTGCGCGTAAATTTATCTGTTTGACTGATATTATAAAAAAAGCAGCATATATGTATGTATGTATATGTATACTTGTATGTACATGCATATATTTATATAGCATACTGAGCTCTTTAATGAATACAAGTCTAATCGAGGGCATGTCAATTAAAAATAATATACTATTTATAGTAACTTTTCATTTTATTATTTGAAGAAGTACTTTTTAAACTCTCTTATAAATAAATAAAACTTATTGTGCTTCTATTATGAATATCAAAAAAAAAGTTTGAATAAATTTTAGAGTATTCGTACTAACTTTTCATTTTATTATTTGATCAACAACGTTTTAAACTCTCATTTATAAATAAATGAATCCTATTCTATTATGATTATAAAAAAAAAGTTTGAATAAATTTGGATATGGATTCTTATTAAAAAACGAAGAAATCTGTGGGAATATCGCCTACGAAGCCTATCGGTTACAAAGTCGTTATACGCGATTTCTACTGTACATACATATATATATATGTGTGTATATGTATGTATGTGTGTGCGTTGCGATAAGCAACAACAGTGGCACTGACAGCATCCATCAGCAACAACAACAACAATAACAATGAAACACTACCGCGAAATCTGCAATCGAAAACCCAGCGATTCATTCAATGCTAGTCATGACAATGTACATACATACATACAAACATGCATACAATATGTATGTATGTATTTATGTGCAATTGAGTAAACACGTTGCTGGCGCCGCCAACTACAGCTAGTGTGGTTGTTGTTTGGCTCTGGCAGCATTGGGAAAACAGAAACATGCCAAGAAATCGCGACACACAGATACAAATTAATATTTATGTATGTATGTACATTGTAGGTATGTATGTAAGTATAAACATATGTACGTCAATTATAGCGTACGTGCCCTAAAAGCCAAAAAGAAGCAGCAGTAGCGTCGGCAGCTTAACAAAAATACGGCCCAAAATTGTGCGACTCAAGTACGAAGACAATTGTTTAATTTTTAAAAATACAGAGATACATACTATATATATACTTGTACTTATGTACATACTACGTATGTATGTATGTACAGACAAGCATCAACAGCCAGAAATACAGACGGAAACACAGACGACGATTCTGTACGAGGGTCACATTTTAATTTTCAGAAACGGAAAAGCTAACGAACTGTGCATGACAATCTTTTTTTTTTTGCATTTTGCACTTTTGGCATTTGGTAGCCTGTGGCTGAACGACCCTAAAGTTCTATTTTTTCGGTAGTCGACAGTAGCGGAATTAATTGCACACCTTTTCTAGAAAGTATTTTAATTTGAATTCTATTTTTTATCAATAAAATGAAACTAAATAAAAGATTCGATAATAAGGCCATTGAAACCAAATAACAACAGCAAGGCTTTAAAACTGCTTGTCACTGCTTTACACTGCTTCTTTACGTCCTAACTTGCTTTGGCGCTGGATTTTTAAAAATTGCGGATTCGTTATTAGACATTTTTGTCATTTTTATAGGCTTTTTTATTTCTTTAGTTTTATTTAGTTTAGGTTCTCTATTGTATTGATTTTATGTATATATTATGTATTTACATATGTATATAAAATTTTTATTTTCTTTTACATGGACTGCATAGTTTGTCAATTAAATAAATAAATAAAAAAATGCTTGAGTAAGAAATGATTGCTGCATTCATTTTCAAAGAAGCGGACGGTTGATGCTTGGTATTTGGCTAAAAGTGCATTACATGTTTAAACATTTTTTAAGCTTCAGATTTATGCAAATTTAATTAATACCCTTCTCCAGTCCCTATCAACTTTAAGATATAGAATTTGGTGAGTGGCATGGTCAGACAAATTGAAAAGCGTGCTTAATGCTGGAACTGAATACTCGTCAGATAAAACTCGGAAAAACAAGACGGAAATTGCATTATGAATTGGGCTAAAATTTCATTTCATGCATCGCGAATATATTTCATCAAATATAGCATGGATTGGCAGCTATATGTGTTTGTAATTGAAAAGGTTATGCTTTCAAATGTTAGTGAAGAAATACCGCTGATTGGAGTACTCTGGCAGAGCAGGCCAACAGAATAATTGTACTTTAATCTGTGACTCGACGTCTGGAAGGAAGTTGTAGAAGAAAGTTGTCAAGTAATGCTGCACTGCTTTGGAAAGCAGTTAGACATACTTGGATCCTCATCAGTATACCCTAGCTTCAAACATGTATTTACAGATAATCCCCCAGTATTTGCTTTGGACTCTTCTCGTTTTCAAGTATTCTGTTTTTACATGGTTTTGATTTAACACGGTTTGAAAATTAAAAATTGCATAAATATTTCTTTAGAGATAAGGAACCAATCACCTATTTTTGCATATGATCAATGTCTTTTTTTCCACGGTTGTTTCTGGAACCAGGTGTAACGCCTTCGTCTATGCTGAGAATGTGAAGAAAATCTTGTTTTGCTTAAAATTAGATATTCACCAGTTTCCTTTTCATTAATGATATTCTAAGTCTCATTCTTCTTAGTATGTATTGTTTTTCTCTTGCGTTTTGGATCGTCACACATACACTGGCTTAGTTTCGGAAAAGCTCTATATACAAGCATCTTAAATATTATGCCTTGAACACACACAAAGACATGCAGACTTATACTATATATCTGTAATTAAATTCATGCATTGTACATGTAGAAACATGTAATTGAAGCAATCTGCCCAACACATACATATATACACACGTATGTATTTCATTGTTCCAATGTGAAATATGTATCTAAATAAATTTCAATTTGTAAGTGCGCGCAATTAAGAAAAATGTTCCCGTCTTCATGAGACGACACATTTTTGGGGCCAGCTTAGAGGGTTAGAAAAAAAAAACAACCTACATACCCGAAGTTTGGTCATCACGTACATACAAGTACATATGTAAATATATAGTGTGTAGATACAAGTACATGTGGACAGAGTTAACGATTCGTGGAATCAATTTTGTCCCCAACCAACGCTCTATTTAGCTTTGATGTAGATCTGGTAACTCATCTAGCTACTCGAGTTTTTCTGCACTCCTTGGTAAGCTCTACCCTGGAAATTGGAGACAAAATGTGTGCTCACTCTTCCTCTTCTTCCCTGGATATGGATGGGTTATGTTAGATTGGAGTGGCCGGGATATATGTTTGCCTTTCAACTGGACAGCGCATCTGACAGCAATGTTTCAATGCAGCTTTGAAACTTGGTGTGTGGCAATGAAGCTCATAGTAATAAAAAATATATATTTTAATTAAAAAAATATATGAAGTAATAACTTTGGCTTTCATAAACACCGCGCGCCAAAACAAACAGCGAGCAACATTTTTGTTATGCAACGGACGAACGTGCAATAAAATATAAACTTTATACACTATATACATATATATGTATATATGTATCATATGTATGAACATCGAGCTCCAAAATTGCCCTTTGTTTTTAATATACTGTCTGTATACTTTTGTACCCATATGTAGCTTTGGAAGTAGCAAATAAAAATGTCTATAAATCTTCGACCGTTGCGGTGCTGGTGGGGTACAGACGGCCGTAATGTTTCATATAGAGATGCATATCGTATAATTGTTAAATGTACGCATTATTAAAATGGCCGGGTAATGTCTAATTGGCTGTCAGTCGTCTGAGGTTACCTATAAAGTACGATAAGCCGAGCACAGTCAGTCGCTTGAAACTCTCTAGGCCACATCTCTGCGATTGGCCAAGTCGGTGTAGATGCTCGTCTTGGCTTGTGGTTAATCGAAATTTGAGCAGGAATCTCGAAATAACATTAAAAGCAGTGCGCAATTTAATCTGTGCATACAAGTTTATACAATTTTTTAGCTACCTACTATAGATGTACCCACGAATTGCCAACCGAGCGGAGCAAGTTTATATTTTTACCCGTTGCTTGCATCAGCATATCTGTCTGAATATATTAAAGTAAGATTTCAGTCCCCGAACCTGGCATTCAGGCTCTGCTAGCGACAGATTCTTTACGGCTTTAACATTTGTCGAGACTCTTGGAATTTATATTTAAAATGTAATTACCCCAATGCATTAATGCCCATTTAAAATTCTCATTAATTTCGTTTCGAGCGGAAATTCCTACCCATTGGCTAGCAGTGTCGAGCAGTGCCATTTACAGAACCAATCCTTACAGAATTTTCGAATAGTTGCATTGTTGCTTACACGATTTGATTGTAGTTTTAACATTTGAAGATGCCTCGCTACATTCGAGACTCTTGGAATTTATATTTAAAATGTAATTACCCCAATGCATTAATGCCCATTTAAAATTCTCATCAAATTCGTTTCGAGCGGAAATTCCCACCCAAATCCATTTAGTGAAGTGGCTAGCAGTGTCAAGCAGTTCCTTTTACAGAACCAATCCTTACAGAATTTTCGAATAGTTGCATTGTTGCTTACACGATTTGATTGAAGTTTTAACATTTGAAGATGCCTCGCTGCACTCGAGACTCTACCCTAATGCATTAATGCCCATTAAAAATTTTCATTAATTTCGTTTCGAGCGGATTAATTCAAAGGCACTTATAACCATTCATAAGGTTCCCACCCATATCCATTTAGTGGAGTGGCAAGCAGTGTCAAGCAGTGCCATTTACAAAACCAATCCTCACAGAATTTTCGCATAGCCGGCTGCATTGATTTTGTAAGGTTTTGCCAGCTATTTGGCACTACTGTTGTTTTTCTTGTTGTTGGTGTTACTGTTGTTGTTTTTGCAGTTGTTGTACACGATTACGTTTGATTGAAGTTTTGCGCAAGCCCCAGCAAAGTGGTTTTGCAAAGAAATAGTTAGACAAAGTCAAATTGGGGCGCTGATTTTGTTGCTTTCGTATCTTGGCAATAGCTACGTACATACATACGTAAATAGTGCGTATATATGTGCAAGTTGATTCGGTTCGTATGGTATTCAATTTGAACTTACCTTTCTGGTGCGAATCAGCTTGGCCAAGTCAACGGCAGGTATTTCCAGCAGATGGCTGCGTATGGGCGGCAGCTTTCGCCGTAGCACCTTTATGTTGGTGTAACGACTGTAGGGCACTACGAACCAACTGAAGACAATCATGGCCGAACGCAAGAAGCGCCGCATGATGTATCCCAGAATTCTGGAACAAAGTAGCACAGCAATTTTGACGGCTTAGTGGTAACAACTGGGTCAATAAAAAAGTATACTAGATACTTTAGATATGTTTAGGTTTATAAACTACGAACGAGTATGTCTATATGTACATATGTTTATTTTTTGTCTCGATTTAAACGATAGCACGACTCGGTTACAATACGATTCCACGATTCCGATTCCACACGTATCCACGACGTCGATGAACAGGTTCGCGAGTGCGCGACAGGATTGCGCAATTTGCAGCTGTTGTTGGCAACTGCAACTTCTGCGGCCGCCGCGGCTGCAGCAGCAACTGCGTTGAATGTTGTTGCGACGCTTGTTGCACAATTCACTTGAGAGCTGGCAACTGGCAGTATCGAACAATGAGCGCCGCTTAATGCTGAATGGTCAGTTAGCTAATTGCTGCAACACTTTCTTGGGCTGGGCTGGTCTGCATCTTGTTGCTGCATCGAAGCATTCACATCCACATCCACATCCACAATAACCACGACACTACAAAGCTGGCTACTGTTCGGCTTGCTTGGGTTTTTACTGATTTGTTGTTATTGCGAGACTGCGACCAGTTTTTCACAACAACCCCAAAACGTATTTAGTTTTCGGCTGCACTTCTGTTTGATTTTCGGAGCGGAGCGACCGCATATTCAATGTTCCTCCGGCTTTCATTTTGCTCTATTTTCGATTATTTGTTGTTGTGGCGGCGGCTTATCACATCATCACACCAACATGAATATTAATTCATTTCTAAGCTGCACTTTTTTTGTCTGCACATACATATATGTGTGTGTGTGTATATATTTGTATTTACAAATAGCTGGCGATGGAAGAACGACGCTGTGACTCGAACGGCGCGTGCTGAGCAAATAACCGAAGCCAGCGCTGTGCCAAATCATTTAAGCGGAGCTTTGCTTCGTCTTGTTGGGGGCTATCAAGCAGAGATAGAGGGAGAGAGAGAGAGAACACGCTAGAGTGCGCCGCTCTTAACACGTTTAAGAGTGCGCACCTACTCTTAGCATTGTGTTAAGGTCCAGCAGTAAATCCCCATTTGCTTTTCACATTTTCTTCAGGAAATGACTGAACTTAGTTAACATTGACTAAGTGTCAGTTTAATTGCAAGTTATGTATATACATATTTATTTATCTGCGTCATTGTACCTATTAATTTGTTTATGTGGAAGTATCTGTCTATCTGTCCGCATTTCTTGCTAAGCTCCAATTACGAATCGCAGGCTTTTGAACTTGACATACATACATACAGACGAGTATGTACGAGTATATGCTTTTATGTATTTATGTGACTGTCCTCGGCAAATACCAATATCCTGCAGTTAGAAGCCTCTTTTTTCAAAATTCACAGCTACAGCTTATCTATATACAGTGAAAACTCCCATAATGGACACCTCTTTTATCCGGACACTTTCTTCGGCAGACACTTTTTCTAAAGCATTCGATCGGTGTATAAAGTATTTAAGCGGACACTCCCCTTGGGCGGACAAAAATTGGCCAGCCGTTACTGTCCGGCCAAGAGGATCGAATTGAGTCTGTTCAGAAACAATTCCTCCATTTTCCTTCCTTCATTGGCGAATCGGAAGACTGTCCTTAGAGCTGTATTTCTCCACAAACTGATTGCCGGTAGCGTTGATTCTCCTTTCCTTTTAGGTCGTCTTAATTTCTCAGTTCCTTCCAGAACGACAAGAAATTATCTTCCCCTTCTCCTTAGTAGGTGATTATGCATCGCACAATCCTTTTCGGGTTTTATGCTCACCATATAATGAGTATTTTCACCTGCTCTCAACTGAACTGTCTCTTCCTTTAATAAAAGTATCTCCTTTCAGCCATCTCCGAAGTCTCTGACCATGATCGGCTGTGAGACGGGACATAGCTTACCGGACTGGCTAGAAAATCTTCCCTTACCGTGTCTGAGATTCCAAAATTTCACTTTTTATTCTCTGTACATAAAATATACAGGAGTATATCAGGTTTGCGGGAGCTGAAAATGTAACAGGCAGAAGGAGGTGTGGCAGATCCCACAAAGTATATATATTTTTGATCAGCATGACCAAACGAGTCGAAAGATGCCTTACAAGTATGTGTGTACGCTGTGGAAGTTTGTTTTATTTTTTTGATTTCCCCCCACTTCCCCCCTATGGGGGCTTTCCCGATTTTCCATTCGTATAATCGCCTATAACTCGGAGACTATAAGACCTAGGGACACCAAATTTTAGTCCCAGATGCCTTATGTGAATACGCAGAAAATGTGTATTTTGGAATTTCCCTCCCTCCCCCCTCTCCTCCGCAAATCGTAACTCCCGTAATTCTCGGGACACCCGACTTTAGCTTTTTTACTTGTTTTCTCTCACAAATTTTGAACCATTTAATATTTCGATAAGTCGTAATATTTTAAGAGCCCCTCGAGTTTCGAATTAACGACAGTCGACTGTAGTATGTATTTCTATTCCAATTCAATAAAGTACATTGAATTTGCACTTAAAAGTGCAGACCGCACAATGTTTATAAATTCTTAATCAGCGAGAAGACGAGTCGATATAAATGTAAATGTCCGTCTGTCTGAGAGGATCTGAGAAAGTATAAGAGCTATTAAAACCAAACTTGCTATCCAGTTTCTCTCAAGCCCGACTTCCGCGCTATTATAGAATTTCCATAAATCAATTCAATTTGGCAATGTGAATAGATCATTAAATGAAAAGGAAGTTAGTTTTTTCAAAAATATTTCTATTTTTTTATTTTTCAGAGTATTCAAAAGTTGAGCCCGTTTGACTCTAGTATTCCTTGTTTGTTTAGCAATGTATTTATTTTATACGACAGTAGCTAATTGCAACTTCTCTCTAAATGATTGTTTACAACATTTTGAGAACTTTAATTTAAGCAAAGCACACGCACATCGTAAATTATGGAACTTAAATGGGAATTAACTGTTTTCATTCAACGCCTATATTGTTTTCGTTTTTTATGTCAAAATACAAACGACAGAGGCATGGCGAGGGCTGAAAGTAACATTTTTAAAGCGCCTTATAATTATGGTCAGCATGGCCAGGGAGAGAAAATATGTTTGTAAATAATTGTGCACACATTTCATTCCAGCATTCTATGACAATAAAATTGCTTTTTAATTGCCGTGCCATTAGCGGTTAATGACAACACAGTTTGAAATCTATTGCGGCTAATTTAAATGGTTAAGTACGCGCCAAATGGATATAGAACCATTTAAGTTCCGCATGGGCAGTAAAGGTAAAAATCATACAAAACACATATTCAACTATACTATATAAATAATATAATCACATAATCGGTAGCACTGGAAAATTATTGTTTACACAATGCATGGATCGAAAGTCGCACAATAATGGTTAAGTAATTCAATTATCTATTGTGTCATAATACTATTTCTACGGCTACTACATAACACCCATTTCAGATATTGAAAAGCAATTTCTATTTCTTAAATCAAATCTAACATAGATATAGGTGGGATGTAAGTTGTGCTACTTTAAGATTTTTGTGGATCAAATGATTTACTTGTTTCAAATTTTTCGAACTTAAGATCAGCCGTAGATTTCTTAACACTTTAAGGGAAGGGAGCTGGCAAGGGAGGGAACTACCGCATGCCTTCAATCCGAAAAGGAACGGTATGCCACTAATTACAACGATTAAGGGGCCTGAAGAGCTGCAAAAGTACAAATTTGTGTGTTAGAGCCAGCTCTGTACACCGAAAAAACATCAAAGCTTCTAAAGTTAGAAAGGATTGTAGTTTCTATGATAGTGGGAACACCCACGGGTCAGTATTTAAAAGGCAGACTTGCTTCTTCCAGAAACATGAAACTAATTGCTAAAATGGGGATTCGAAGTTTGCATTTAACTCCTTTTTAAAAATGGTGTAAAAGTAAATATCTTTCTCCTTCAACACTTTGACTTAAGAATCGGTTTGTAAAAAATCAAATATATATTTAAAAGATTGCCTTTCTGCACCTATCGTCCTTATCGACATTATGATTGATATTTGTTCGGCTTTTTTAACACTTTTTACAAATTTCCTAACGACTTATGGTTAGAAATTTTCCGATTAATTTATAATGAACGCACAGCTGACGCCAATGGAGCTGAAATTTGAACACAATTATCCGTTGCAAATGAGCTCTAAACCGGTTTTCTTAATTGCAAACCTCAAGATAACAAAGTTGCGGTTAAAGGCCAGTGGAAATATAGTTAAAATGAAAGCTTCTCACTTTGTCATAGAATGTGTCTCAACGAACAATGGGAACTACATACATATGGGTCGAAAGCAATACGTAAGCAAAGTTTGGCTGCAAAGTAAGGGATGTGTCTTCAGCTTGGGCAAAGTCTTCTTTCACAGCTCTGGAAACTTGTAGTGAAGTAGAGTGCTTTCTGCCTTTGATTTTTATTGAGAAATAAATCCTAACTATGCAAGTCATGGTCATAGAGCGTGCGATTAAGAAAACGTTTTAATTTTGAACAATAACTATATAAATATTTGGACGGATTTGTGAGATTCACACGCACATATGAGCATACTAATTAGATAATAATTGAAAAACATTCATGACGAGGAAAAAAACTTAGTGACGAAACTCGCAAAATTTGTGTGTTTAAGTGGTTTTAAGTGGTCTACCATTCTTACTTATTAGGGATACAAAATTGCACAACAATAACATTATATCCTTCTGCTTTTTAGTGAAGGGTATACTGCTCGTACGAATTAATGGTCAACTTAACAAATTTTGGGACCAGCGTGATTAAAAATTAATTAATATTATTTTGAGAAAATGAAAAACAGTTTTTTCTTTTTTCTACCAAACAACAATAAACGTAAACACGTGGAGAAGCTAAATTCGGGTGTCCCGACTTTGAAATACAATTTACATATAAAGCATAGAATAATTATAGAAATTAAAGTAGGGGGAATCAAAACACATCTTTGTGCAAAGTTTGGTGTCTCTAGCTCCTATAGTCTTTGAGATCCAGGTGTTTATACGGACAGACAGGGCTAGATCGACTCGTCTTATCATGCTGATCAAGAATATATATACTTTGTCTGTTACATTTTTCAGCTTGCGCAAACCTAATATACTCTTGTACATTTCACGTACAGAGTATAAAAATTTTTTTTTTTTTATGAATTTCAACATTAAAATTCACATAACTGCTTGTATTCAATGCGAATTTCCAAAAAATCTTAACAATTCAAATTAAAATCTGAATTTAAATTAAAAATGTAAGCTCTAATATTAGCTTACGGTGCTTTAGCCATATGGCTGGTGCCTTCGCCACTACATGGTCATGTTCATATACATACACACATATGTTATTTGTGTGCAGAATTCATGTGGAAAAGAGCGTAGCGAAGAGACCGTTGAGAGATAGATAACAACACACACACACACATGTGTATGTATGAAGCTATGGCGTGAGTGGACAAATAGGGAGAATAGATAGAACCAGCAATCATAGCTGCCGCTCTGATCAGTCGCTCCGAAAACTTTCCATAAAGCTATACATACTTGCGAACAGACCCACCGCAATAAACGCAAACATTAAATCAAAACAGAATAGGCTTTGTTGAGTGCAGTCGCACGTTATCCGTGATGTTGACACGCCGCCTCCAGCACCTAGCTGTTCGCCACAGCCGGACAACATTGGCGATTGCAGTCAATAACAGTAGCAGCAGCAATCGTAGATCTTGCAGCAGTCAGAGCGACAAGAACAACAATGATAGCGGAGATACGAATAAAACCACTGACCGTCATCCGCTAAAAGGTGTGCGCATCCTGGACCTTACACGTATTGTAGCCGGACCGTACTGCACCATGGTGCTGGCAGATTTGGGCGCTGAGGTTATTAAAGTGGAGCGACCTCATCATGGGGACGAGGCACGTCATTGGGGACCTCCGTTCCTTAAGCACAGCAAAGACTCCACATACTTCTTGCCGGTGAACCGTAACAAGCAGAGCATCTGCATAGATTTGAAGCGCGGCCAGAAGCTGATCTATGAACTGGCCAAGCGGAGCGATGTGCTCGTGGAAAACTATGTGCCGGGTACGTTAGAGCGCTATGGACTGGGCTATGAGCATTTTAGGGAGATGACACCTCAGCTGATTTACTGCACGCTTAGCGGTTATGGATCCGCGGGACCCTATGCCAAACGCCCGGGATACGACGTCATAGCAGCTTCCATAGGTGGCCTTTTGCATATAACGGGCGAGCACGATGGCCCGCCCAGCAAAGTGGGAGTGGCTGTTACAGATATAGCTACAGGATTGTACGCACATGGCGCCATATTAGCGGCTCTCTATCAGCGGCAGCGCACGCAGCGTGGTCAGAAGATCGAGGTCAACCTGCTGTCCACTCAAATATCCATGCTGATCAATGTGGCCAGCAACTATCTTAATGCCGGTAGTGAGGCACAACGCTGGGGTACAGCACATTCCAGCATAGTGCCATACCAGAGTTTTAAGACCTTGGATGGGTATTTAACAATCGGCGCCGGGAGTGACGCGCAGTTTGTCGAGCTCTGTCGACTGCTGGAGATCGAGCACATTTCGGCGGATCCCAAATTCAACACCAATACAAATCGTGTGCAGCACAGAACCGAGCTGGTGGGGATTCTAACTGAGATATTGGAGTGCCATACATCCAAGTATTGGATGGGTCTGTTTAATAAAGCACCCTTTCCCGTGGGCCCAGTAAACAGCATACGCGAGGTATTCGAGGACGATCACGTCAATGCCATTGGTCTGGTGAAATCATTGCCACATGCAAAGAGCGGAGAAGTTAAGGTTGTGGGACCACCGGTGGTCTATAGTGAGGCTCAGAACGATGCGAGGACAGCTCCACCCATGCTGGGCGAACATACTGACCAAGTGCTGGCAAACCTCTTGGAGTATAGCCCCTCGGAAATTGCGGATTTGCGGCGTCAGGGTATTGTACAGTAAATCTTCGATTAAATGGAAACGTAAGCTCAACAACGAATGTCATTATTTCAAATTTTTCCATTATGTGAATGAGCTTTTTAGAAGTTAAATATTTAGATCTCAATCACAGCGTCATTTGTCATTTTAAATCCCTAGTGTACCATTTTTGTTTTAAATGGGGAAATTTTCTCCAGTACAAGAAAGAAGCAACGCACTGGAAATGCCGGTAAGCGACTTATTGGTCCCTTGAACTATATATAGAGGCGCTGCTGCTGTGCATCTAGTTTTCCAGAGAGCATGTGCCCTGGAGCGAGCGCTCCCACCGGGAGAAGGTCATCATCATAATGTTCTATGGCCTGATGTTACTACTGATCGTTAATATTGTCGGATGGATTGCGTTCATCTGCGTTTTTCTCAATAACGAGAAGTATGTGCGTCGTGTAGTGTCCGACGTTCGAACCCTGGCCAAGGCCAGTGTGCCTTAAGGTGACGCCCCCATTCCCTCTCCCTCTTGGTAAATTGTACTTACATGAAGCTCAGAGCATTCAGCTGCAGCCGCAAATAGGCGACTATCGATTTTAGCACATTCGACACTGGCATACCCACATGCAGGCAAGGGCAATGAAAGTAAATGCGAACAAAACAAAACGAATAAAGTAAAACAGTAAAACTAGTGGTATTCCGGCAACTGCTTTTGATTTGGATTATATTAATCTACTTTTTCAAAGAGAACGGATAAACTAGAAAGTTAAAGTTTCAATAAACTGCAGTATACTTTGGAGTTTAAATGAAATATTAAGGTGGCCCAATAATTTTCTGCAGTGAAAACGGCCATCCTTACAATCAATTTTTAAGGCAGCCAACAGGTTGATTTCTTAATTCGTATGGTCACACTACATATTTATGTACGTCATTTATATGGTGCATCTGTAAACAGCTGTTCCACCGAATCAATTACAATTCCAAATAAGTTGCAGGAATCCCACTTTTGAGCATAAATAGTGCATATTTCTCACTTCTAAGACGATTATACGGATTTGAACTCGATCTCTATTTTGCGGTGCGCCGCGTTATGCACTTAGTCCAAGCGACTGTAAAGCAATAACTGAAAAGCGCTAGTTGTCTCTGGGATTGTTACCGTATATGTATGTATATGTGTGTATGCATACACATACATACAGGTGTAGTATGTACATATGTATGAATGTACAGTGTGTGTAAGTACGCGTATACACTAGGCGGCGTACGATTTTTGTTTGATTTTGTAACTGTTGTTGGTGTATGAATTGTATAAACCATGAATGTTGGGGGCTGCGAGTTTTCAAACCGATGGATGGGACTGTCCGATCACGCCTTAAGGTTGAAGTGCGAATTTTACACCTACAACTACGTAAGGAGTTCTATTCTTGATGTCATCGGTTGGTTACAACAAGTACTGTCTGTAAATATGCAAATATTTATGTATTTGTATATTTATACCCAGAGTGGCTTGAAATATGCCGCTGCCATATATAAATACATCCATATGTCATCATAGACATTAGGTGTAAATGTATGTACATATATAATACATAGTATAAGTTTGTATACATTGTGTTTTTTCTTTTTTGTTGTTTTACATTAGTTAATACAAATAATATGGTCTTGCATTCTTACTTTAATTACGTTTAATTTGAGCAATGGGGTTGTTTTGTGAGACTGTTTTTTGACTATATATCCATATTTAGTCAAATGAGGAAACGAAATGCTCGAATTCAAATTTAGTTGTTAACCGCACGAACGGACTTGCCAACTTAGTTGAGCTTTTCATTTCGTTTTTTGTATTTATTGGTAAGATTTCACAACTTCAGTAATTTTGATATTAAACAATCTTAGTCTTTAGTTAACAAGAATTTAAAATTTTACCAAAACAAAAAATTATTGAATTCTGAAATCCTTTGCCACCTCGCATTCTAAAACAGCCTTTTATTATCTCTAGTTTTATTACATACATACATTTATATCCATTTACGGATTTACCAAAAATTAAAAAAATATTTTAATTAAAGTTATGCTGTCATTTTTTAAAATATTTTTGTTCTATTAATTTTACTGCATAGGTTTAAACTAAAAAAAAGTTTAAGAATACCTTTTCCTGGCAAACGGATAATAGTGCGAAAAAGTAATGTCGATAACATCGATAGTACCTCATCCCATCTCTATTCTGTACACTTTGCATGCAAAAAAGTTATGCATTGGAATTAAGCGGTTGACTGCAGCATATAAACACGGACTAATCATGGATAAGATTAAGGTATATAGAGAAATCAATTGCGCCTGTCTTGGCCCTATAATCACAGCCCAATTTTCCATCGCAGCAACGTTTGGGACGCCGTCAACTAGCAAACGAGTTAAAGCAAAGACAGGTAAAGTAATGTTGAGGCTAGATACTAATAATGAGACTGCAACATGTATTCGGCAGGCCATAACAGACCATCTGCTTCAGCAAATACTCTACTCCAAGCGGCTACTGGTTGACCACGTGGAAGCGCTTGAGCAGTGCATGCAACAATTAACGCAGCCGGTGACCGGAGGCGAGTTACTGACCACGCGCAATGCGTGCCTCCTGCTGGGCGGTACAATTGTGGAGCACTTTGTAACACCACGTGGGCTGCGGCTGACATTGTTGCCGGCTGTGCTGCTTAGTGGCACGTTTGGCGCGCTCTGTGCTGTTAAAAGCGTCTTTGTTTGCCGCAACAAAATTGTAGAACGTAAGCTGGAGCAACTAATCAAGAGCATAGATGAATTCGGCAACTGCATCAGACGGAATATGACATATTTCCAGGAGATAATCATTATGAAGCAAGCTGAACTTATTGAGTAAGCGCAGTATGGATCTGATGGTAACTGGGTTGGGTAACATATTCCTCATTCACAGATCGCGGCAAATAGAGCGCGCTTGGGACTGCATCACAGCAGCCAAGGAGGTCACCGAAATACTGTATGACTCCACACGAAAGCTAGAAACGGACTACCCACTGCCCACCAAATATTCTCAATACTATGCGCCCATGGAGGAGCTACGTGAATGCGAGTATTTTAAGAATAATGTCACGGACTACAGTCCGAAGCACATAAAGGTAATAGCACTTTCTTCCTAATGTGTGTGTTGGTTCTAAACAATATTACATCCTTATGTTTTGCTGCAGGACTTTCACAACATTTTTGCATATGTGCAGTCCCAGTATTTACTACGCTTAGCACTGACGATTACCACACAGCCCTCGATATCTCAGCTTAGTGTGGAAATGGTTAAAATTGATTGCCTGATACGCCAGCTAGTGCAGGAGGAAGAGCAGCATTTTACGAATCTGGCTATAGCCATGAACAACAGAAAGCAATTGGAGTTGGCTGAACTGAATGCAGATAAGACGCACCAGCAGCTAAGCGGACCCATAGCTGTTCTACAACATTCATCGCTAAAGTTGAGCGCTTGTATGGTCGCCGTTGCAGGCGAATGTCAGGCACTGGATGTCACATTGCAACGTCTGACTGAAACTGAGGCAGCGCAAAAGGACAATGCTAAGCAGCTCGTGGCTGTAGCCAACAATATGCGTGGCATCGAGAATGCGCTGGCCGTTTGCTGTGATGATTTTCAGCGCCTTATGCTGGTCTACAATAAGTTTCTGCATAGCAAACTCAATGAAGACGATGCCAGCAGTAGTGCAGCGCGTGCGCCAAGCTCTGCGGCACAGAATGATGAGTTTCCTGAAAGCATTCTGCGCGTCGAGTTCTCACAGCACCCCAATGAGCCGCAACAGTGTGACGACTTCTATGCCTATATGTACGATGAGAACGAGGCACAGCATTATGAAGCCGAACAACAAGCGCCGTACCCTACCCCCGAAAAAGAACTTCTTAATTTCGAGAAACGTATCACAAAGGGCAAATTTAAGCCGGTCCTCAGACAGTTGAAGGATCGCATCGATCCAATACGACAGGTTATGCTCGAGAAAGAGCGTGAAGTGCTTACAGCCAAGGGTATAAATGTGGACGAGCTGTTTGGAAAAATGGAAGCCATGGACCTCTCGCAGCAGCAGGATAATCGTTTAACTGACGCTGCAAGGCATAGTGAGGCATCCGACTCGGAATCAGATTCAGCTGATGAGGATGCCTTTAAACAGCGTAGCAAGCAGGTTAAGGAACGCGATAACTTTGCAGAAATGCGCAACTTTTTGGCACAAAAACAGGCAATCAATTTATTCAAATTGGAGGCAAATACGCAGCCGCAAATACCGCCTCCAATGACCGGTGAGGAGGAGCTTCTGGAGAGCGAATGCTAGAGAAAACCCACCTAAAAGGTGTTAAAACTTACATAATAAAAGAAGACAACACTAGTTTGGAATCTTTTAATATTTATCTATGTATCTCTGTTGTAGCCCAAGGGTATTATCTTAATTAGCTTTTATCTAGCTGGTGTTTGTAAGATAAGCCACATTTGCACAGCTGTGCGCCAACCTCTTAGCCTTGCCGCAGAGGTAGTTAAAAATAGCATTTGTTGCTTTTTATTCCTGTTTTGTTTCCCTAAGACTTTGGTTGTACAAAATCTGTAAACCAACAATATTGTAATTTATGTAAATAAATTTTGAATGCATATTTGTTATTTAATTGCCGGGACAAAACGAAAACACTTATCGAACGACGAATATCTTAAATTTTCGCAATAATGGTTGTAATTATGTGCTTATGTATAAATGAGCCATTTGGTCGGCATCGTGGCACCGGGGACGTAGCTCAGTGGTAGAGCGCTCGCTTCGCATGTGAGAAGTCCCGGGTTCAAACCCCGGCGTCTCCAGTGTTCGTTATCAAAAATGGTTATTTTTTTACAAAATATATATTAAACTATTTGTATTGGTATTATTTTAAAATATGTTATTATTATCACTTCCTCCAAACAATTCAAGTATTCATACTGCTTAAGGTAAAAGAAATTTAATACTTTCTATAATACGATTCAGATAAATAGGACCGCCAAATGGATATAAAGTTGTTTCCAATCCTCTAGTTGAAGTTTTAAATTTACAAGTAACGACGGAGCTTCTGCAAAATATTAATATTTCGCAAAAAAAACTTTTCTTTCAATTTTGAGAGCAGCATACATAACAAGATTATTCAAATATTCTAATTTTTCTTTCTTCTCTTTGAAGCGATGATGTTTGAAATGGACAATGCCAACAACAACAAGTAATACAAATAATTTTATTAATAATTTTTCAAGTTTTTTTTAGCGCTTAAATTAAAGTTTTACCTTCAGCAAATCATACATACAAATTTTATACACTAAATAGTAGTAGTAGCAGACTTAAGTACAAAAATCAATGGCATAAACTAGGCGCTAAGTATTGGGCATGGAATACATAGAGGCATTGGCCTCCAGTGAATATGGTACATACATACACGTACATATATATTTAGGAACATATGTACAAGAAATAGCACACTCGACAAAGTCGTTAGTTGGTGTTAGCAGCTGAAAAATACTCTCTCTTTCACATCTTTGGCTCAAGAATCCGTCCTGCAACAGACAATCAAATCGTCCCCTCTCTCAGGCATTCGCGGCCCCTGTAGCCGGGGTAACCGCATTGAATTTACTGGTAATCGTATTGCCGTTCTGGATCTGGGAGAATGCTGACAGATTGCTGCCTCGCACGCTGGTGTAGCGTATGGGTTGGACGCCATAATCATCGCCCTTGAGTCGGCGACGAACACACACTACAATAAACCCAATTACCAGGCCCAGCACTACGACAATGGATGCAATTATGGCCGTGAGTATAATATAACGCCGGCGCAGGAAGCGTGGCGTGTCGTCCTCGACAATTTGGTACTTCTTCGGTATAACCATATTGCAAATTTGTTCGGCAGTCAGATTTGACAGTTTCGCGCCGGCCAATATATAGGGAGTATCGCAGCGGGCGTCACCCGATGGAGATGATCCGGCGATTTCCAGGGCCACCATCAACTCACAACTACAAAACCAGGGATTACCCTGAATTTTGAAGCTGCGCAGGCGTGGCCAGGACACCGCTTTGCTGCTATTGCTGCTGTTGGTGTTGAGGGCTAACGTCATCAGGGCATTGTGTGAGAGATCTAGCTGTGTGAGATTGGAACTCTGCTGCAAACTGGCAAAGTCCAAACGCTCCAGCTTTGGATTATGGGAGCAGTCAAGCTGCTCCAGAGCGTAGAGTCCAGCGAACGTTCCATTCTCCAGTGAGCGTAAAGTTGGCACATCACTTATATTAAGACGTCGCAGGGCGGTCAGACCCAGAAAGCTTTGCGAACTGAGGCTGGTCATGGCGTTACCCGCAAGATTGAGCTGCTGCAGCGTTTTTCCCAACTTAGCTAAGCCAGTTGGAATTACGCCAAACGCATTCCCCGATAGATCCAAGGACCGTAGATTGCGAAGCGTCGGCGCAAACAGTTCAGCTGGCAAAGAGACCAGTCCATTGTGAGACAAATCCAATCTCTGCAAGCAATATTTGTAATTAGTAGGGACAGTAGGCACCTTACAATAATGGTATTTATTTTTAAGATCAACTTTTTTCCTAACTAAAATTTCCATACTTACTAATCCAAAAATATTCAGAACTATAAAGAGCACAATAATTGCTTAAAGATTTTGGACGCTAAACAAAAATTTTGTTTAACTAAAAATCTATTCCTTTTAAATCAACCTCACAATAGTTTTAAAAATGTATTTAACATCTTTTAGATATTTAACTTATTATTATTATTTATTTTACTATCAGTATTTATTGCAGACATTCATTCGGTGTGTGCCATGAATTAAGAGACAAATATTCATCGGTTAACTATACAATTTATTAAATAAAAATTGCCTTTCCTTCTCATGCAACCAAACTTTTAACCTAAAAACATAATTTCTCTAACCTATTTTTTTTCTTGAATTTGAGAATTCTTAGATATAAAAATGTAACTTTTTGGAATTTAAACTACAAAAACGGTGAAGCTACTTTTACTGTATCTTACACCAACATTTTATTCAAACTATTCGAACTATATACTCTACTTTTCAATACTATCATATTATCTAAGACCACAACATTCTAAATATCACATGTGATCTCATATATTAAAAATTGAACTAGTTTTTAAGAGATTTCGTTTGCAAAAGAGACATATGATATAATGAACTGATATGCTGATCATATAAGTACCTATGTATGTATAATTGTGGTCTAATTCTTCCTTCTAGGTGTAACCAAAAATAATATAAAATGCATACAAATATTATTTAAAAAAAACTTATTAGTTCTATTTCTCGATATTTGTAAAGAATATATTTAATATAAGTACTGTGTGGCTCACCTGCAAGTTTGTGAGGCCCGCTAGAGCCATGGCTGTCGGTGCATCTAGAACACTGAGCTTATTGTAAGCCAAGTTTAACTTGGCCAATTGTGGTGTGTGCTCGAACAACTTGCGATCAAGCGTGGATATGCGATTGTGACTGAGATCCAAATCCTTAAGAGCTATGGGTTCATATTTGGTGCTCTTGAATGGTCCACGAAATAGGTCGGGCTTCAGCGCATCGGCAGTCAGCTCGTTCCAGCTGAGATACAATCCCTCCACATTTGGCACGTCGATGAAAAGTGGCGCCTGCAGCTGCTGCAGTCCACAATGGCGACAACTGAGCGTTAGCTTTGAATTTGGATCCGGCAACGCCGGCAGCATCTGAAGCACACGAATATTGTTGCCAGAATAGGACACAACAATTTCCACTGCCGTCTGCTCCACAAACTGCTTAGGCCACTGAGGCAAAATATGCTCAAAGTTCTGATTGGCGCAATTAAGGGTCTGATGCAATTGCCGATTGGCATCCTGTCTCATCAGGCACACGCATGTCTCGCATATGTTTGTCACCGGCTGGTATGGAATGTCCTCGTGTTGCGCCTTCACGCTTACGCCCACGCAAATAATTAAGAGCGTTGCACTCTCCAGCTGTAGCAACGGAAATCAACAACCAGAAAAAGGATAGTTAGTAAAAATTTGCAAAACAGTGCTTGTGTTCACATAACGCATTTGGTCGCCTGTGTGACATTGGGGACGTAGCTCAGTGGTAGAGCGCTCGCTTCGCATGTGAGAAGTCCCGGGTTCAAACCCCGGCGTCTCCAGCGCGCGTAGCTTAGTAAGAAAGGTTTCAAAAGTTTTTTTCTTCTTTTTTGTGCCTTTTTTTAAATTATTTTTTTCTCAAAATATACATTTGTATTTAAAAATTGTATACACATAACTGGAGCAAACCATATTCTTGCAAATATAGTTTGAATTGAATTTATAAATTCTTTGCTTATACCGTCGGCTAAGGGGAGTGTCATCCTAAAAGGATGTTTAAATGCTTTATACACCGATCGAGTGTTTTAGAAAACGTGTCTGCCTAAGTGAGGTGTCCATTAACAGAGTTTTCAATGCATAGTTATGTTTTCACCGAATTTATTATTTTTAAAGCAGTACCCATGAGTTTTATTTAACTAAGCTAATTCTGTTTATACATATCTTTAAACCTTTCGGTTGTCATTTAAGGATGTAAAGAAATGGCGTTGTTTTCTTTGAATTTCTTACAATTCAATGTGCTTATTTCGGTTTTCGAACGCAATAACTTTCCAGACTTTCAAAGCAAAAGTTTTCATCATAAGCTCAGGGTATTTGACGCTAAAAATTGGTGTCATCTAGTGTACAAATGGGCTTCCATATTACATAGTTAACTTCTTTTTTTGATAACACACATAATTCTCAATAGTCTAAGCTGACACTATCCATAAAAAGGTCTCCCAACCACACGCACACTCACAGGCATTCATATGAAGCGACAGTTATGGGACCCTGTCCCACCCCGCCCGACTGACCTAACCGTGTGGCAAGTCAAAAGCAAGAGATAAGATTAACGCATATAGCACAAAAATATTTTGCTTGAACAGTATTATTCTATACATATGTACATATGTACAAATATAGTACATGCTATATAATGTTTTTCTACTCACCAAAAACAAAAACTTGTGTTTCATTTCGTAGATGTGGTTGCAAATATTTTTTATATGCACGCTTTTATTTGTATTCCTATATTATTTATATTAATTTTGCAAAGTAAAGTTGCTTGTTGTTGGTGCTGAGCTGATTATTGTTTTTTTTTTTCAGTTTAAACTTGGCCTGTTCTAGGCACGGCCACGCACAAACTCTGGCACTTTTAAATTAGAACTAAATTAATGAATCAAACCGCCTTGGGCCATTGGCATTATTTGTTTTGATTAGATATCAGCTGCAGCCAACTTGTATTTGTCGCTCACGCTCCCTCTCTCTCTCCCTTTCTCTCTCTCAATCGGGTTTTCTCCCACACAAACACTCGCGCTCTTGGGCCCGTCTCAAAGTAAAAGTGAAATTCTTCTGGCCCTCCCTTACAAGGTCGACGTAGAATCGACACCTGGCTCCGTTTTGCTCGCCGCAAAGTGATTGTTGTGGGCCCAATGCAGCTGACTATATAAGAAATTACAATTTTGTACAAACTGTGTACACTTGGTTCTCGATGTAGATAGATAAGATAACAAAATGTGCCAGGGCACCGACTCTGGCTCGCTCTCCGCCTCGGCGGCTCTCAATTAATAACAATGTTTTGTTCCTCAGCTGCGTTGGCCACTGAGTCATGGAATTCTTTGTCATTTGATTCATTTTTTGAAACAGCGGGAGCCGTCGTCTTGGGGTTAAGATGTTAACAGGAAATACTCACATAAATACAAACATATGTGTGCATATTTAAAATGGAGCTCCCTTTCATACAAACTAATCAGCGACCCAAAATCCAGCAGCAGACAGCAAGGGTCTCCTCGTTTCATTGAACTTTGCTCGACTAAGACTGACTACAGTCCACACTCGATATAGAAACCCTACGCTACAACTGACAATTCTTAATACTATTCTGGAGTTAAATTAAACTGAATACGAACTAATCATAAAAAAATGAACATACATATGTATATTAGCAAACGATTCTTTGTTGGGTTTTCTTTTAAATTTAAAGAAAACAATTTACCAGTAAATCGAAGGCAAATTAATTGTTTGTAGGTAAATGGATCCTATTCCGCTCTAAAGCCATTCAACTACAATAATCTTTAATGCACCTTTAATTTCTAGGGCTGCCATATGATACGTTCACTGTATGATACAACTTCTCTGAATTTTCACATTATAATGAGGCACTGTAAAGAACTCAAAAATACCATATCGTTTCTATAACAGCTATGTATATGATATAGTAATATGATATATGTAAAACTCACAACTATGACATGCTTTAGATATTTTTGTAGGGAAAGAGTTGTTGGTACTAATAGGGATATTATTTCAGGTACTTGTATGTATGGCATATTAAAGTATATGGTGTGCAATAAGCATTCTCTGCGTATTAAAAATTCAAGCCAATGATGAAAAAGATCAAGATGTTCATAACGGATTTGTCTAAATCGATACGTATGTATGTGCCTATATAATAAACCCTACTATACCTTTTTCATTCGGTTACATTTATCTGGCGTTTAGACTATCTAGTACAGGGTATACATATAAATAAATATCACTGGTAATGAACAATCTTTTAAAAATAGTAAAGTTTCTGTAATACTAGAATGGTATTACAATTCTATTAAATATATGAACAACTTTGCAAAAACTGACATTCACGAAACGAGGCCAACCCAAAAAACGTTAAACTATGTTTGTATATAAAATTTAACATAAGTTCCCATCTAAGCATCCCATTTGTACATTTTCTTTTATTATTTTATGTGCGTATTAGATTGCTTTAATTATGGTGCACTCATATTTTGGAATATGTTTTGAAAGGCAGTTTCAGAATCTACTTATTTTAGTTTAAATTTTGGAAAGTTATTTTCCCAATAAGACTAATTATCCCAACAAAAAAAGGAATATTCTTATAACCAAATATCTCAGAAATGGTTGATATATGTACGCTTTACAACATTATGGCCTGTGCGTAAGAACTTGAGGCTCCGAACAAAGTCAGTGAAACTAATATATCGAGAATGTACTGCATGAATATGAAATTGATATCGGCTTGATATTGATGCATTGGTCCCTGGAAAAGGCAAGTTAATTAAGTTTTTCAAACGCATTGCAAATTGATGCTGACAAACTGTGAACTATAAAAATAAACAAATATATGGAGGACAGAGACACTTGTGAGTCATGAGCGGTCGAGTCTGGGCAATGGGTTGGTCGCTTGACCTAAGCGCTTGTTAATTTTAATAGGCAATATTTTGTTGCTGCCCGCGCACATTTCAAGACCTGCACGCGATCGGCGTTCGCACGCTTGCTTCTTGGCTGGCCAACCTATAAGTACTCGAACACACTCGAGCACACACACGCGCGTTTGTTATTCTGTGCCTTTCAAGCTGTGCAGAAATAAAAAAAATACAAAACAAAACCCGTTTGAGTAACGCGGCTCGCACTTTTGCAGCTGCCTCGGTCGCTGCTCATCCTCATCCTTTTTGCTAGAAGATCGTTTTCATCGCCATCGTCGTTGCCGACGTCTGCAACATTAAATCACTTGAAGCTGCAGCGCGCGCTCTGAAACCGAAAGCGGAAATTCGAAAGGCTCGATCACCGCTCAGCGTACAAATAAACAAACGATAAACGTACGACCGCACGAACTTTACCAGCCTGTTGCTCAAATTGAACTAAAACTGGAAACTGTTGTGGCAGCGAGCAAAACTGAAGGCATTTGGTTGTCGGTTGCCGTTTGTCGGCAGCCCCCCCAGCTCAAGTCAGTCATCATGCTGGGTATCGATTCCCGTTTCTACAGGCCTCTCCCCCGCCAGCAACTTGGAGCTTAAACCTGTTGCTGCTCGCTATTGGTACTGCCTTACCTTTGGCCGAATTTGAAGCTGCACTGAGACCATTGTTTATGCCACTGTCGCACTTTTCATTGGTGGAGATTTATAGCTGGCAGCTGCTGGCTTTGCAATGCGCCTTAAATGTCAGAGAGCTTCAAATGCTTCACGATAACGACGTTTGGAGTTGCAGTAGTAACGGAAATTACTTTCGTTGTCGTGACGAGCTCGTTAAAGAGTCATTTGCAACGCGGGCACTTCCTGTGCATCAAGCCGCGTGCGTCAAAAGTTAATGCGGCATCACTTTGAAGCGCTGAAGTACGGTCGCACATGTCAATTGGCCATCGTTGTCTTGATCGTTACCACAGCCCGTGGGCGCCGCACCGCGCCCATACAAAAAACTAGATTTGTAATTAAAAATACAACATTTATGCAAGAACAACATTAACAGGCTGCAACTATCTATGATGCATGTAGTAGTCTATCGCTGAGGAGAATGCTGCAAAACCTAATCCGCCAATTATTCCAGCCTTGATGCCAGCTCTTAGACCAATCAAACCGCCGGTAATGCCGCCCGCGTAGGTGCCATTGCGCCAATCTGTGACGCCGCGTTTCTGTTGGGAATGTATTGATAAAACATATAGTTATTTAAAAATGTTTGTCAGCTATCAGCGTCCCACTCACACTCTCAATTGTGCATTCCACAATGGAGAACACGGCGCCAATTAGTGCAAAATTCTTGGCATACGAATGTGTTGTTTGTCGCATTTCTCGCAACACCTCGCGTGCTGTTTGTTTCTTCTCATTGGCAAACGGATCCGACATGTTTGGATTTACCGAGGCGCTAAACAGTCCTAGCGCGGCGCCCAAGCCGTAACCTGCGAAGGATTGATCAGTTATGAAATACCAGGAACCTTGGGATTAACTTGCCCATAACACAGGCCATTGTCGACTTGAAGCCACAACTCTCCACGGCGGTCTCGATAAACTTCTCTTCGTTTGTTTTTATTTTCACTGGTCCATTGGACTTGGGTATCACTATGTTCTCACGATATCTGTTTAGATTCCCCACAAAATGCATGGCCATCTTGTCAAGCTCGGCACTCTCAAACAGCCGGGGTTTCGTGCCATCCTCGCGCTTGGCGTCCGTATCAGGCATTATGGACATGGCTGCCTTGTGTTAAATGACTACTTTTTATACAGAAATTTCAAAAATGATTCTAAGCTGAAGCAATGCAAATTTAACAAAAAAGAAACAGCAAGGTTGTTATCACATCGCCAACAGCTGTCTCGCCAGTGTTGCCGTCTTCTGCAAGCTCTGTTATCGGCTATCAAGGGCTATCGAATAGCATTTTCACGATACATACAATTCATTTGTTTAATCTATCGAATTTCATTTGCATTACTCATCAGCGACGTAGTCATCTCTTGAAGAAAAAAGAGCTGCCTTGTTTAATAATTAAATAGTCCTCAAATTTATTTTAATTTCCATTCTACGAAATCATGTCTTCCCGAAAAGCTGCTGGTCGTCGTGGAACCACGAAGAAGCGTGCACAGCGTGCCACTTCCAATGTTTTTGCCATGTTCGATCAGGCACAAATCGCAGAGTTTAAAGAAGCCTTTAATATGATCGATCAGAATCGCGATGGGTTTGTGGAAAAGGACGATTTGCATGATATGCTGGCCTCGCTGGGTAAAAACCCCACCGATGAGTATCTGGATGCCATGATGAATGAAGCGCCAGCAGGTCCAATAAACTTTACCATGTTCTTAACACTCTTCGGTGAGCGCTTGCAGGGCACTGACCCCGAGGATGTGATCAAGAACGCCTTTGGCTGTTTCGACGAGGATAACACAGGCGTGGTGTCAGAGGATCGTCTGCGTGAGCTGTTAACCACTATGGGTGATCGCTTTACGGATGAGGATGTGGACGAGATGTTCCGTGAAGCACCTATTAAGAATGGTCTATTTGATTACATCGAATTCACTCGCATACTCAAGCATGGCGCCAAGGACGAGCAGGAGGCTTAAGTCGACTTAAATTTATGTAACTTTTGTGCCACATTTTATAATTTTCCAAGAAAGGCAACTAACTACTTAAGTCCCACTAAAACATTCACAATTTAGTTGTATGTGAAAGTATTGATTAGAACAATAATATTAAATGTTTACATGTTAACTTAAATACTATATTTTATTTCTATCACATGTTTAATATACAGACAAATATAAATTATTTACCAAGGGAAAGTTGGAATTAATAGAATAGAAGTAGAAGTTTTTATGAAATTGAGCTCCGTCTTTGGATCTATGATGTCCAGCGTCGTTAGTTAAAGGCATAGAGCAGAAGCAGAATAACACAAAAGCCAATTACCGCTCCCAGTATTAACGAATCGCGTCGTTTCTTGATATTAATTCGTTGAATAAGACTGCAGAAGAATAAAGAAATACAGAAAAATCAGTTCACGACCCACATGCTGAGTTGATTTTTCAGTTACCTCGATATCAAGGGAAAGCGATTGGAAATGTCATTGAACCGTGTTTGGAGACGCTTGAATGCATATCGCTGGGCGTGCAAATTATCACGCGTCTCGATGGCAATGTTGATCTGATCGTTCACCATACTGCTCGAACTATGCAGATGTCCACTTTCCTTCAAGTACATGTCGCGTCGGCTCAAGCCGGAAATGGTTGGACTGCTGGTTGGGGCAAGGCCGGAGCCACGCAAAAGTTCCTCCCGCTCAATGCGCATGGTGTGATTAGCACAAATCTTGTTGAATTCCTGCCGGTAGCCCTGCAGTATTTCCCTGTGCCGCTGGAGCGTGTGCATTGCGGCTGCGCCTGTAGCAGGCAATTCTGACATGGATTCGTTCAGCGTGGAAAGCTGAAAGGTTTATGTGTGTAAATTTAGTTATGCTATATACATATACTTGTATACACACATATTTATGGAGAGGCATAGTTTATCATGAACTGCTACTTACCTTGTCCAGCATCTGCTCAATTTCCACGGATACGGTGTCAAAGATATGTTCGCTCAGTAAAGGTGATGTGTCAGATGCATTATTAGTCGCTACGCTAGTACTGCTGCCTGCACCGATCTTACTAAATGCCACTAATTTGAGGTCAATTTCATTTTCCAGTGAGCGCGCTTGCTTGCGTAGCACTGAGTGAGTAGGGATGAAAACGCGCGTAGGTAAATAATCAAGGATTTAACTGGTGACATAAATAGACTCACCATCATAGCTGGTGCCACCCATTTTTACTTGGTGATATTTTAAAAAGCTTTTATTTTTTATACAAGAAACTGCGACGACGACGACTGGGGCTACCTCCGATAACTAACTTATCACGGCTATTATTTGTTGCCGCAGCCCTTGTCATATTTTAATTATCAAATTATCGATAGTAGACCAGCTCTAGTGGAAACATTCCTGTGTTTTGGAGCCGGCAATTTTTAATTTTAATTAATATAAAGTTGTAGCAAATCTCAACCAAATCATGGCACAGACAAATGATGCGCGTATGCCCGCTGAGGAAAGCGATCTGCTGCAAATCAAACCGCTGTATGTAAGTAATCATGTTTGTAGGTGAGGTAATAATAAATGTATTATTTTTGCAGCGGCGCTGGACAAGAAGTCGGACGCTCTTGCATCATGCTGGAGTTTAAAGGCAAAAAAATAATGCTGGATTGTGGCATACATCCAGGACTTAGCGGTATGGATGCGCTGCCTTATGTGGATTTAATTGAAGCCGATGAAATCGATTTGCTGTTTATATCTCAGTACGTATCTTCATAGATGTATATACTTTCAGCTGTAGTACCAAGATGGTTTTCAAAATATGTAAATATGCCAATTCCATTGCAGCTTTCACTTGGACCACTGTGGAGCTCTGCCTTGGTTCCTTATGAAGACAAGCTTTCGTGGCCGTTGCTTCATGACGCACGCCACCAAAGCCATTTACCGCTGGATGTTGTCAGATTACATTAAAATCAGCAATATATCCACCGAACAGATGCTTTACACTGAGGCCGACTTAGAGGCTTCCATGGAGAAAATTGAGACGATTAATTTTCATGAAGAGCGTGATGTGATGGGCGTGCGTTTCTGTGCCTATAACGCTGGCCATGTGCTGGGCGCGGCCATGTTCATGATTGAAATAGCAGGCATTAAGATTCTATACACAGGCGACTTTTCGCGGCAGGAGGATCGTCACTTGATGGCTGCCGAGGTACCGCCCGTTAAGCCCGATGTTCTTATCACAGAATCCACATATGGAACGCACATACACGAGAAGCGCGAAGATCGCGAGAATCGTTTCACTTCGCTGGTGCAAAAGACAGTGCAACAGGGTGGTCGATGCCTCATTCCCGTATTCGCTTTGGGTCGAGCCCAGGAGCTGTTACTTATATTGGATGAATTTTGGTCACAGAATCCAGATTTGCATGAAATTCCCATCTACTATGCGTCCTCGTTGGCCAAAAAATGCATGGCTGTCTATCAGACTTACATTAATGCCATGAACGATCGTATTCGCCGCCAGATAGCCGTGAACAATCCCTTTGTCTTCCGTCATATTTCAAATCTCAAGGGCATTGACCACTTTGACGACATTGGACCATGTGTGGTTATGGCATCGCCTGGTATGATGCAGTCGGGTCTGTCACGAGAATTATTTGAGAGTTGGTGCACCGATCCTAAGAATGGCGTTATTATTGCCGGCTACTGTGTAGAGGGCACCCTAGCTAAAACAATACTCTCTGAACCGGAGGAGATCACAACGTTGTCGGGACAAAAACTGCCCCTTAACATGTCCGTGGATTACATCTCTTTCTCGGCACACACAGACTATCAGCAAACTAGCGAATTCATTCGCATACTGCGACCGGCTCATGTAGTCCTCGTCCACGGAGAGCAGAATGAGATGTCGCGTTTAAAGTTGGCGCTGCAGCGCGAGTACGAGGCAGATGCAAGCACGGACATCAAGTTCTACAATCCACGCAACACCCATGCAGTTGATTTGTATTTCCGTGGTGAAAAAACGGCGAAAGTAATGGGAAATCTAGCAGCCACCAAGCCTGAGGTGGGCAGCAAACTGTCGGGTGTGTTGGTCAAGCGGGACTTTAAGTACCACTTGTTGGCACCTTCCGATTTGGGAAGTAAGTAGTATTAGTATTTATTTTAAGTATTTAGCTGGAAAACTAATTCACGCCCCGTGCAATTGCATTGCAGAATACACTGACATGAGCATGTCTGTGGTCACACAACGCCAGTCCATACCCTGGTCCAGTTCACTAAGCACGTTGGAACTGCTCCTGGATCGCATTGGTGCCGGTTGCGTTGAAGTTGTCGAACCGGACCGCAAGCTACGTGTCTTTAATTGTGTAGAGCTGACAGTGGAACAAAAAATGATTGTTATGGAATGGCAGGCAACACATGTGAATGATGTTTATGCGGACGCAGTGCTGGCCTGTATTATGCAGAACGAGCTGGGTGGCACAAATATCAAGGGAGCTAGCAAGCAAACAAAGTCGGAGGAGTCACGCTTTCGGGAATGTCTTATGGAGACTCTACAGGACACATTCGGGGACAGTTGTGTGCCCAAGATGTTCAAAGGCGAGGTATTACCAATAACTGTCAGCGGCAAATGTGCGGAAATCAATTTGGAAACACTGGTGTGTACTCTATTTGTTAAATTCTAAATAAGAAATAATATTACCTATTCCAACTATTTTTAAAGTATTCTCAATAACTTTTATTGTTGTCTACAAAATTAAATTGTTTAAATATTCTTTTATTCTTCCTTCCAGACTGTTACCTGTGCTGAAGACGAAGTGTTGCGGCAAATACTGAATACCACCGTTCAGAAACTTCATCAAACTCTCGTCTCTGCAAACTGAGCAATTTTAGATTTAAATTTCCAAAATATATATTATCTTTTTTATTACGAAAAGTTGCCAATTATAAAGGATTATTAAAACTTAACGCTGCGTACTTTTGGCAATTTGCTCCTTGAGCACCAATATGCTGGCACGTTGCTCGGGCGGTAGCTGGGCAATTTGCTCGTCGGATAGTTGCAGAACCTGCATAATAAGTGCAGCCTTCTCTTGATCGGATGCATCCGAAGGCAGGACGCAATTGGCGCCAAGACGACTTTGTAGCTGCTGTGCCGCCGACTGCTGCTGCTGAGATGGCGTTTGCACCGCGGCTGAGGGAGGCTGCTGCTGCACAGGCCCTGGAGGCATGGCACCACGCAGGCGTGGATCCATTGGTCGCTGACGCGGATCGCTAGGGTATGGGGCCGGTGCACCAGCCGGTGGGCCTTGCGGCGGTTGTGGTGGCATTTGTGCGCGAGCGCGTGGATCCATTAGTGGAGGCGGTACTGGATTGGGCATTGCCTGACGCATATCCTGGTCTAAATTGCGTTGCATTATGCGCGGGTCAATGGGGCCAGAAGATACCATGCGCAAATCTATATCGTTCGGATGCATAGAATTAAAGTTGGGACCCGGCACCGGCATAGGCTGCATGGGTCCAGGACCAACAACAGGAACTTGCGTAGGCGGCTGTTGTTGAGGCTGTTGCACCGGCGGCTGCACCATAGAGATAACGCCAGTGTTGGCGTGCGGATTGCCACCCAGCACAGGAGGCATTTGATTGGCCTTGAAAAGCATGCCAAGTGCCTGTTGTGGGTCAACAATGCGCATGACCACCATAGCTTGCAGGAGCGCGTAAGCCAATTGCGGGTTTAGCATAAGCATCTGGCGCGCCTCGGACGGATTGCTCACTATGCAGAGCTTCATTTGCTTCATTAGCTCGTACATTTGTTCCGGCGGCAATGACGCTACTGTTTTGGTAATAAGCTCAGGTGCATCATCCGGATCGCATGGCTCACCATACGGATTTTCCACTTGCGGCCCTTGCAGCAGTTGCTGCATCTCCATTCGAGACTTCTCTGTACATGCATTATCAACTCGCAGCGTCCGTCCGCCGATTTCATATCCATTCAGATTGCGCATGGCGCTCAACGCGGTCTCCTGGTCCTTATACTCGCAAAATCCAAAGCCTTTTGGTTTTCCACTCTCGCGATCGAACACCAGTCTGTACAGGAACGTAAATAATGTAACTGGTTTATTTTATATTGGAAAGACATGATAACATACTTGAGCGACAAAACCGGCCCAACTTCGCTAAATATTTCCTTTAATTTTTCCTCTGTTGCTTCGTAGGGAATGTTGCCTACAAACACTGAGCGCATGGACTTATCCATAATGCTCTGTTCCTGTGCCTTATCAGCCATCTTAGTTATTTTTTGATGTAATTGATAAATTTAAAAACAGTAATAACGTTTCAATATTTCTAGAGAAACCAAGTCGATCTGCTTCTTCTCCGCTGTTGGCATATGTTATATCGATAACAATTGGTAGTCGAGTGTGTGCAGAGACAGGGTTGTACCGAGTGCTGAAGTCTAGTGTTAAAAACGCTGCAGCACTCGACGCCTGGTGTTGTAATTCATTTTGTCCGCAAGGTGAAGACGAAATTGCTTCTATTTGATAGTGAAATTTACACAAAAATCGACAAAATTATAATCAAACTGTAGCTAAAGAAGGCGTACATTGATTTCTAATAAATGCGTATGGACAAGTAAACATTAAGTGCATGAAAAACGTGGTTGAAAATTTTACTTTGTGTGTAGCTGAGGCACACACATGCACATACACACATGGAGATAAACGCAGCAATGGCCTCGCATTCGCAGCATATATAAAAGCTCAGTTGTATATTGGAGAAGGAGCGTACAAAGCAGACGGCGAGAAGAAAGATTTCTGTGTCATTGAACGGGGGAGACAACAACAACGACGACGGGAACGGGAACAGCGTCATTAAGGAGTCTCCCAATTGTTGAAAACCTGCAGGTGCAAAACAATAGCTCAAGGATTTATAGATTCGGCTACCCACTGTCACTGCCAGTGAAAATTCAACTTCCACCTCCACACATATACGCGAGGAACGATCGATACCATAACGGCATCCGTGCTGTTTTCTCATTGAACGCAATAGGAGGAAGAGCAGAGACAACAGCAATAGCAAATAGCAGCAGCAGCCAAAGGAGTACGAACAAGTGCATACATAAATACACACACATGAAATTAGCGCTCATTAAAAATTTTCTCGCTGTGTATGCCAGTGTGTATCTGTGTGTGTGTGCGTGTGTACGGACTCTCCTTGAGTGAAATCAATTAAATACAAGTGTACGGCAGCAAAAATTGAAAAAAGCGGAAATACACTAAAACTGTGTCTACTTATTGTTCGTTCGTTCATACTTCTGTGTGAGTGCGCGTGTTGTGTAAAAAGCAGTGACGCCGGCAGTGACGGTAACGACGACTGCAGCGTAATATATATGCGTGTGTGTGTGGAAAATCAAAGCAAAAAGGGCGAGCAACAAAAGCAGCAGTAGTAGAAACAACAAACATAACAAGAGCGTCTGCTCTCTGGAAGATCGAACCTAACAGCAGCAACAACAACAACAGTTTGTTGCTAGTTCGCTCAGCCTGCAAACTAGCCAGCCAAGCAACCAATAAAGGTAAGAAGGAGCAGCTGCGACTGCGACCATCCATAGTAGTAGGGGTTTACGTTAACGTGGTTTAATTAATTTGAAATGCATTTATTCATGACTTATTATGAGTATGCATGAGGGCCCACATAAATACGCCCGCACTGCGGTATTTGCGGCTTCTGCTGGTGCTTCTGTATAACCTTTTTTTTTTTTGTCGCTGTTTTAGTTCAAGGAAAAATCAATAGTAACACGCTGCCGCAATTTTAATTTCAAGTTTATGGCGAACTTTTTACAGCCAGTGTGTTTTTTGGTGTATGGGCGGACGATAATTGATTTTCGGCTTAATCACTATTATTTCATGACCAGCTGTGTGGGCAGACATCCCTTCCGTTTTTTTTTTTGTTTGTTTCAAGTTGAATTCTGTGTAACCATATTTCCTGCGCCAGTTGCAGAAACTGGTCATACATACAAACAAATTTGTGCGTGTCCGTTTTTGTGTGAAAAAGCAAAAGTTCCCCATTTCAACGTCATTGCCAGCTAAACAACAACGAAAACAACAATAATGACAACAGCAGCAACAACTCGTCATCGTCGTCGCCATAGCCGTCGCCGACGCCGACGCAGGGTCGTTGCCGTTGCCTGTATCGTCGTGTGAATGCTCCTGCTGCTGTTACCGATGCCGATGTCTCCTCCTTCTCTTGCACAAAAAGCTGTTCCAAAAAGTTGCTAGCAACTTGGCATTCCATTCCACTTCCACTTTATGCTCTTCCCTACAGCAGCCACCGTTTCGGACCGGCAGCAACCACAGCACTGCGTAGCACTGAAACATTAAAGCTTTGCCCACCGCTTCTCCCAATACCTTTGCATGCGCCTGTGCCGATGCCAATGTCGATGTCCATGCCCTTTACACACACGTATTAATGTTTATTGTGTGTGCACTTATGTTTGTTTGTTTGCTTGCTTGTACGTATGTAGGTTTCTGGCCGATTTTACCTGTTCTGGAAGAGCTTATGCGTTTTACAGTTGTTGTCGCCACGTCTCAAATAAATATAGATACATATGTATGCGTGTTTTTTTTAAATATATATATTACATACATATGTACATATGCTTAATACTTAGAAGTAGCGTTTGAGTTATTAAACAATATAAGTTCTAAAACTTTTATTTTATTTTTGAAACTAATGTATAAGTTGGGAATAATAATGTACATGTATATTTTTGTTTTGTTACGAAGTACATAAATAAATATTTATGTATAAATAACTGAACAGTGTGGTTTTTAGGAGAAAACCTTTAAACTTACTAGATGTATTTATAGTATACAAAAAAGAACAAATTTGCAGTTTCTATATGTTTATTCAATATACAATTTATTTTGATCTACTATAATACTTATGTCAAACTTTGCTTTGTTCGGCTTGCATGGGTTCCTATGCATCTAGAATATATGTATTTATGTATGTACCACGTAGGAAGCCATGTGTAACCAATTTCATTATTTATTTTTATGTGGTTGAACCTGAGTGTAATATACAGAAAATTTTGCTGACAACGCATTTTCTTTTATGTATTTGATCAGCTGGCATTTACTTTGGCATCAAAGACATTAATACATGAATTACTCTATAAACTATTAATTGTTCTATGATTTTTAAAGTTACTTAAGGAAAGCCTGGCAGAAGTTTTGTTTTTTAAATTTGTACAAACGCATTTAAAAAACCAAAAACCATTTTAATTCCGAGATAAACCGTCTTTTTTTGCATCCTTTTACTTCGATGGAATATTAGAGAGTATATTAGCTTCGGCTGATAATAAGCCAACCTATTCCTTTCTGATTGTATTCTGATGCTTTCTGTTTTCTCTATCCTATCAAACATTTTTTCTCCTCTTTATCCTCTCCTTTATCCACATTTGCATGTGTGGCCCATCGCATCTCGAATAGTGTGAAAAGCTCTGCAAAGCAAGAAATATTCACGTTTCCATAGATTAAACGACCATGAAGTTGAGTGAAGTTCTGGGTGGTGGTGTTGTCGGCGCCGATTAGTAAACGATCCGCGCATTCTTTGCATGGCATACGTCGCTTATATATCTGCATTTATTCTTATTTCTTTATTGTCTTTATTATTATTATGGCTGCATATCAACTTACCTTAATTTATCAATACTGAAGACTCTCGAGTTTCATCATGGCGTATTTTTATTAACGTTTACACTTTGTTTTTTTTTCCCCTTTCTTAATTAGAAGCGTTCGATTTCGGTGCCGCTGGCTAAGGAGCAAGATGGCCGCAACACAAGCGAAACATTCAGTTTTATGACTCTAGAACCTATGATAGTTGTGGAAATTTGCAACGAACAGTGGAGTATTACAGCCAGAGAGGATTAGTTTTCTCACCACATCGTTAACCCCATCGTTGGATTCAAGCCATCAAAATGGTCGACAGCGTACAATGTCCCGTCTGTACGCTCTACTTGCATGCGGGCATGAATCTCTCCGATCATCTGGAGACTCATCCCAAAGAGCAGGTGATAAAGGCGCTTGTTCAGATGACAATCACGGCACCACCGGCTGTACCGCCAGCACCAGCAGCAACAACAGCATCAGCAGCCCCAGCAACAACATCGGCGGCTGGGGCAACAGGAAAAAATTCTGCTCTGAGCATTGCTTTGAGGGCAGCTGTGTTTGGAGCTGCGACAGATATGGACGAAGCTGACGCTAGCGCCGATGTGAAACCAGCTGTGAGCATGGGCAGCGCTGGCGTTGCCAAGACAGCGACAACTGTTGCTGGAACAACTGGCATGTCAGCAGCAGGGGCAGCAACAACCACAACAACAACGAAAGCATTGATGTCCAAAACTGGCGCCCCAAGCTTGAGCTGTCTACCACCGCCACTATCCTCTGCCTGCTCCTCTAGCACGCCCTCCTCCACCTCCTCCTCACCCTCATCCTACACATCAGCCACAGCGCTTAGCAATAATAGCAACAACAAATTGAACAATCCACCGATCAAGCTGAAGTATGAGGGGGCAACCGCTGTCCCTGATCCGCTGGCAGCCACACCCACCACAAACACCGTCGCCGCTGCAGCCGTCGCCTATCAGCAAGCTCTTGCCTCCGACTATCGCTTTGAGCAGTCCCAGCAAACGGTGTCGCCGACGCAACCGCTTCATGCATTCCAGCATACCCTGCGCGGTAGCGTTGCCGCCGCCACAGTAGCATACAGTGGCGTTGGACAGCAGCAACAAACACAACAGCCACAGCACCACCACTACTTACCGCAGCGCCACGCGCATAGTCAGCCAGCAGCTGTCCTCGCAGCCCAGCAGTCGCACTATCCACATCAGCCAAGTCTGAAATATGCCTATGCCAATTCGTTACCGCCGCCACCGCCACTGCAGGTAAGTCCAAGTTCCGATTAAACACATTACAAACAGTACCCATGACTGGTCCTATGGTATTAAGAACATCAAACAGTTAAAAATGTTTCGAAATGATTCCATGCTTTGCTCAACTGAACGTATACCGGTTTAAGGAAATAACGCAGCTGGCAATTCCCGTTCTATAACACAAGAAAAATGTGTTTTGAAATGCTGTGAAGTGGCATATCAATCTCCTTTGGAGGACGGAAATATATTCGCCATATTTCTTTCTCAATTATGATATGCTAAGCCTCTGTCCAAGAATGTAACGGCACACACTTTTTATCTGAAAATCAAAAAGAAATGGACAGATTTTTAAACAATTCAAATACACTTAAGTCTGTTTTTCCACTGTTTTGATTTAACACGGTTTTAATTATTAATTTTCAAACACAATTGACGATGGAAGCGGGTCATAACCATCCATAGTATTGAATGTATGGAATCATTTCACTATTTGTTGCTCACTTTTTAATTGTTTTTTTTTTTCATGTTTTTTCTCAGCTCTTTGCTCAGCAGACGGGGACGTCACAATCGACACAGCATCAGAAGCCACCGCCCGCATATGGCGCCGCCATCAGTCAAATTCGATCTCAGCACAACCAAAATAAGCAGCAACATCAGCAACAACAACAACACCAGCAAATAACAATTCACCAAATTGCACCACCGATGACAACCGCCACGACGTCCAAGCATAGCAGCAAGAATACGGAAATTTTCTTGAATCCCCCACCACCGCCTCCGCAGACGACGCTTGCAAGTGGCGTCTTGCCCCTGGCACTTAAATATATTGGCGAGCCCTCAGGCAGCTCATCCAGCGCCTCCTCTTCGTCTTCAAGACTGCAACATCAGCCAGCTCAGCAACACCAACAGCAATCGCAGCAACAGCATCATCAGCAGCAACATTCACATCAATCCCAACCACTTACAATACAATCTACTTATGCCTCGCTGTTGCCAACGTCATCGCAGTCCAAGCCAAGCGGCAGCGGCTGCCAATCCTCTCCAGCGCGCGCGCGTCAAAGCAATTCGCCATTTGGGGCATTGTTGACAGCCGCAGCTGTTGCCGCCAGCGCTTCGCCTTCCTCCTCTGTGCTGCGCTATGCAGAATCACCGGTGGCCCACTACCTGGAACGGGACAATGGTGACTTTATAGTGCAGGAGACACCCAAGCACATTGTTGAGTGCGTGGAGAAAGAAGATGGCGAGTTCTCGGTCATTGAACGCATTTATCAATCGCCGCCAAGTGTGCTGCACATACACGATGAGGACGACGACGATGATGACGATGACGATGAAAACGATGCTGCTGATACTGAAGAAGACGAGGGAGAGAGCCATCAGCAGCACCACCACCATCAGGAGGAGCATGCTGATGAGGAGCAGGCCGCAGAGCAGGTGGAACATGGAGCTGGCGATAGTCGCAGTTGCGTCTCGTGCGTCACAACTTCAACAGCAACAACAACTAAAAAGCGATCTAAGACCAAGTCAAGTAAATCAAGGCGAAGCAGTAAAACAGTAAGGCGTCCGGGCCCAAAGTCCTTAACAGCAGATGATGAAGAATGTATGAGTGTGAGCAGCAGCGATGAGAGTGAAGAGTTGGAGCAAAAGACGCCGGCAACATCTTGTGGTGCTCCAACACCATTGTGTGTGGCACCATCGACCAGTGCCAACGCCACCGATGCCGCTAGTTCAGCCAGTAACAGCGATGCCAACTCCAACAATGGGAGCAGCACGAGCACCGCCACCACCACAACCACCAAGTCGAAAAAGAATCGCATTACTGTGCTGAGCGATGTGCCGCTGAATATGAACGAGTATTTGGATTTGGTGGGCAACATTGTGGCCTCCAGTCGTATAGGCACGACACGGCCGTTCGCCGCTATAGCGCCCATACCACTAGTTAAAGTAGAGAAGGAGGAGCCACTGGATGAGTATGATAGTGAGCAAATGACGCGCTCCATCAACGAGACTGAAACGCAGCAATCAGGGCACCAGCAGATGCACGAAGACGAGGAAATTGAGCAAAAGGAGCAGAAGCCCAACCTGGAGGAGCAACTACATCTGCAAGGTCAAAGCGTTGCTAGCAGCAGCAGCAGCAGCCATGCCACTACCAGTGTTATACGCATGGCAAGCACTACGAGTGCCCCCCCACAGGCACAGCTCGAGGAGCCGTTCATGAAAGTGGAAGTCGAGCAGACGGCGTTGATGCCACCGCAGCGATTTAGTGCGCCACCGCAGCAACGTGGACCTAAGAAATTAGTCATCAAACCAAAGGCGAGCGCAACCACAACAACGGCCGGAGCCACCAACAAAACAAACAAAAAGACTGACAATTCCACCAACAACAACAACAACAACAGCAGGACCAGCCACAGCACAGAAACCTTAGCAAGCACCTCTAACTCACAATATATGGCACAGGGAGCAGGATCCACTGAAGTAGTGCACATCAAGAGCGAGAACGGCGAACCAATAGCAACCACATCCAGTGGTGGAGTCGGTAGCGGCAGCATACTGGAGAAGCATCTTACGACCAGCTATCAATATCCACTACAGTCGTCTTCACGCAAACACACTTCGGTCAATGATGATGATGCACGCGTCCTACTAGAGTTCGCTAACTCGAAGCAGCCACTGGTCAGTGGTGGCAGCAGCACCACTTTCGTTGTCAATGCTAGTTTTCCGTCAGCGGGTTCTGTGTTTTCAACGAACGGTGCCACTGCAGAAGTAAAAGGCGACGGCAGCACCACATCCAGCCATACACCAATATCCGAGGAGTATATACTGCCCGATAATAATTTGGATGCGGATGAAATTGTGATATCCTCGTCGTCTTCCTACACCTCTACGCCACTGCCTACTAATCCGCAGCAGCAGCATCAGCAACAACAACAGCAATCCAATCCACAGCAATCGGCGCACAATGCCGGCACCACCAACCCCTCCTTCAACGACTTCAATTTTCTGTATCAGTCCAATGCTGTTGCTGGGGGAGTCAGTGGCAGCGCTGCTGGCAGCAACTTTACGCAGTTTGGCTTCCAGCACCAGACACAGACCGCTTTACCACCCAGTGAGGCGACTAACGCAGCAACCTTGGCCTCCAGTTCTGCCAGTTCCTCCTCCTCCGCCGCCTCAGCTCTCATTGATCATGATTCTATGAATGCCACATTCCGTGTGGCTAAAGCAGCGCGAGAACCAGACCACCAGCAGCAGCAGCAACCACAGCATATCGGCGTCTCCTCCTGGTATCAACAGGCAACGCCATCGCATGACGCCGGCGGCCCACAGCCCACCAACTTTAATGCCGCCTTGGCCGCCGTCGACTGCTGCAGCGTGGCCGTAGACAGCGACGCCAGCGATGCCAAGTACTTGGATTTGGATGCCTGCAAGCGAGAGCAGTTGAGTGGCAGTAGCAACAATTCACAGCATCAATTACCTTCGGCCTCAGCATCGGCTTCGACCACATCTTCATCATTTGCGGCCGCTGCCACCGAGAGCAGTTTGGTGGGTGGACTTAACATACGCACCGACGAGAAGATGCCCGCCAAGGGTGAGATTTCGGAGCAGGAGAGCAATTGCGATATTGAGAACTCTTGGAGTCAGTCGGTAAGTAAGATAATATTTCCAAAGCTGCCAGTCAATCACTATTCCCCTATTTATGTTGCAGATGTATGGCGACATATCAACCCGTTTCTTTAGAAACCAATTTTCGGGCGTGTACAATCAAATGCCGGACTGGCGCCAGGATTACTATCCGGCCCAGGATCTAAGTTCACAGCAGCGCGAGGGCAAGCGGTTAGTCTAGAATACTCACGCCTTAACTTTCACTATTTTGTTTTTCCATTTATTATTAGCTTCGATTTCCGCCTACCTGTCGATGTGGCCAACAATTCGGTGGCCGACTACATGTTTCCTTCGCAACAGGAGCAGCAGCAGCAAGAACAGCACGGCGCAACCTCCACCCATGCCAAAAAGGGTAAGCGCAAGCCCAGCTCAGCTGTTGCTGCCGCCACCTCTATAGCGAGCAGCAGCAACAGTGGCTACGCAGAGCATGCGTATCTGCTGGATGCACACCCCACCACATCGTCATCGTCGGCTTTGCTGGCCGGTCCACCAATAGCATCGACATCGAAGGCCGCTGCTGCAGCAGCTGCCGCCACCGCCGGCAGCATTTTGCCAGCGACGGCAGCGGCCGTAGCAGTACCAACAGCTGCCCCATCTGTGACGCGACCGCCGCGACGCAAGATTTATAAATGCCCTCACTGCGAGAACATCTTCGAGAAGCTGAAGGAGCGAAACGCGCACATGATTAGCGAGCACAACTATGTACGCCAGAATCGACGACTAATTTGCACTCAGGCGGCACTCCTCAGTTCCAGCATGGCCGCCAGCTCGACGGTGGCTGCGCAACTCTTTCCACCGCAATTGCTAGCCCATGGGTCGGGGAGCAGCAACGACCAGAATGCCGTGGACGCAGCGGCAGCAGCTGCTGCCACCGCCGCTGGCGAAAGTTTAGTTGAGGACTCGAAGGATGGTATTGTCAAGATTAAGCAGGAGCATGGAGCGGATCAGAAGTTGATGCCCTCGCGACGCGACACCCTCAACACCACACTGGAACCAATGCATGCTAAAATGGAACTCCCCGATGTGGAGGAGGGTGGTCTATTGGTAGAACCCAGCGCTGCCGATATCAAACCAAATGATGTCGTCCTATCTGAATTGGATCAAGCACCACATATACAGCCACTGGCCATGACAACGCCAGCTGCCAAATTGGCGGCACTCTATCGCATGCTCATCGCCTACAATGAATCCAAGCTGGGCCAGGATCGTAACATTAGCGAGCTGGAGCAGAAGGCCATGGAGAAATCTATATTCCTATGCTACGTGTGTCGCACCGATTTCCCTTCCGTCAAGCTCTACGATGCCCATTTGACTGAACATCCGGCGGAGTGTTTCACCTGCGGAAAGAAGTTCTATCGTTGGAAGAACTTTTCGCTTCATCTGAAGCGCCATCTGGGATGGAAGGAGTTCGGCTGCTATGTCTGCGATAAGAAATTTGTTGTGCGCAGTGCCCTCGTCGAGCACATGCGCATGCATACCGGCCAGACGCCGCTCAAATGCAAGATATGCGGTGAGTGTTAAACCGAAGCCTCTTTTCTGAAATTATCTTCAATTAGTCCTGACTGATTGACTGACTGACTTGCCAGACTAATTGGCGATCAACCTACATCCTAAACAATAAAGTGCATCTATGAAGTAAGTGAGACTAAGAATCTGTTTTGGAACATGTAATCTCCAAGAAAGGTTAAATGAGACTCTGTTTGGGGAACTCTAAGAGTAAATGTTAGAAGGAGGTATGGAACTTTTGACCCTTTTGTTGTAATGTCTTCGATTTTTGTTGAAGTTGGTCAAGCTCATCAAGAAGCGATTCCTGACTCGTTTTTCGCCAAAAACAAAGTCTAAGGAACAGTTTAAATTTTAAAATATTAGCACAATCTTTTAAGTTTTAATAAATGGGCTTAAGTTGACACTAACAGAAATATCGAACATGAGTTCTTTTTATTTTCCTTTCATTCCTCAACGTAATCTACTACTCATAATACTGAATATATTTTATTAAAAATTTACTTTTTTTAATCGTAAGCAGGCAAGAAGTTCAAGCGATATTCCAATTTGACACAACATCGCAAACGCCATACCAAGATGATGGTGCGGAAAAAGGAGTATGTCTGCCATTGCGGCGAAGTGCTGCCGAGCAAGGCTCGCTTCCTGTGGCACAAGGAGACGCACGATGTGAAGCCCAAATGCTGTCCCCATTGCTGCGATCGCTTTGTGCACGCCAATTCGCTGCGTCGTCACATACGTCTCGCCCACTCGGATAAATTCGACTATGCCGAGCCCATGGAGTGTCCCATGTGCAAGCAGATCTTTGCCAAAACTTCGATAAAGGCCCACATGGCGACCCATTCAACAGATCCGCAGTTTGATTGCGCGATTTGCAACAAGAGCTTCTCCACCAAATGGAATCTTAAGATACACTCGTGGGTGCACGCGAATCGCACAGCGAAGCCCTTCAAGTGTGATTACTGTCCCAAGGCGTTTGTTAGGGAGCTGGACTTTAAGAACCACATGAACTCTCATAAGCAAATAAAGCCGTACACTTGCGAATATTGTGGCTGCAAGTTCATACGGAAGTACAACTATATGCGGCATAGACGGGAGCATCACGGCAACAAGAAGTTCACGTGCGATCAATGCGACAAGTCTTTCCATCGCCACTACTATTTGATCGAGCATAGACGCATTCACACGGGCGAGCGTCCCTTCCAGTGCACCATATGTGGCAAGAGCTCCACCACCAAGACGAATCACAACAAGCATCTGAAGATACATCATTCGCGGGATCCCTTCACTGTTGAGGTCTAGAGGGGAGGAAATCGATTTGAAATGAATGAATATACTAATACTAATAATCGTTTAATGCAGCAATTAACTAGTAGTTATTCATGTCTCTTCTCTTTCTCTCTCTCTCTATGTCTCTGTGTGTGTATGTTGTGTACGTATCCGTGTGGTTAAACAAACAAACAAACAAAACAAAAAAAATGCATTAACAAACTAGTATTACTTATCAAACGCAACTATATATACAATTCATATATAGATTACGTATGCGAATGCCAATTCTTGAAAACAGCAACAACAACAAATATCAAAACAATAACATTTTAATAATCGTTGTACATTTTCGATGTGGTTTAAAAAATTAGCTAAATGTGAAATGAAACTATTTCCCTTAGTGGTTAGCAGATCCCTAGAACTCACTCACCTTCCCCCACACCCCCTTTTATTTTACAAATGCTAAAAAAAGTTTGCTTGAAACGCGACTTCCAAATTGGTTTTAATCGCTTTAATTTTTGTTTAAATTTTAGTAAATTGATATGTCTTCTAGTTCAGTGCAATAAACATAAATTACTTTTAAATGTAAGTACATAAAAGCAAAGCATTAACATCTCATTTTTAGTTCATACACACATTACGTTTAGAAGTAACAGAAAAGAAGGCATACAAGAAAAAATAAAAACTAGTTAAAAAGTTAATTTAAGCTACGTAGCTGCAATTGGGGTATTTTTTTCATCATTATGCAATTTCAGTTACACTTCTTTTACCTTATGCACATTCTATTAAAAGTAAAACAAAACAAAACTTTATAATCTTCGTCTCCCCCATAAGTTGTTATATAATTTATAAAGTACATTTTTACTGCGTATTGATTGCATCGGAATAAAGCTTGAAGAAAGCAGTATAAACATATAAAGAAAAACCTCTCTGCTAGCGAACGAACGAACACAACTGTCATATTGTATAAACTAATTTTGGTTTAGTATATCTTTGATTTATCGTAGTTGCAAGTTCTCTAGGCTATTTCAAAGAAATGTTTTTAAATGTTTTCAATTTAAGAAGCAATTAGTTAAAATTTCTAGATTATAAGATAAAACAAAAACCAACATAAGCATAAACAATGAAATTAGTTATGAAAGCAAAAAAACAAAAACACTGAAATGAAACGAAATATAAAAATTAAAAATTATTCCAACTTACAATACAAATTTCAACGAGAACTAATGAGATAATACACAGAATCATTTTGTGGATGAAATAAACGCAATTTATGAATAATTATAAAAAGTAATCAAACGGCATTTTTATTTATTAAAAAAAAAGCAATTATTTGATTGAAAAGCTTCAAAGCACTTCAAATTATGTCACATATTCGCGAAAATTGTAGTGTCATCTGTCCCGTAAGAAATCAACGTTAAACTTTAACGGGACACCCGGCGAACAGCATCCAGCAGCAGGCACTAATACGAGTACATAACTCAATAGAGAGGCGGCAACAGCTGCCCTTATCAGCCCAGCTGTTGTTTCTTTCTCTTCCTCCATTCACGAGAGGTAGTTGGCAAAGAAAGCACACAACTGTAGCTCTTATCGGCGGCTAGTTGGTTCGGTTGCGTTTCAGTTGCTGCTGATTTCTGACCGCCTGGCAGTCTCTCAGAGAAAGGCGTACATTTCTGACACACGGTCGTACAATTTTTTAGAGACGAACAGATGAAAGAAATTCGTTTAGCGCGGACATCGTTTAAATGACGTAGCATCTACGAGATTTTGTTTAATTCGTGTATTTTTATTAGAAATTAAATTGAATTTTTATTGAAATGCCAAAAGGTGAGTAAAGAAAACGTAAAATATACATACATCTTCAGATGTAAGAAAAATAAATAAAACATTATGCTCATACGTTTCGTTGCGTTAAAAGAAAAGACTTGAAAAAACTTAAAAAAATATGATTTCATTCAATGAAATCGATTTTGGAAGTAAATTGTAAATTAAAGAAGCTTATTCGTTATTGATGAATTATAAATGTATTTATCTGCGCTGGATCATCGATGTATTAAATATATCCTCGTACAAACGCTTTTCGCTGTGTTTGTTTTTGTACAGATCCACCTCGAGGCTTTTGGCATCTTCGTCATCGTCATTGTTGGTGTTATGATAGTTCGGAGGATAATGAACTCGTGCATAAACCTTCGAATATTTGGAAACACAATTTAGCAATGCCTGACGCACCATCCTTTCCTCAAATTTTGTGTTCATCTTGACACCGTGTAGCCTGACGCGAAAGGAACGCAAAGGAAATTGATACAGCTGTTTGGGCATCTCCTTGAGATGTTCAAGTCGAACGATTGAACTGTTGTGGAAATCAATGTATAAGACAGTGGCCTCCTGCTTGAGTTCGCACACATCCTTGATGGTAGCGCGATACCATTCCTGATCCTTGGGGTAAAGAGCTAGACATAGGGCACCAGGCTCTACAGAAGTCAATTGGGGTGCACTTTTCACCAGCTCGCGTATGGTCTCAATCAGCTTGAGGTTCCGCTTGCTGAGCTCGGAAAGGTCTGGCGTGATTTGAAGCTCTGTAGCGGACAGCACTTTGTCGATGGTGCAGTGGAAATTTAGGACACCTTCCGGAAGATTCTGTGAGGCAAAGCGACTGTCTTCGTCAAAGTGCGAGAACTCCGTGGATGTTTCCATCGGATCGAAGTCTGCATTCATTAGCATTTCCTGTAAATGGATCGAAATAGTAGATACAGCATAGCTCAATCAAATTACGTACCTCGTGGCACAGTTTTTCACGTTGCTTCAACTGTTGGATAGCGGAGAGACGTTGCGGATGGATGAAATGTGGTAGATGTGGCTCAAAATCGTTTACATTTTCGCAAGCGACACCGTTTGGATTATGGGGCAGCTCAATGTCTTCTATGCCTTCGTCTTCATCGATATCATCGCTATCTGTCCAATAGTCAGGGGGGCCACCAGTATTGTCCTCCTCCCTTTCTGAGGCCGGCTCGTTATCAACCAGATAGTATCCAGCATTCTGTTGTGCTATTTCTTCAGCCATCTCACGACAGTCCCTATCTTCTACACAATCCAAACGTCCCACTTCTTCCAAATCTAGCACGAATTTCTTTTTCGGCGGCGGCGGCTTAGATGTCGTATTATTCTGATCCACCTCGCCCAACACGTATTCCTTTTCAGTCTGAAAAGAGGTCAGAGTATTTATTTGGAAAAGTGTGCTTTAAGATATATTAAATATGTACGCACCTCTTTTGGGAAACGAGGCGGCGAATCGAAGCGCCGTTCGGCTTTCGACTGCGCGAATATGGACATACCGCTTTCGACCATAAATTTGGCTATGTCCATGTTATTAACTCGTATCTTACAAGATGGTAACCCTTTCGGGCCTTTTTTGTTCACCACACACACGCTGCTCAAACGCTCTACTAATTTTCCATGTACAATGTCCATTTGTAACAGCGAATAGCTCTTGTCTCTGGGCTTGATCCCATCCAGAGTTACGCGCCAGCACATGGCATGCAGGTCTGGGAATGGGGCGTAGGGCAGCAGTTCGTGCGACTCGACGTCCTCTTCATTGCCATAGTCCAAAAAGAACACATCGTACTTGGTTCTGGACTTCTTCTTCGTCACAATGGCCCGATAGATACTCTGATCGTGATGATAGATCGCCACTACTGGTTGGCCAACGACATACGTGAAGGTCTTTCCTGAAAACTCCTGAAACAGTGGTTTGAATATTTTTTGGAGCAGATTCCGCATGCGTCGCAAGAATGGCTGATCGGTGTCGTGTGTCAGAAAGATCTCCAGATCATGATTAACATACGTTGCCCGAGCGGTGAACAAAACCTGTTTGAAGCTGCGCTCCTTTAGCCAAGCAGCAGGAGCATTGTGGCAGCCAATAGTATCTGTATCCAGGTTAAAATTGTCGAGCAGCTCCAAACACGGCATATCCTCATTCTCTTCAAAATCTGTTGTTTCCGAAGGCTCATTAAATTTGCATTTAGCGTGAACTGTGGCTGCAAAGAGAGAGGAATTTTCAAAATCGATTGTGCTTCATCCTCAAAAAGGTTAAGTAGTGGTTTTTATATTTTTTGACTAAAATTTTTCCCACTTGGGGGCTAAATTGTTTACTGTGGAATGACAATTGAAGAATATTTTAATTCCCATTAATTGTGTACATTGTGACAAATACAATTTTATATCATTTGAACACGATATTTTATTTTTTAAGCTAAATGTCCCTGCAAATATTATAGAGGGAGTAAACAAATTCTATAACAATTCTAGATTTCGACCACATCATTATTTCATATGTAGAGAATATTAAATTTCGAATGTCATCTTATGATTAGGGTTAGCTTTTACCCCACTGAGTGGTCGATTTGTCCAAATTACTTGAATCTTAGCAAACAGCGAATGAAAGCTCATTCATTAAGTGTCTGCAATTGGCCAGTATTTTCCCTAATATTGGAGTTGTAATCCAATACTGATTAACTCTTTGAACAAATAACAGATTAAGGGAAAACTAGCTCTCATCAGCTCTTAACATGCTTTTTCACTCTTTCGAGAGTTAATTAAAACAGTCAGGCAAGACGTCGCGCCTACTTACCGCTTATTTTATCTACAGAGTCAAAGTACTGCTTCAGTTCCTCTAGATTGACTTCCACTTTTGGGGACTCAGGCTCTTCCACCTCCACAGTATCCTTAGTTTTGTTGGCGACAATGGTTGCGTCCTTAATGGCAAAGCCCGATATGACCATCGACTCATTAATGCTCACATATCTGGTGCGTGTGGGTGAGAAGGGACCCGATATTTCGCAGTGTGAGCCCCAGAGCGTTACGCTTAACACGCTTTTTAGGGGATCCCTACCGCCCGTTACAGACAGTCCGTCAAAGGCTTTCACTTGATCCTTGAAGAATTCAATAGCCCTGCTGCTCCAGTTCGTACCGCGAGCCGGCAGTATGCCACGCAATTGGCAAGGCGTGGCCGCATTCGAGATGCTATTATTATGCTCATCCATGGCCGTAAGTTGGCTCCCCTCGATGCCAATCAGTGTTTGTCCCAAATCCCGCAATTGGACATTGTAGAGTATCTTCTGTGGATGAGTGATGGCCTCTTTGATGACGCCGCGATGCCACTGTGTCTCGAAATCAAGTCCTGCCTTCGCATTTACATAGCAATGCTCTCCCACTTGCCAATTTTGGTTTACTGCGGCGCTCTTGTAACTCTTGTTGGCCAGCTCCTGTACCTTGTCGATTGTATTTTCTATGGAGGTTACGAAGTGAGGTAAAGTGGCATAGAACTCGCCCGGGTGCTCCACCCATAGCACCACAATAGGCACGCGTTCAACACTATCCGTCGGTGACTTCTGGCGCGCTAGTGTCCGTGATCCACACTGATCCGGGCTGTTCTTCAATGAGTGCATTAATCTGTGCAGCTCTGGCATTAGAATACGTTGATTCCTAGGCTCAACATACATGTCGCTGCTCGGCCCAGTGGAGATGCAATGGCCCTTTTTTACTAGAAGGGCGCCGATGCTGTTGTTCTCGCTGCCAGCGCGTCCAAAATGCAACGCCACAAGATTGACGCCTTCGCGCGAGCCCACAACTTCCATCTGCAGATTGGGATTCGATGCGTACAGCTTAAAGCATTCAATCGCCTCCGGTGTCCAGCGGTAGGAGTGCTCCGGCAGTGTCTGCACATCGGCCAGACTGCAATGGATGCTTAGCTCGGAGGAGGAGAAGCACTTGGGCAGGGCAAACAATTGATCCCAATATACTTGATGCTTTCTACCGTAATCGACCAGACGCACAATAACGAAGCCTAAATTGGTAAACGAACAGAAATTATGGATTACATTTAGGGATTTTGGTGTAGGGTGTTGATTTTCAATATTTCTACTCACCCTCGGGCAGGAGTTCCTCGATACATGCGCGATACCACGAATCTCCTTTTTGCACCACACATGCCAACTGAAGGCTTCCGAGAAAGATCTGTTCCAGCTGGGCCAATGCCATGTCATCCATGAATCGAGAGAGAGATTCCTGCATAGTGTCAAGCTTCTGCGCATCGTTACAGTGAGCGACGTAGAACTCATTTGGATGTACAACATGAAGTATTTGTACCATGAAGACGGTGCCCACATGCGGCACACATTTCTGAATGCGTTGCTGCTTCAGTGCCATCAGGGGCATCTGTTTGGTGGCCACGGATGGCGCGCAGTCCTTCATTTTGCCACTGATGGAGCAATCGCGCGCCAGGCCTGTGTATAAAAAAGACTCACGTATCGAGATGCTGACACCATTGTTGAAGGTGATGAGGTCCACCTCGTACATTTCTGGATTCACAGGCCGTATCACTGACACGTAAACTTGATTGCTGCAAGAATTTAGACTTAGAAAACGCAGAAAGTAAAGTCTAAGTTCCACTTACTCGCTTTGCACCACTTGCTTAAAAAAGGCATTGGCACGATCACTCCACTTCGAACCGCCATCGCCCGGCATCAGCTGCTTTAGAGAGCAATGGACGGCGGCGTACGGAAGATAGGCCAGGGACTCGGGTAGCTTACAGAAGCTATAATGTTGAAATCAGCAACAAATTGTTAGAAACAAAGAAGTCATCATAAAAACAATTAAAAAAGCTAAAGTCGGGTGTCCCGACATCGAAATACTCTATACATATGTTTAGAAAAATTATAGAAATTAAAAAAAAAAAAATTTTGATCGATTTTACCTCTCTTCGAACTCACGTAAAGGGTCTATAATTGAACATATCCAAACCAATTGCGTCTATGTGAGTGTATGTAGGTTTATGCGCGTCTATTCGTGTCTGTGTAAACATGTTTGCAGTCGACCAAAGCATCTGCATCAATGACAGCTGTGGGCATAGCTTGGGCAGCAAATATATTTATGGCTATAACTTCTTGTTAAATCGGTCTATCATAGTGAAACTTGGCAAAATGTGAGTTCGAAATTCCAAGAATTACGGGAGTTACGATTTGCGGGGGAGAGGGGTATCCCTAGGCCTTATAGTCTCCCAGATATTGGCGGGAAAACTCCCATAGGGGGAAGCGGGGGGAAAATGAAAAAATAAAACAAACTCGTATAGCGTACACATATAAGGCATCTTTGTGCAAAATTTGGTGTCTCTATCTCTTATAGTCTCTGAGATACAGGTGTCCATACGGACAGACAGACAGACTGACAGGGCTAGATCGACTCGTCTCGTCATGCTGATCAAGAATATATATACTTTGTGGGGTCTGCCACGTCTCCTTCTGAGTGTTACATGTACACTCGCACAAAACCCTTTGTGTATATATTCCTGATCATGTCTGTCTGTCTGTCTGTCCGTCTGTCTGTATGAACCCAAGGATCTCAGAAAGTATAAGAGCTAGAATAACCAAACTTGGTATCCAGATTCTCCTACGCTCGAGAAAGAGCAAGTTAGTTAATTTTTCCCGAAGAGTTGAGCCTGCTCGACTTTAGCATTCCTTTCTTGTTATACCTAATTAGCTGTTAAGTAGAATAAAATTTTCCTGCTCTGCTTACTATTTTGTTAGTTTGTTAGATCTACAATGTCTATGACCACATATGGCTGTGAATCGGAGAACAGCTGGCCAAATGGCAAATAAAATTCCCCCAACATGTCGGATGATGTTATTGTATAGTTATTTCTTGGGGTTTCTTTTCTTTTAAGTTGAAATTATAAACTTTCTTTTAATTTACAATGTTTTAATATTAAATAAACCCTAATTTGTGTAAAAACAGCACTATTTGTTGATTTGTTAAATAAAAATAAAATAAAATAAAGACTGTTTAAACTCCCTCATCATGTCCTTTTTGATTTGAGAAAGTCAGATAAAGTTTTCTCAACATTTTTCCACTTACCTCGAGCTATGAACCGTAACGTATAATCCAATGTCCGGTAGAAACACAATGTAGCAGTCGCGTTCCTCCAGTTTCTGACTGACAAGGGCGCGTTGCCAGCGATCAACGTTGTTATGATAGGTTAGATAATGTTGGCCGACAATAATCGATGAGGGCGACAGCCTTTCGACGTCAGAAGAGTTCGCGCATGCCTCAACCTGCTTTCGTATGCGTTGGATCTCATTAACTCCCTGAACGTAAAAATCCACTGGCGATTTTATGCCACGCACTTGCACTATGACATCGGATTTAAACCAGCTGGCTATTTGGTTGCCAGCAGAAGTCGATAGTTGTGCCGTCTTGGATCTGGAATTCTTTCTAGACTTGGATATTGACGAGGACGGAACCTGAGGCTTGGGGACGCCGAATGACAACGATCTCGGCGAGTCATCAATGTCCACGGTATGGGAGCTGTTGTTGCTAGACCTGGCGGTAATGTCTATGCCGGAGAAAGAGTGTATGAGCTCGTTGTCCAATTCTCCATTGGATGAGGAGCGGTCTATGTGGGGCTTGGAACCTCTATTCATAGCCGACAGATTTCGTTTTTTGGTCTTCGTTTTCTTGGATGTTGTTTGTTTATCCTTTGATGGGCTCGACTGCACTCCAAAGTTATTGGTGCCGGCTGACAACTCGCGTCCTGGCTCTGCAACTGAATTTGAAGCCATCGCGTCGTCCTCAAAGTCAAGTTCGTTCAGGAGGTGTACCTTAATGTTGGGATCTTTGAATTTGCATTTGAAGTGTCTGCTAAATAGATCGGACAGATTCTCTCTGCCGCAGGAAAAACTGTAATGAAAATATATTTTCGCTATTTTCAGATCTTAAGAACACAGCCGCCAAATACCTACATAAATGGATTCGACTCTATCTTGGTCACTTCAATACCGCTGGGAATTTTCTCCATATACTCATAGACTAGCTGAATAACGTTCTGAATTAATATCCCCTGTGGCACTTCGTCTGTATCTTCGTAGACCAGTGCTTTGCGTAGATTCTAAAAAGAAAACAAAAAAAAAGAAGAGGAAGAAAATACATTGAAAAATTCCTATAAAGGTCATCGATCAGCCTCAAATAATGTTTAGGATTCTTCCAATTATCTTCTTAAACTAAAACTGCCATAGCTTTGGAGCCTTCTTTATGGTTCTAAAGTTACTTTGAAATTTCATCGCGGCTATCGGATGAGACTTTTGTTGGAAAAATGCTAACGATGTTGGTTTTTATTTTTATGGTTCTGTTGCGAGTGTTCGGGAGTTTTGATGTGAGATTGGGTGCGGTTGGCGTTTATAATTGAAGTATTGTAGCAATGATTGGTTAAAGCAATGGGCGCGTTCAGCAGGTCGAACCGATTTGCGATTTGTGATTTTTGATTATCGATTGTTGATTTGCCTCTGCCGACCGCTTGTGATGACTGTTTTAATAAAATATTGCGATTTTAGCATTTTTGGTCAAAAAGTCATAGGTCTCGATAAAATTAGAACTATGTAGTGTCAAAATCGAAAAGCCTTCATTCTATTAAGAACAAGATAGAACGCTACAGTCGAGCAAGCCCGACAGTAAAATAGCCTGTACTCTCCACAAAAAAGAAAAATTAAAAAAAAAAAATTAAAAAAAAAAATTAAATTATTAAACAAAATTAATGAATTAATTAATTAAATTAAATTAGAATATATGTTTATGTTTAGTTTTAACAGCATACATTTACATCACGTACCTATGCGTGTTTATATGCGTGTATGTATGCAGCACAAAGTTGAACCAAAGCAGCAACAACAACAACAGCTGCGGGCAGCGCTGCCGACAGAGCTGCAGGCAGCGCATTAGCAGCGATTTTACTTATGGCTATAACTTTCTTCAGAATTGACCTATCATGATGAAATTTGGCACACGGATTTCAAAATTCCGAGAATTACGGAAGTTATAAGAAAAAACACGAATTGCGGGGGAGTGGGGGGGTGCATCGAAAAAAAACTCAAACTCGTACTTTCTCGGTCTTAGGAGAATATGGAAACTAAGTTTGGTTATTCAAGCTCTTATACTTTCTGAGATCCTTGCGTTCATACGGACAGACGGACAGACAGACGGACAGACGGACGGACGGACAAGGCTATATCGACTCGGCTTCTCATCCTGATCAAGAATATATATACTTTGTGGGGTCTGCCATGCCTCCTTCTGTGTGTTACATACATGCGCACAAAACTAGTATAGCCTTTCACCCTTTGGGTACAGGCTATAAAAATATGATTAGAAGCTTTGGTCAGACGGACAAATAGTCTGCATAATTAATAACTTTTTTCCCTAAACACATGCAACCTTTAACTTCTATAGAAAAAAGCATACTTTTTAATAAAAAAGAATTTGTATGCAAATTATTTGACTGTTTGAACATAGCTACGGCAATCGATCAAACAAAAAAATATTCTTACTCTTACTAATTCCAGTTCTTTAAATTGTAAATTAAAATATGCCGCGATTGAAAATCTAAGTAAAAGCCTTATTTGTCCGCACGTGTGTACAGCTCGAAGGTAATCTCTAAAATGACGGTTCAATAATATCCCTAAGGAAAAAGGTGGATTCTGTATTTAGGATGGTACCTGGGCAAGCAAAAATTTCAAACGTGTGTGAAGCATGTGTGTGGGATTTCTCTGAATTGAAAATTCTCTATGATATTTAAAAACTACAAGTAAAAAGTACGATTTGCAGCACCTTTACGATAACACAGCGTCTACCTAAATTGTTGTGCTTTATAAATTTCTACATAATACCTATTATATCTTTGTTTCAGCTCCCAGACCGTTTTACTTGTTATAATATATTTACTTACCTCGATGACCGATTTATAGCCATCTAACAAACCCATGGTCTCATTGAGCAACATCTGCGGTTGCAAGCTGGACTCGCGTAGGGTCTCGACTACGCGCAGCTCAGCGTTTTGCAGCAATCCATGCAAATGATGGAAACAGGCCAATATATTAGCCTCGGTCTCTGCGGCATAGCTCTTGAGCTTCTCTTTCGTATTCTTTACAATCTGAAAATAAAAGTAGATGGAATAACGTGCTTAGATTTGAAAACTTTTACTTAACAATATACAAGTATGTCTACGGGGAGAAATTGTATCTTATTTTTACAAAAACATTAAATAATTAATTAAATAAGACTAATATCAAATTTGAATAACGTAGTTTTAATGCTTTCCCCAGTTTTTGCGGTCAAACATCAATTTATAAGGAAGTTATACTGATAAATGAAAAAAATTTAAATGATAAAAAATGTTCATTTATGAAGTGTGTCATGATTTTAAAAAGTGAACGCATTTGCCAGAAATTGTGTGGAGTTACGGCTGATTTTTTATACCCTGTACCCGTAGGGTAAAAAGGGTATATTAGGTTTGTGCAAAGTATGTAACATACAGAAGGAAGCATCTCCGACCCCATAAAGTATATATATTCTTGATCAGCATGACGAGAGAAATCGATCTAGACATGTCCGTCCGTCTGTCCGTCCGTCTGTCCGTCCGTCTGGATGAACGCGAGGATCTCAGAAACTATAAAAGCTAGAATAACCAAAGTTGGCATCCAGATTCTCCTAGGTCCGAGTAAGGACGAGTTTATGTTTTTTTTTTAATTTTCCCCCCCTTCCCCCGCTACAGAATTTCGTCAATAGCGTCCAGATTTCAAATGCTACCTAAACCAAATTTTGCACACATAATTAATATATAATTGTCTACTGTTGTATTTTATTCAATTCGGTCAATTCTAAGAAAAGTTATTAGCAAAACAAATTCTCCCCAGTGCAACCCCACTAAACTGCAGCAACAAGTTCGCTCTTCTTCTTCCTCTTTTTGCTGCTGCTATGGGCGCATATAACTCAGTGACGGAAGTTTACCTGGGTACAGGGTATTACACTGTCGGGCTTGCTCGACTGTAGCGTTCTCTCTTGTTTTATTTTGATTTATTTATTTAGAAAATCAACAAATAGTGCTGTCGGTACAAATACTAACAGGCAAAAAAAAATAGTAATTACAGAAGGATAAGTATTTCTACTTAACAGCTAATTAGGAATAAAGAGATAGTGTAATAGGGACATCTCTAACCCGGTGAAGGAAAATTTTAAAGCCAGCCCGGCAAGTTATGCCCTGGCTCACAGCAGTAAGTGGCAGAGATTTCCCCCGGAGATACCTATAAAGGATAAATTTTATAGAAGAGAGAGAGAGAGTTCTGGCCATGGGAATCGTCGAAAATATTGCAGATATGTTTACTCTATAGAGAGCTCAACTTATTATTGTTATGAGGTCGTCAAAAAGTGATTCAAGCCAGGTTATGACTGTATTTTTAGCCAAACATGAAATAAAAATTATCGCTATTATTTTCCAGATCGATTCTTCATGACGACTGGACTGATCTTCGGGATTGACTTTAAGCTATTTTGCCAAAATTAAACATAAATGATATTAATGGGAATGCCATTTTTTGTGGAAATTAATCAGAGAGAGAGTGCTTTTTAGAAGGCCAACTAATATTCTGCTTTTACATAACATTTGTTTGTTTACAAATTAGCCACAAGTTCTTAAGCCCAAATTTTAACTAAAATTTAAAATTTTTTCTGAACCCCAAAAACTTAAACCGTTTTTGTTTTAATTTGGAATTTAAAATGAATGTTCTGCTTTCCATCTCAAAACGCATATGCCGATTTGGAAAGGGATTCTTTAAAAGGCTATTGAGTTTATTGTATTTTCTATAAAAGGACTACAATTAGATGATTTCTGTAGATTTGTTGTTTTGAAAGTTATCGATAACCTTAGTTGCTCTTTAAGTCAACAGCTTTAAAAAGGGATTCTGGGATTATTTTTATAAAACTCCGCATAGCTTTAAGTACTTTACAAAAGCAGTTTATGATGGTATAGGTCAGTGGTGCGTTTGGGAAGAAGACAGGCAACAAAAAAATAAGAAAATCGTAGCGCAGCCAACCATTTGAGATGATTCTTTAAAAGGCTATTGAGTTTATTTCTATAAACGGACTACAATCGGGTGATTTGTTGTTTTGAAAGTTATCGATAACTTCAGTTGCTCTTTAAGTCAACAGCTTTAAAAAGGGATTCTGGGATTATTTTTATAAAACACCGCATAGCTTTAGGTACTTTTCAAAAGCAGTTTATGATGGTATAGGTCAGTGGTGCGTTTGGGAAGAAGAAAGGCAACAAAAAAATAAGAAAATCGTAGCGCAGCCAACCATTTGAGATGATTCTTTAAAAGGCTATTGAGTTTATTTCTATAAACGGACTACAATCGGGTGATTTGTTGTTTTGAAAGTTATCGATAACTTCAGTTGCTCTTTAAGTCAACAGCTTTAAAAAGGGATTCTGGGATTATTTTTATAAAACACCGCATAGCTTTAGGTACTTTTCAAAAGCAGTTTATGATGGTATAGGTCAGTGGTGCGTTTGGGAAGAAGAAAGGCAACAAAAAAATAAGAAAATCGTAGCGCAGCCAACCATTTGAGATTATTCTTTAAAAGGCTATTGAGTTTATTTCTATAAACGGACTACAATCGGGTTATTTGTTGTTTTGAAAGTTATCGATAACTTCAGTTGCTCTTTAAGTCAACAGCTTTAAAAAGGGATTCTGGGATTATTTTTATAAAACTCCGCATAGCTTTAAGTACTTTTCAAAAACAGTTTATGATGGTATAGGTAGGTGGTGCTTTTGGGAAGAAGAAAGGCAACAAAAAAAGAAGAAAATCGTAGCGCAGCCAACCATTTGAGATGAAAACGATTGTGCAGAGGCTAGAGGCAGCGTCGTTGAAGACATTCTAATTGCTGGCCGGTTTCCCCAAAAAGCGGGTGAATGGCGTTCACAATTTGCAGTTTTAATTGTGCTGCACACACCACATTTACATACATCAGAGATACACTATATATGTAGATGTTTATATATATACATGTATGTATGTATGTATATATTTGTACAGACATTTCCCAACTGCCTCAACAGTCAATTGAAAGCTTCTTCAGCTCGGCAGTTACTGTTGATGTTGGTGTTGTTGTTTCTGCCTCTGTTGCTGCTGGCGCTGCTGCTTCTGATGATCATTATCAGTCAGAGTTGGTTGGTGTTATTGTTGTTTTTGAAAAGTGATTGTAAATCACCAAACTGTTGAAAATGTTCAAAATATTGTGTGCACCCCAGCGTCGTTGACTTGGCGGCTCTGTTTGACAGCTGATTTGTAGAGCAGATGACAGGCAAGTTCGCGCCAATGCCGCAGCGTCTCGTTCTGCCATAAACGGCGAGGCGATGCTTTTCGAGTGGGCCGCGCACACTCTCGAGGAAGGAAGTTGTGGCGGGGCAGGGGGGAGGGCGAGGCGGAGGCGGAGGGAAGCCCGCCAACTAAACTGCACAACATCATTAAAACGAAACTCTGCTCGCAGGTGGTGGTGAGTGAGTGAGGGGGCCAGACACATTACACGAATTATTAAAACACAAACATTTTGTTTAACATGCATGCAACATTTGAAGTGCTTTAATTATAAAATTATTCGCCTGACCTTGTCAAGGGTTTGTGTTGTGTGGCACAAACAGCTTTATGGGTAGGTAGACCTTAAAGAGATCAGACAGCATCGGACAGTTTGTTTGATTTGGCTCGGCCACGAAGAAAGGTAAATTAAATCTACTTTTTGTACGCGGCCTGGCCTGTCTCTGTCACGGGCTTCACTTTTGGCATTGGCCAATTAGAGCTTTAATGGCCAAAATCTGAAATACTTTTTATAGTTCTCCATATGAGCAATTTATATTTTTGGCCTGCGGCTGAATGCGCGCGGGCAGCAATAATGGCCACTTAAAACGATTTTAAATAATCAATTATTAAACAAACAAAAGGCGCAACTTGAAGCACAGCCTGTTTGGCCAAAAGGCAGGCACTTAGGCCCCATAACTCTAAGTGTGTGCATAAGTTGTAAAAATTATAGCCATATATGTTTATATATGTATATAAAAAAAACTTTATCATTTATTAGTACAGTTCAGCCTTCGTATAACGAATGCTATCGACAGTGAAGAAAACTGAAGATTTGATTTAATGTCCCCCTCTTCAGCATTCTTCTTCTTAAGGGGAAGTTAGAATAAAGGAAGCATCATGGCTCTGCTGTACACTTCCTATAAATATTTCGATTAAATGACGTGACAATTATACTTGTAAATGCTTATGTTGTGGGCAGCAGCGATTAAATTTTGTTTACATGCTAGTGATATTTGGAAGTCTTATCTGGATATTTGCTGAGTAATTTGTTCTTCGTTTTATTTGCTTTTATTTCAATTAATAAAAAATCGTTATAATACAAAATAATGTATGGTAGGTTTTCAAAAGGTTATATAACAACTTTGTTTGGTTTCTATTATTAGGTTTCCAATCCCAAATCCTGAGATTTCTGTTTAATGTAACACCCAAAAGTTCGATAAAAGTTTTATAAACGTTTCTTTGCAAATTTGAAGCGGCTGTTTCAAGTGTCTGTCTGTATGAACGAAAATATCTCAGAAAAGAGAAGAGTTTACATCTCATAGTTTGCTAAGCTTGTTCTTTTACGCAAAATGTATGTTTTTATATATCTGAATCTATTTTGTCTAGCATGTCGGTTCTAATAAAGGTTTACAAAATCTTTATGATTATCAAATATACATAAATATTTACCAATTTAGATTCATTTATTGTAATAATGTGAAGGATAGACTGAAGGCTGTTTCCGACAGTTAGACTATTACCAGATATGGTTGTGGTTTTGCGCCGATGGCACCTCTATGGTAGATGTAGTGTAGCGATTTGATGAAACTTCAGATTGTGTTGTATTCCTTTGCTCTCTCAAGTAATTATATTTTTCTTTGAACATTTTTGAATGCTACTTTCTTTTGTTTTAAATTCTTGAAAAATATCTTGCAGCTGCCATAGGCATATGAAATGTACAAAAAAAAAACAAATGGAGCTGGCTCTTCAACAAAAAACACTCCTACATTACCTTCCATTTCCGATTACTGCTGAGCTCTC